TCAACTCTCAGATTCAAAAAATACTTTCATTCATTAGCGCCAATTAAAACTCCTTAGTTTTCTCTGCTTGTTTCAATTCTTTGTGAATTACTTAATATTGTTTAGTATTAATCGATACATTCGTGCACATAGCTTGCCTTCTATCACGTCACGCATATGAGAAACCAAAATTAATACCATGTTTGAGTGCTATGGCAAACACTATCAATGGTGCGCTATTTTCCTATACCCTATCATTCATCAGCAAATGAATGTAGCTTGTGGATGCACCCATTTAAGTGCAAGAATGAACAATGTTTTTGTTATTATTGTCATTTATGATATGATAAAAGCAGCTGTAGTGTTCTTGCTTATGTCACTCATGTTAGGAAGTACTAGATCCATGATTTCTATCAATTATTATTATCTATCATTTGACGCGTTCTGTTCGTACGAGTACGAACCATTTTCCTGTAATATGTTTTTGCCATCTACGTTGTTTCATCTTATGAATTTTCTTTTACATTTATCCGATGTATCATTCGCGTCCTCTTCATTTTCTATAATACGTACTTTTTCTGTCTCATTTGTTTTCTGATTTATGTTCTCCGTCTGGTATTATCTACATTTTCCCAGTACACTTCTTTTGAATGCTTCCATATCTAACTCATTTATATAAGCACATATATGATGTGTAATGCTATCCGACGGTAGGGAGAGAGAACAGCATGGAGTAACACTCACATTCATCGTTGCCTACTGGTCAATTTACATGAGAAATGTTTCTGACCCGAATAATATTACATTCACTTATTGAATAAGTATCGAAATAATAGGCGTCTACGGATGAATAATGCTTTAATTCTCATTTTATGTGCACATAATTTCTATTGAACATTTTCGAAAGTAATATTAAAATAGAAAAATTGATCGCCATCAAAATCAATTTATTGTATTGAGTTTTTCGCCCGTACTCGTAAAAATCTACTTTCAAACTATCATGCATTAGTTTTTATATGTAATTTATGGATACTCGTTAGAGTAGGACATATTTCATCTGAGACAATTAATTATTTTATTCTCTTTAATAAATAAATTTTAGATTGTGTTTGATACGACATCGTTTTGTCTATCAATTTTAACTTGATTATTATTCAAAAATAACACAATGAATAGTTTTTTGATTTTGTTGTCTAGATATTCACGATGAAAAAATATTTAGAAAACATTTTGCGTGATATATTACAAAATATCGGACATAAAAATGATCGACAAATATTGTTTCATACCGAGAAAAAGTAATATTTATATTATTATTCTATATTTTGAGAGACAAGTAAGTTGGTTTGTACATTTTTTATATAATGTTGAGTATTACATTCAATTTTGAGGTTAACTCATTGTAAAACTTATTTTGATATTATTTTAGTTATAACTAAAACTTTATTTTCCAATTCAATATTTCCTTTATTGATCGTATAATTTATTTCTTATCAATTCAGTCAATTGTGATAAAATGTTTTGATGTGAATAAAATAGGTTTGAAGACTTGAACGATGTTGTAGCTTAATAAACGGCGTGTAATCGGTTTAAACTATCTAACACAAATCGATTGACCTCAATTGATTTTAGTCATACTTTTTTTTTTTAATTTTAACAAAAGCGAAATAAAAAATGGTTTGTATTAGTTCTTATTGAAAATATATAGATGCATAGTTGATTAAGATTTCTAAAACAAAGCTAAGATTAATTCTATGACATTAGCTGTTCCCGTATTAGAGGAGAACTAACTTAAATAAGAGAAAAAAAATTTTTGCTGAAATTCAATAGACGCTATTCCATTTCTCTTCGTTTCTTTTACTATGAGATTTTCGAATAGGTATATGATCGTAGATCTTTCATATTATTTTTTTATGAAAATTCGAATGATTTATAAAAGTTTTTGTAGTGATGATCTTGACATACGAGTTATGCTGTACCATTGAAATTAATCAGCAATTTTTTTGATTTTTAGATTTAATATTAAACGCTATTTCTGATGCTGTCAAGTAAACTATCAAAGATATAAAAGTTGGGAGAAACGGTAAGATCGAAATAAATTTCGTGGATAATGCATCAAAACATTTATATTATTATGACCATTTCATAAGTGTCACTTAGAATCAAAAACTAGTTTATTTTAATCATTTGATACAAAACTTCATTTTAATCGATGCAAATATAGCGTATTCATTTTAATTACGACTCTTTCGGTTAATTCAGGTTTGCTTATTTTTTTATGTGATAGTTATGAAAGATTTTATGTTACAATCTTTGGGCGATATTGCAGTCGAATGACTGTTTCGTTTAATTGAAAATTCTATTCATGAATTTACTAGCGTATAGTATATTTTGAATTAAAGAGATAAAGCAAGGCATTAATGTCGTCTACTCTCATAAGGTCAAAGAGAAAAAGATGACATTTTCAACTTAGATTACTAAAATTCTATTATCAAAGCATGATATGAGATATCAGACCGAGAAATTAACAAAGAATAAAGTCATCCAATTTTTTGATCAAATTGCCGCATCATGATGAATTGAGTAAACGATTATAATACTGGAAAAGTTAAAATATTAATGAAACATTTGTCCCTGCTAGTTTTTGGTGTATATTTCGAGTCAGAAAATATATTGTACAAAAGTATTCTTTTCGTTCCTATTGAAATAAAAATTCATCACAGTGTTCAGGTAATGTTTTCTTTTTACCATTTAAAAGTTTTATTGTCGAGCTTAACTTAGTTCGTTTTTCAATTAATCTTCCGAATACAATTTAGAAACTTGATGATATAATACTTTTATTTCTGCAAAATAAGAGCAGTGTTACATAGGGATGTTGTTATGAGTTGGACACGGTTTTTCATTGGCTCTTCATCTAGCCTCCAATATACTTTACTTGAATTAGTGTCTAGTGTAATATCATTTATTATACAAGAGTTCTTTTCATTTGAAAGTGCTTTACATAGTCTCAGATATTGAATATATTTTCGTTCCTCATATTATTCGCGTTTACTTCCTTAAGAGCTTTTTAAAAACTAAAACGGTGATCAACTTTAAATATCTTAATTCGAACGAAAACATTTACCAATTTATAAGAAAAAACTATTAAAATAAACGATATCATTCATTGTTCAAAAACAAAACACCCTAGTAATACAGAGTAATAACTGTGTGACTATATAAATTATAGAATCCATGGATACTTTCGGACTCGATGATAGTTTGTGACATAGCAGTATCATTGATGAAAATAATCGATTTAAGAAGTTAAATATCCTTGAAAGAATTATATATCAAGTCAATGCTTTTCATCATAAAAGAATTCCTTTTTCTCATATTCATATGAATATAAATATGAGATTTAGACAGCTGCAAAATTATTTACATTGTAAAAAGCTTTCAAGTGAACTGTACTCAAGCTAACGCGTTCTTTGTTCCATCACTAATTATTTCATACTTGAAATGTGCATGCACAATGAGAAAGATCTCTAAGCTGCTATTCATCTCATAAAGCTCGAAGAAAAGCAATTATTACAAATAGAACAAAACATCGCAGATTGTCAAACAAATTTTCGTCTTGTCCTTTCGGCATAACATTTTGTCACCAAACACGAAACTTTCAAGATGAAAATTAGAAACTATTTACTAGATAAAATTCTACTTTAATTATCATTTTCAACGTTTCGACTATTAATATCTTAGCATAGAATTAAGAACATTGATTTATCAACGTTATCTTTTATTTTTCATTTGGCTAATAGTAAAAATAAATTTCGTTACAACTATAAAGTAAATACAATTTTCATAGTAGTTACGAAAATGAAAAACTAATCGTTTAGAAAGCAGAATCATGTGCAAGTCTATAGATACCAATTTTTATCTCTCAATAAAATAATCATGTTGGTACTTATTGATGGCATATATATATATATGTTTAAGAAACGAAAAAATGTTACTGTTTCTTTTTCTCGCTTTTCGAATGCTGCAATTATAATTTACGACCGTTGCACTAACTTGTATACAGTTTCGAATAAAACATACAGACACGCTTTAAAAATATTTCTTCTTCATTCAGCTTTCTTCTCTTCTATTATCTAATGGACAAGAAACTGTAGTTAACTTTCATGTTGAATCGACTTCAAGTGACATCTATTCGCTATGAAAAATATATATTACTCATCTATATTATTCAAAATAAATACTTGTAAAATAAATAATCAATTAGCGAGTTGAAATATCAATAAACTCAATGAGAATAGAGAGGATATATAAGTTTATATAAAATGTCCAATTTTGTTCTGTTCTGTTCTGTCTTTTTTTTAAACTATTTTCATTCAGTTTTTTCACTCTTTTTTTTTCTTTTTTTCTATAATTTATGTATTTATTCTTTCTCTCGTAGGTAAAAATCGTCTTCTTTTACTCTTTTTATTCTGTCGATTGATCGCTTGTCTTCGATATGATCTCGTTACCGCAGTGATCAATGAGAGTATAGTAAAAGATCTTAAGTAAAGAAGACTCGAGGGGTATTCGTTATTCACTTAACACACCGTTTACATATTAAGTAATGCGATAAACATACCACATAGAACTGAGTGAGTAGGATGTGTCTAAGTGGTAAAATACTAAAATCGACATAGGTAGGAATAAACAGAAGTAATAGTCGTATGTTTTTAATTTCTTTTTTTTTAAATAATTTTGCTAAGCTTTAGTGAAGAGTATTTCTTATCTTGCACTATTGATTTACCGAACATCCATTTACATATCTCCTCATAGATTTTATGTATACATCATTTTCTTTTTTAGTGATATTTGACGATTGTCTCAAGGTTAAAAATAAAATAAAATAGAGTAATTTCTTTTTTTTTCTTCATTCTCTAACCATTATAGTATTGCGTGAAGGATTATTTTTTTTTTCGTTCCTTCCATACGAGAAGCCTATTTTCTCTACTAGATGTAAATTCACGATTTGTGAGTTCGCCACGATGCCTATTCGAAAACAAGGTAAACTGTTATTAAAAATCAAAATCAATAAGAATAATCATTTATCTATTATTAGATGCTTATCAAGCGTTAGAATTGCTTGAACAATATTACAATCGTCTTGATGGACAACAAGATAAACAACTGAAACTTGCCATTGACAGGTAAACAACTTACTTCCAGGACTATCATGAATGAATCGTTAATGTTTAATGCAAAATTAGATGCATTTTTTTGCTAATGATTCAAGCAGAATGGAGGAAAAAAATTTCTATAACTTTTTTTTCTTAATTTCTTTTCAGAGTTATCAAAGTTTTTAAAAGTCGCCTTTTCCAAGCACTTATTGGTATGTTGATTTATTTCTTATATTAAAAATATTATATATTCATCTTTTTATCTAAATTAGATATTCAAGAGTTTTATGAATCTATTCTACTCGATGAAAACAGTGACCCTGCAGCTAAAGCGGCTGCAACACTTCAATTTGCTGATGAATGCGAAAAACAACCACTATTTAAACGAGATTTACGCGTATAGATTTTGCTTATTTTTTTCTCTATATTTATTCTGATAATTATTTTGATATAGAATGACCCAACCACAAATAATGAACTAACAACGCTAGCACCAATCGTGACCGATAATCCAGTAATACGTACATCTAATATTAAAGATGACAACAGACGACAACCAACACCAACACCCTTTTCTCAAATAATCGGTGCATCAGATTTAACTAAACATCAAAATAAAAATGATTTAAATATATCTAATGGTGTACCACAATTTAATTATGATGATCATTGGGAAGAAATTCAAGTCGAACTTCAACGAGTAAATATTATAAAAAAAATGTCTCTGTTTTTCATGTAGTAACATTTAAATTAAACTAGTTGCCAGGTAAAGGTCTGGGATTTTCAATAGCTGGTGGTACAGATACGCCATGTATTAATGAATCTCCAGCCGTTGTTATCACACGTATTACTGAAGGCGGTATTGCTGATATCGATCATCGATTGAAGTAAGATAAAACTTGTTTTTATTGTTTAAATTAACCATTTCATATTAGACAGCACGATATCATTTTACGTGTTAATGATATTAGTTTTACTCATATTGAACATCAGGTTGGAGTTGATACACTTAAAGCAGCTGAAACACCAGTTTTTATAGTAGGTTTACATTGAATTATATTTTAAAGAATATGTCTAAATGAATTTATTTGCTTGTTATTAGGTAGTTCGTCGTTTAGCACCACGAACTATAGAAGAAATTGTATTAGAAAAACCACCAAATGTTCATCTAGGCTTTTCCATTGCTGGTGGAATAAGTCATGAACATGTTAAAGGGTCCGTTTTAATTTGCATAGTCAAATAAAATAAAATGCTTTTCTTTTCAAAATATTTCAGTGATTATGGTATATTTATAACACATGTTATTGCAGGTGGTATTGCCGATAAGCATGGACGATTAAAAGTTGGTGATCGTTTAATGAGTGTAGTATCTACGGTAAAAAAAAATTATCTTATTTCTGTTTCTTCAATCAATTGTTCTCTATGTAGAAAAATACTTATGATCTTGAATTTGTCGAACATAAACATGCTGTTGAATGTATTCGACGTGCGTGTGAGGAAGGGTCCAAAATAACGTTAGTAGTTGGTCATCCAACAACTTATTCATTACAAGAAGAACTTCCATCGGCGAATACTTCTATTCAAAATCAACTAATATCAAAAAGTGAAACAAAAATACATCGATCGACGAATAATCATGAACAAGAAGAACTTTCTCTGTAAGTTAAAAATCGATTAATGATTTTTAATAAACGGAGATTGGATTTTGTGTTTTTGTTCTGGCAAGAAAAAAATGATTTGATTTTTCTCGTTATTCTACTCGAACAATTTCATTTGATGATTACTATGAGTTTATAAATTTATTCTTTTACAAGATTAATTCTTCTTGTTTTCTTTTTTTTCTTTTGGAAGAACTATTTTCTAGTAATATATGTCGAGATTGAATCTGTAGAGAAACATGTTGACATTAATTTTCTCTAAGATCCTTTTGAACAAAACCATTTTCATATTATAGTATACTTATATTCGTATGTATTTAGTGAACGCCGAGTACTACTTAGACGTGGTCCAAATGGTTTTGGCTTCAATATTATCAGTTCTGAAGGTGGACAAGGTACTTTTTTTTCTTTTGTTGTTGTTTATTACTATTTTCATATGGAAAATGATTTTATTTTACAAGGTACATTTATATCATTTATTCAAACTGAGGGTGCAGCTGATAAATGTGGTCAATTACGTAAAGGTGATCGAATATTAGCCGTAAACAATATTGATTTAAGAACAGCAAATCATGAACAAGTTGGAACAGTACTTAAAAACTGTGGTGAAACTGCAGATATGCATGTTATTTACAAAAATGAAGGTTAATTTGTTTCTTTTTCTGAGATTCAACAGTTTCTGATTTTTATTTTTATAGAATTTCTTCAATGTCAAGCTCGCAATGATGACCGTCGTGTTAAAACAACAAATGAAATAATTGGTGGTACAATTAGTAATTTGAAGACTCCGGCACGACGACAATTTTTCGTTCAGTAAAATCTTTAACTTCACATTTTCAACTTAAACAAAAGATTACTTTTGTTTTTACTTTTTAGAGCCGATTTCGATTATGATCCCACCCGAGATCCAAATTTACCAGGGGGTCCTGGCATAAAATTTTCTGCAGGTGACATTCTTCATGTGGTCAATGCTGTTGATGATTCTTGGTGGCAAGCGAAGCGCGTTACTGCCGACAAAGAAGAGGAAATAGGAATTATACCATCGAAATCAAGAGTAGAAAAAAAAGAGCGAGCTAGGCAAAAGCGTGTGAATTTCAATCAAAACAGTAGTCAAGTAAGCTTCACATAACGAGAGGATAATATCATAAATTTCTCTTATGGATCTTATTTTCTTTTAAGAATAATTCAATGGATAATGAAAAAAAGAAAAAGAAAAAAATCGGTTTGTTTAATAAAGGTGGTGATAAAAAAGATGCACAATCAGGTGAAGATACTGGAAATGATTCAGATACATTCGAACCTGTACTATCATACCAATTAGTTACTCAGCATACAAGTAAGTTATTATTGTCGTATAATATTCTCATGATTATGGAAATCAAACATCTAGGGAACGTAGAGTATCAAATTCAAAAGCATGCTCCAATCAATCATAGAGATATATAATTTCTACAGAAGATATTTGATACTCTTTTCCCTATAGAGCACAAAAAGCTTTAATTCGAGAGCTAGTTCTGACTCTAGCTTGAAAACAGGGCACAGTTTTTTAAAATCCTGAGATCACTTTTATTTCTTTTCTGATCCAACTTTAGACTCGGAAAAAAATTTTTCTAGTACTAAAAATAAATCATTAAAATGAAATGAAAACGTTTGTATTATGAAAGTTTCAAACAATTGTAATTTTCATAGGCCAATTCTGATACTAAGAAATAATCCATTGATAATGACAAACTCAAAACTTGGCCATTCTAGTAATACTTTTAAATTTGTTTCACAAATCAAATGATATTTGTCTGATTGTCGTTTAATTCGGCTGCACTATTTTCATAATCTAATCATTAAAAATATCATTGACGACTAAAACAGAACGTTTTGTAAATAATTATTTTCTGTTTTATTTTAGTTGATTACCCGAGACCAGTTATCATATTTGGACCTTTTAAAGAAATTTTTAATGATCAACTCATTAATGAACATCAAGATCGATTTGCTAATTGTATACCTCGTATGTATTCATTGTTATTTATTGATCTAGACAATTCATAAAGCGTTTGTTTTTAATGAATAGATACAACTCGAGCAAAACGAGACAAAGAAGTTGATGGTAGAGAATATCATTTTGTAACAAATCGTAAACAAATGGAAGAAGATATTCATAGTTATTTATTTATCGAAGCTGGAGAATATGGAGGAAATTTATACGGTACAAGTATTACTGCTGTTCGTGACGTAGCTGCGGCTGTATGTATTTTATATGAAAAAAACAAAAACTGAGATAGAAATAATTCATATGTTTTATATAGTCGAAACAATGTATTTTGGATGTAAGTGGTCGTGCTATTAGACGTCTAATTAGAGCTGGTCTTTATCCAATTTCCATATATGTTAAGCCACGCGATACTAAATGGATATTGTAAGCATTTGTTGTGTTCAATGCTTATTTTTATCAAGTTCGTTTTGTTTTAGGGAAAATATGGGAGACGAGGCTAACGAAGAACGAGCTAAAGAAATCTATGACAAATGTAATGCTATTGAACAACAATTCGGTCATATTTTTACAAGTAAAGAGTTTAAATTCAATATTAAAAATCGGTGAAAAAAACGTTCCTTTTTGTTTTTATTTTAGCTACTGTTGAAGGAGAAAATTTAAGCGATGTTTATGATCACATATGCGACGTTATTAATAATGAAAACACAGTTGATGTTGTTTGGGTGCCATCAGATGAAAAATTTTAGGGAAGAATCCTACTGTAGTTCTATTTTTTTATACTAATTTCTATTCTTAATTTTCAAATTTACTATGAAGAAATGCTCGTTTTTTACAGCCACTATTCGAATTTCTTTATTTTTTTTGTTTGTTTCTCGTAGATTTCGATGATACTCTTCTTATTTCTTATTTCATTTGTTTGTGTTTTTCTATCGTGATTTATTTGTCTGCACTATGTATCTTTATTCTTATAGTATTTTTTGTCAAACCTGTTTTTTGGAAAACGTATGAGAAAATGCAAAAATTGTGCTTTTGATTCTTTTTTTGTTTCTGTGAGTTGAAAACCAATATCAAAAGAATGAATAGACTATCTTCAACACATGTTTTTCCTATGTAAAAAAAACTAAAGTTTTAATGCCGCTTTATCATCTGCAAGAGAATGGTAGTAAAAACATACATATGGCAGAGAATATATATAATTAGACTTTGTCTTGAATTGGTAGTTTTTTCAGTAAATGACACGGAAAGAAATAAAATAGACACAATCGAGTGAGTAAATTTTGAGTGATCCTATTCAATGAATAATTTATAATGTTTCGATTAAAGTTTTCAATTTAATTGAGATATTTTATGAAATTAAATAATAAATTAATAATTTGTCTTAAGACTTGCATTAGATAAAATGAATTTAGAATGGCCATAGAAGTATTTGACGAGTTGTTTTTTCAATTCAAATTGAGCCTATTCAATTGATTAAATATCCTCTTAATCATAGAGAAATATATGATTAGTGTAATTATAAGCAAATACTTTCCAGTGATATATATGTTTTTGTAGGACAGATTAAAATCCAGTTCAGATTAAAATAATTTTGATTTGAACTAGTTCACTTTATAATGAAGATTTTAAAGTGAACTAGTTCAGATCAAAATTATTTTAATCTGAACTGGATTTTAATCTGTTCTGCGACATATGTACGAGTCCTTTTTAATACAATTGCCTTGATATAATTAGCCAATTGGCTTATTTGCTGTTATAATCGATCATCAAAATGAATAAGAAAATGATCAAAATTAGACAGAAAAATATTTAACAAAAACAAATATTTCTCTTGGATATCTGTGTTTTTGAAAACTATTTTCGTGCTCTTTACAATCGATCAAACAAATGTTCTTTTCTTCGTTCACCATAGGCATAGCAATCTGTCAATCGAGGAGGTGAATATGTGTAACTGTAATGTGTCGAAAAGTTTAAAAAATATCTAGTCGCTACATGCATATATATTTCTTTACTCTTTCAATTACTTACTTTTCATAATATGTAGCTACACAAATTTGTGCACATCATTCAATTTTAAAATCTGCAATTTCGCTTTTTGTCACGTCATTTAAAGTAATAGTACAACATTTTTTAAAGGAATTTCTTAGATGAAACTATATTTAAACTGTAGTTTTTGCTTTTTTTCTCTACTATTAATCATATATACACTAAACAATGTAAAACAGAACCACGTAGAAATTGAAACACTTGACATGTTCTCTATATTCTATAATGGAATCAAAAGTCATTTTATTTGCATTTTGTTTTTTCTCAACCATTCTTATTCATGCTTTTTTCGTGTATGTGAATATACAATAACGGCACACGGACGTAACAATCGTAAAACGTCACCGTTGCATCGGCTCGGTTTGACACATAATCGAGAAGGAGTTCCAAAATTTATCCGAGAAAATACCGCACAATTTTTTTCTACCGTTGCGAAAACAACTCGAACAATAGAATCATCGTCATTGCCGATTTTCCCAAGTGAATTTGAGCAACAACATCAACGGATTCAAAGTAATGATGAAAACGAAAACGAAAACGAAAACGAAAACGAAAACGAAAACGAAAACGAAAACGAAAACGAAGAAATTCTATTAACAAGACCAGTAACACCACATTTTTTATTGCCACCTATTGGAACAGCAAGTAGTAGAAGATCAAAAGTGATACCATCTGCTTCCATTTGTACTCGACCACAAACTTTTCATTCGCCTATCCTATCTTCGGGACTATCATTGGAATCATCAAGTCCACTGATACAATCACGGACGCCAACAATAAAATTAAAACGTCAAGTTCAACATGGCGGTCCAGTTGATCAAGATATTTTTCGAAAAGCCTATGACCGAGCTTTAACAGTGGCTCGTAGTCGTCTTCTACTTCGTGATCCATACTCATTAACAGGAGCAAATGCGACTCACGGTGTTCTCTATTCATATTATGATCATACGCCAATGTGTGTATTTTCACACGGAGCTGCTTGCAATCATAATCAAGATGAAATATCTAAACAGGATCGAAAACTAAAATCCAATGTGATACGTAAAAAAATTTTTAACGATGTTGTTGTAGAACGTTATATTCAATAACACAAGAAAAGAATAAAAAAAATGAGTGTATTGTAAATCTAATTTTTCAAATAAATTAATAAAATAGATACATATTATTACTCAATTTCTTTTATATCTATCAGTACACTGATATATATATATACATGTATATACATGGTGGACTTATGGTATGTATGCAGTATTATCTTGATAAAGTTTTTAGCGATGAAATATTCTAGAAAGAACAAAGAGCTAAATATACAGATATACACTGTACTCGTTTGATCGGATGCTTTTTTCTGATGCTTGTCTTTCATCGAGATCTATTTTTCTCTAATAAGAAGATCAATCTAAGAATTTCTACATCTATACTACTGTTGATTTGACGTTTCTGATTGATTTTTTGCTTCTGTTAGTTAACACAAGACGAACAACATATACTTCATCTTTCTTATTAGTCAATCGCGAGTATGCATACATTCAGTGCATAACATTTGGCTACCATCTTCGTTCCGATCAACTTAACTTCTTTTTATCTAATTCGGTAAGTAGGGGAGGGCGGGGAGAGAGATTATTGAAAAATAAAATAAAAGTAAGCATAACTAAACCACATGCAGGGTCAAATAGAGACATATCACTGTAAGTTTGTTTACTTTTCATCGCATGTAGATATTTATGGTAATAGATTTGATAATGATAATAAAAAAAGGGAAGAATATTATTTTTTATTTTCTTCCATTTATTTTCTGTCTAGCATCATCCAGGGGCTTCTTTTGCTAGTTCTTATTCTACTCAAACTGATGTCTTGCTAATAATCGTCATTTATTGTCGCAGAAAATACAAAGCATAAACAGAACGTCGTTGTCAAAGTGTAGTTTGTTTTTCATTACTTTAGCTATTGGGATGGCAATCATTGACTTAGTGTTATTTATAGTGTTATTTAATGAAATACGAATATAAAAAAAACAATATGACGATTTTTTCCTATAAAATAATCATTAGTGTTATTACTTTAATCAAATTTGGTAAGATTACATTTCTACCCTTATTCATATATGTGTATATATAGAGAAAGATTCATTTTTTGAATGAATAGAAGTATGTGCAAATGCTGATGCTAAACGTCTTTTAAATGAACTTATGACAGATTATAATAGATATGTCTTACCTGTACAATCTATAAATCAAAAAGTTAATGTATCATTAGGTTTAAAATTATCGCAACTATCTGATATTGATGAAAGAAATCAAATAATGACAACAAATGTTTGGCTCGAACAAGTAAACTTTTACTTAGTGAAGAAAAACAAAACTTATCATCTTCTATTTTACCTTTAGGAATGGACTGATCACAAATTAACATGGATACCTGGTCAATATGGTGGGATCGATGTTCTTGAAATTCCCTCATCAGATATTTGGGTACCAGACGTTGTTTTATATAATAATGCAGACGGAACCTATGAGGTTAATACAATAACAAAAGCGCATGTAGTAAGTATTAATATCTTTTTAAATCGATTTTTTTTCAAAATACTTGATTTTTTTCAAGTTTTGGAATGGAACAATAAAATGGAATCCTCCTGTTATATATAAATCTTATTGTGCTATAGATATTGAATATTATCCATTTGATGAACAAAATTGTAGTCTTAAATTTGGTACATGGACACATAATGGAAATTTAGTAGGACTTTTATTGTTGTCGTCAATTAAAAGAAAACGAAAAGTTTTCTGTTCTTCTTTTTTCTTGATAGGTTGATCTTCATCATAAAACAGGCGATATTGTGGTTGATTTTGGAGTTGATCTTTCTGATTACTATCCATCTATCGAATGGGACATTCTTGCGGCCGTAAGTTACTTTGTTTATTTCATGATTAGTTTGTAAAAAAATTTATTTTACAATTTATTTTCTGTATTTTGATCATGCGAGATTATACAATAAATATTATTTTTTACGCAAGACTCCAAATAAATCTTCGGTAGTTTTAATTTGATTGAAAATAAGTTTCACATCTGTAATCGAACGAGTTATCTTTATCTTAGCATAATTGATTGATTGCATCTAGAATTAGATAGGGGAAGTGATGATTTTATATTCTATAGAGAAAAAAAGATAAGAAAATAAAAGCTACATGCATTTTATTAGTATTAATAGTTGCATCTATCATAGGTGATTTATATGGTTAGAATAAAATTAAATTAAAGAGATCATGTACTTCTCTTTTGCTCTCTGAAGTATTGGTTTTAATCATTTGTATGACTAGTAGATAACATTAATAGATACTTAGAAAGTACTTAGTGATAAGTAACGATGCAGCTGCCATAAGAATAATGAAAAATATTACTTTTCTTATATTTTTTTGGTACATACAAGTGATTAAATAACTGTTGATTATTATTTCTTGTTAACTAGTGATGTCAATAGAATTTTTTGACTCCCCCCCCCTGTTACGCAAAAGAATGTTAATAAATGTCATGCCAAGCATAAATTTTTTGCATTGAGCAATTTTGAAAGAAAGATGCATGAAGGCTCTTAATATATTCATTATTAGCTATTGACGAAAGTCGTCGTCTCCAATAGGCTAATTATCCACACTCAAGTTTCTACATGAGCGATAACTTTTGTTTTGATAGAACATTGCGACCTTTCGGAAAGCTAAATTAAGCTCTTTTTCTCTCGGTACTTGATCTATTTTGTACCATCATCCGTTTTTCTTCGTTTTAAAGACGACACAAAATCTTATGCATACAGTTATTAACATTAATTATTAAATGTAAGATCATAAGATGTAATATTTGTTCTCAAAATAATTATTAGATGGTTGTAAAATTCTATCAACTGCAAAAAAATACAGCTACTTGACTAGACTCTGTTACTGAATAGAAGAGGTAGCAATCAACAAACTAATTGTGTTTATTTTTTGTTGTTTTTTTAGCCTGCTATTCGCCATGTTGTTCTATATGACTGTTGCAAAGATGATCCATACTTTGATGTAACATTTTCATTACTTATTCGACGTAAACCACTTTTCTATATGGTTAATCTCGTCATTCCTTGTATAAATATTGCTTTTCTTACAATTTTGGTGTTTTATTTACCTAGTAAGTACTAGATTAATTATCAAAAAATAAATAAAATACGACTATTTTTTTTCTTTCTTAGGTGATTGTGGTGAAAAATTAACATTATCCATATCAATTTTTGTTGCACTTCAAGTTTTTTATCTTCTTCTAGTGGATCTTATACCGCCAACATCATTGAAACTATCTTTATTAGGTACATATTTACTTTTTACATTGGTGCTTGTTAATGCATCTATATTTATAACAATAATAACATTGAATATTCATTGGCGTCATCCAAATACTCATCATATGCCTGAGTGGGTAAAACGATGGTTTTTTGAAATTATTCCGCCGTTTATATTCATGTCTAAACCTCATATTGCTGATGCTTTACTACGACCAAAGCAAATTAATGGCGATAATGAGTCAACAACATCACAAAATGGTCATGACATGCGCAAATTAAATAGTTATTTAAAAACAATGTCAATTGATAAGTATCCACCTATAATTCAACAAGCAATAAGAGATATTCGATATATAACCGAAACGCAACGTGAAGCTGAACAAGATAATCTGGTGTGTTCGAAAGAAACTTGTATTTTTTTATGCTTTTTGTTTTTATACATTTTTATATTTTTAGGAAAGAGAAGGTTGGCGATTTATTGCACTTGTCATTGATCGGTGTTCTTTAATAGTATTTATTTTTTTAACTATAATTGGTTCATGTATCACTCTATTATCTGCTCCGTCCATACGTAATAAAGCTGATCCAATCGAACGGTTATATTCACACCATTATAATGCACATCCAAGTTAATTTTACTTTTCTTCTTATTTATTATCTTATAGTCGATTTTCAATCATTTATTTTGTTTGATATAATATATATAAAAAGTCTTTTGTTTTTTACAAAGTAATTGTTAGCTTGTTTTCTTTTCAGCGCTAAGAAAATTTGTTTAGAAAACTTTTTCGATCTTTTGATTTTTCTGATAAATTAATGTCTGCAGATGATAAAAATAAAATTCATTTACCAACAAAACTTTTCAATTGCCAAGAAGTTAAAAAACGTATGCACGAAATTCTTCATGACCATTTACATAGTGAACAATATGATTTAAGTCGATGTAATTTTCTAGCAAAAAATCTTTCAAATATTATAAAAGATTCATTAAAAATGTTGGATTATGAACGCTATAAATTTATTGTACAAATTGTGATTGTTCAACAAAATGATGAAAGCTTTAAAATGATTTCTCGATCTTATTGGGATTCTGAAACAGATAAATTTGCACAATCAATTTATATTAATCAATTTTTAATATGTGTTGCTACAACTTTTGCTATTTTTTACTATTAAACAGCAACAAACGATAAAACACAAGTTCAAAGCTAATTTCTAATAGGAGTTTTATGATGAGTAAAATATTTTACAGGTAGATGTTGATCAAATTGTTTGAAATTTAATATGAAAACGTAATTAAATGATGTACAGCGACAATTTCATTACTAGTAATAAATATTCGTTCCGTTGCTGGAGCTAATCGACCAATCATACGGCAACTTATAATCTGTGTGTACCTACGCTGTATCAACATACAGAAAAAAAGAATAATAAAAACAAGACAAGGGCAAAGTCGTCTCATGAATCTTCTCTCGTGTCTGGGACGTCAGGGTGGCGGTGATGGTGAACCCGCTGATACTCCTAATATTGATAAATTAAGAGGTTTTCTTGATCGTTTTAAACAAGATCCGAATAGTGAATCATCATTTATCAAACGACCGAGTTCAACTGAGCTCTGTCAATGGACAAAAAAGGTTTGTGAGTATATGCCAAGCGCAACCGATGCAGCTGCTGCCAATGGTGATGATATCCGTCCGATGAAGCAACATTTTTCAGTAATTAAACAATTTTATGATACTGTACAACAAGCAGGATTTACACAGATGCCACCTATTGTGGAAACATTCTTATCAAGTATACAAATTTACGAAACTGTATCTGGTTTAGCTTGTGTTATATTTGCTGAACATCCTCATATTCTTAGCGCCATTGAAAATCAACTAAACGAAGCAATAGAAGCTGTAACACAGCATGGAAGTATGGGTGTACTTGGCCTGTTGTGTTGTGGTTCAGGAATGTTACTTGGAAGGGTAAGAAACTGTGCATTATTTCTTATCAAGATATATTTATTTATGTTGTCCTAGTTTAATACATTTCTTCGAGCAATCGATGAAAAACTAGGTGAACTTGGTGTTGGCCGTGTACTTGATTTTCTTGGACAATTAATCGACGTTTTTTGCAGATTCTTTAAAATTGACATGGCTAATATAAATGATTTGCAAAATATAGCTCAGAATGTTCGAACTCTTATCGATCAAGTTGGTCAACAATTCAGCTCACTTTTTGGTCGATTAGCTGTTACAGGTAATTTAATAGCATAATCAATTGTTTTTGACATGACAATAAAATATTTAGGTGATAAAAAATCAAGCGATGAACGATTTGCTCCTTTGGAAATGACGGCAAAAATCCATAAAAAGATTTCAAAATTTGGTACTAAAGCACCCGTTGTCGAAAAAGCATTAACTTCATTTGAACGTTTTTATCAAGCAGCTAATAAAGTTGATGATAATTTAATTCAAAAACATGGAGAAAAAGTTGCTGCACAAGTAAGTTATTTTTTATGTTTCAAATTCTACTTTTACTTATCAAAAAATATAATCTCTAGGCTGTCGCTACAGCTGATTCGAAGGAACCTGCATTAGCCAGTAGTAACTCTGTAGAGGTTGACGTAACTCGATCAGATGCTATTCAAGTAGCTGCCAAAAATACAGTTAAAGAAGTTGGTTTAATTGGAAATATGATGCAGAACATTGAATTGGTATTAACATACGGTATACTTGCTTTGAAGAACGAAGATGATGTTTTACAACCATTATCAAATCATGTGGATGAGTGTACACAAATTCTTGAAAAATATTCCCAATTACATCCATTATATAAGCTTATATGTGGAGGGAATTATTTAAGTAAATTACGCGTATTTATAAATAAAATTGTTGATTTATTAAAAAATTCAAAATTGAAATTAAATTCACCCGAAGAATTTTTACAAGAAATGAAAGAACGTTATCCAGAATTGTTACGTATGCTAGCTGAAGATATTATTCAAGATAAATTTAAAAAGCATATTACGGATAAATTGCCAGATGGTGTTGATGATATTTTAGATGGTGCTATGAAAAATATATTTGGTAAAATAAGCTCGAAATTTTAATATTTTATAAAAAAATGAAGGTGGATATTATCTAATTGATCTCACACCTGCATCGGTGCTAGATAACTGAAATAATTATTTGCTTTTTAATATTTTTTACCAGATGTTTTTATCCCCTAGCCAAAATGTAATAAAAAATAATGCTAACAGTTTTTGCATGTTGAAACAAAATCAGAATTTTTTAAACAATAACCAAGCTTGACAATACCATTTTTTCCATATTCGAATGTATGTATTGCGAGAAGTGATTTTTCTAATTGGGCTCAATGTAATATGTTTGACACATGGAAAGGTTAATTTCATTTTTATATGTTTCACTACTTTTTTTGTTTTATACTAATGCTTCAGTTTATTGCTTGCAACGACCCGAAAAACGTTTTTCTATGAATAAACTTACAAAATAATGCTTAGAGAGTATATAGAAATGAAAATGCTCAAATTTCCGAAAGAATATGATTAAATGAATCCTACTGCTTGATAAAAATAAATGGGATGCTGTGCAAAAAAAAACAGATAAAGTTGAGTCATGAATGAGCATGTTTTTCTTGGAATTTACTAATAAGAGAAAAAAGGAGTAAGATATTTTGGATTTGATTGCTAATCGTTTTGTAACCCAATACAAAGATCAACAATTTGCTCGCTGTCTAATTTGCACTCGTACATTAATCATTGCTGATCCCAAATTAGATGAAATACATATTTAATGTTAAATGATTACCTCAATCGATTATCATCATTGATCATAGTTGAAGACAATTATACTATTCCTAAACAATACATTTCTAAAAATAACTATCAATTAGCGCTTTGATGCTGCTTTGAAGTTAATCGATTTGAAGCATGCTTCGACAGAAATGATTAAAGATATATAATTTGCTATCTTTCTATTATGCTGAATATATTGAAATGAAATACATTTCTTTATTCATTAATTGTAACGAAAAGAGAGATACCCAGGTCGACTAATCCGACAACGATTTCTATCGGATCCTATAACATCCTACTAACCGAGAAAATTCAATTGGATTCTAGGTTTCGGAATTATTGACGGATCCGACGGGAGAATTTAAAAAAATGATCAAAATTCTATTTAGTGCAAACAAGCTTTTTAGAGGTTGACTATAGCAGACTTTTTTGGCGTATCGGATCCCAGAGTAGAATACAATCGGATATGTATCGGATTCCTATCTTATGGATCCGAATCTCGGTCCGAAACCCGGAATCCGTCGATTCTAGTGGGTTTTCATACAAGATCCGAGGTAATCCGTTTTCAGATCCGATTGGAACCAGCCGTAGGAATGAACGACCTGGGTATTTGAAAATTAGAAGAAACATATTCTTAGAGGTGCTATCTTAATGTTTTTATGCTTATATTTCTTTATATATGAATTGATTATTCTTGTTTGTTTCTTTGCGTTTTTCTAGACTCTCAATAACAAATGTTGCAGCACAAATCTTGATTCGATATTTAGGTGTTGCACTGCTGTCCTTCTATTTCTGTGCATATCATCAACCGATTGCCATTTTGAAAGATTTCTACGTTTCTTGATGAAATAAATATTCAAAGAAAATGAAAGACCATACATTCGGTATATGATTTATCTCTAATTTTCAATTTTCTACAAGTATAGCTACGTCCGCTAAGAATAAAATTTACAAAAGAAAAAAGGATGGTCGCATTCATTATTTTGGTAACGTCGTGTAGATGAGTTCATATGCAGTCAAGAATCGTATCTTTAAAATCGTTTATTATTATTATTATTGAGATTGATTAAAATAATCAAGGCAAGAATGTGAAGCATCAAACATTTTTCTTCTTGCTCCTTCTTGTCCGTTTACTTATTTTCTGTCTCTTTCTTCTTGGTAGTTAAGTTATGTATATGTCTGACTTATTATTGCATCGATATCATCACAAGGTTGAATTTTTCAAGGACGAAGCTTGTAAAAAATGCGCAACGTATAACTGCTTCTGATCTCGTACGATTTTCTCTCTGTCACTTGTTGTATCACTTCTCTCTTATGTTTGAAGATTGGAATTCATTGACATTATTGTTTCTTGTTGAGTGCTAGATACAAGAACTTACATTTATATAATACATTATTTCCTTCTATCAACCATATCAGCGACTAAAAGAATAATTCTTAATTTTACTTTGGATTAATTATATGATATTGAGATTATCTAATAACAAGAGATTTCATAGGAGCTCTCACTTTGTAGGAATCAAGACCTCAGTACTTTTACATATGCAGTGTATATTCTGTATGCTTCTAGAGTCGGTAGTCTTTTTGATAACATTTGTGACAAATCAGAAAACAATCTGTATTAATGATGTTATTTTTGGATTGAATCTATTAGTTTCTATGCTTTGCTTTTAGTTGTCATGCAATTAATTCTGCATACGGCATTCACTAAAAAACTAGTAAAGAAAGAAAGAAAGAAAGAAATATGATAATCTGTAAAAATGAACATGTTGCCGTTTATTTACTGTTTCACTTAAATTATTAAAATAAATACTCTTTTTTTTGTAGGTGGGTTAAACGTAGGTTCATACGAAATACTTGAAGACTGAATAACACACAAGACAAGAAAAAATGTTTCTTTCAAATTTTACAAAGGAAAAAATATGTTTGAAAGGATAAATTTCAGTATTAAAATCAACCAAATAGTTGTTGGTATAAAAGATCTTGTTGAAAAACCATTATTTTCACATTTCCATCCAACATGTAATTGACCGTCTGCAACTAATTTTTCAAGATAATCTCGAAGTGGTTGAAAATATTTTAAACATGATTTAGCTGAAAAAGTTTTGACGCCTGCAAATTCTTCTAATATATCTTCCCATGGTTTCGATGAACCCATTCCAAGTAAGACTCTATCATAATCATTCATATACACATATAGTATGCAGAATAAAAACACCGATGAAATTACTATAAACATACTTGAGTTTTTTTCCAGCTGCGACAGAACCATGTAAATCACATAGATGTAATGGCCCTCGATTACCTGCTTCATGACATAAAACATCAAATATTTGAAATTGAAATACATGTGCAAGAAAATATCTAAATAAAAGCAAAACAATCATAAGTTGCTCTGTTTTATTTCTCGAAAATAAATATCGATACTTTAGATAAGTTAAATCAAAAGCTATATGAAGTTTTGTTCCAGCATCAAAATATCGTTCACCACGTACTTCTGGTGGTTTCATACCTTGGTATTGACATCTGCAGTAAAAGAATTTGCATTTTGACAGGTTAGAAAAATAAAACAGTTTACATAAGGTCCCAATAGCGTTTATTATATTCACTGGGTAGAATCGATCCATTGTAAACCGACCAACGCCAAAGTTCAAGTGCATATGCATATGGTGGTAAGAAGAGTCTACTTAACGCTTGTGAAACCAAAAATTTTATATTGTCCTCTATTAAAGAAAAAAACAAGATTATTTTAGTATTTGTAATTGTAAAATAACCTTTCGATGATGAATAATTTTCCAGTAAACCAATTCGTTTCAAATGTGTAGGTGACATTGCTGCTAATGCAATTGCATCGCCAATACCTTCACTAAATGCACCATGTGGAGATCGACGAAACCAGAATGGCAAATTTTTATATTGAAGATAATGTTGTATATGACCCATTTCATGATGAACCACATAGAAATCACGCGATGTTACACTTGTACACATACGAATTCTAAATTTCAATGTAATAATCACTGTTAAATCTATTTAATTCATAGAGAGAATATACCTAACATCATCATATTTATACATATCGAAAGCTGCTGGATGACAAGCCATATGGCGATTAGGAGTCTTTTTAAATATAGATAAATTCCAAAAGCGGCTTGGTGCTCGTGTTAAATTTAATGCAACAAAAAAATCGTCAGCATATTGAAAAATGTTTTCTTCAGTAAAATTCTAATTGAACAAATAAATTATATGAGTAAAAAAGAGCAAGGGAAAAGTGATTTCTTCGAGAAAAACCTTTCGTTTCATGGCTGGACCTAAATCAATTCCTTCTATATCTGGAAATGGAAGTATATCATGTTCAAGATATGTTAGCATCGTACCAAACAAATCTCCTGCAAATCACAAGAAACAAAGAGAGATGTTTTTGATCATGTTTATTGATTACTAGTTAAATGCAATGGTATCGGTTGATCAAGTTGAACATGCCCAGGATACATTTGAACCATTTGTTGTCGGACATAAGCATGCACAAGGTCATGCAGTGGTTTTAACTCTTGCCATAATTGTTCAACAAGACGACGTTCTTCAGCAGTTGTCATTGCTTCACTTCGATCGTTCATATCTCAGAAAAGAGAAATAAAACAATATGTGGATTAAGCATTTGAATAGAGAAAAAAGGTCAAGGATAGTTCTAAGTTTTCAGTTATTTTGCTAAAGAAAATTTGAATTCGAAAAATGATTTCATTTACATTTATGAACTGTCTATAATATTTTCAAACATTTCAAAAAATAATTTAAGTTCATCAAAAAAAATAGTTCAGTAGTCATCGAAGTATCCTTTACTTAATTATATTCTTATAAAGAACCGAAGAAAAAAATTCTATATGAATTAGTGATAAAAAACAACAATGACAAATATGAACTATAGCAAAATATCAGCTCACTGGTTGGTATCACGTGGGAATATTCCCTCGTAAATCTGTTAATATGTAGTTAGAATCGTTTTAAACATGAATCTCTGAGATTTCTTATAACCAGATGTTTTCAAAATGCTGACTTATTTCAGAACAGTTGTTATCCTGAATATATGAAAAAGAAATAGATCGATGACTAGGGATGATGTAGGTGATCAGGAAAATGTTTGAAATTCTTTTAAGTGATCTTTCATTTTATGTAAGAAAGAGAAATTCTTTTTAAAATAATATCTTTCAAAAATATCTTGGAGGATTTTATGTGAGAGTGGGTTACTGCTGAGGTACGATTCTGTTTGGCCTGTTGATTTTGTAAAGCAATTAATTCTGAATAGTGATCTCGCATTGGTGCAGGGACGTCATACGTTGCTTTCCATAACGACAGAAGATCATCTGGTGATTTAAGTCCACCCATTATCTCTTGTACTTCTGAATAATACCAATGAAATTCATAATTATTATTTAAAATAAAAACATGGCACAAACCGTCAATAGTTATTCTTGTGTTATTCCAAATGAATTTCTGATGATAAATTTCTTTGATACGAGCTTTTAACTTTTGCATATCGAATTTAGTTTTTGTATCGTTTTGTGCAGCGTCACCAATAGCTTGTGTACGAATTAATAGCCAACGTAATGATGCATTTGGATCATCTATTAAATTCTTTAATTGTTTACCAATAATTGCAACTGTCTTTAAACAATTACGATAGGCATCATAATATTTCTCCTGCAAAAAATCATGCTTCATTTCATCTTATAGAAAAATCATTCAATGCTAATTTACCGTTGCACGCGTTTTACTTGTATCATTTAGATGCAAATGTGTTTCAAATTCTGCTGATGCTGTTATATAAGCAAGTGTAGTTAAATTTCTATCATATTCATGTAAAATTTTATAAGCCTATGAATTTTTACATGCAATTAAAATACCATCAAAGATAATAATAGAACGATCTTTCAGTATATTCTTGATTTTACGTTTTAGATCGAAAAATTTAGTTATTTTAAAGGACAACACTTTAAAAGTCAATGGTTTTATTGTTATAAAACAATGACCTTGAAAAATCACCAAAAACTAAAGCTAATTTACGTTAGAAATATTTTCTCGGGAATTCCAAATGTAGATACTAATAAAGTATGTCTTATTATCATCAATGAAATCATCGTAAGAATATCTTTTTCTTTTATTTAGAAAAACATTTTCATTCAAATACGTCGTGACGCATGTGAAAAAGAAATTCTAGTCTGCATAGAAATGTATTCAGGTAAGACCCGCTTTTGTTGCTAGCAAATTCGACACTCATTTTATTCTATTATTCTCAGTTATCTTCTTCGATTATTTGTGTAATTTAAGTCGTGTAGCATAAATCTTAAAATCGATAAACTGTACTTCCAAATAGAATAACGAATTGAAATTTCTGATTAATCAATTATATATTGAAATATCGTTCGGTATAATTATTTTTTCTATCCTAGGCAAAATAAAAGTCTATTTACAAATTGCTCTTGTTCATTGGGATTTGTTTTATCTAAATAGTGTTGAGATAAATCTTGGTTATTGCATTCAACAATATCTTCATTTTGTTGACAAGTGATTGATATTATGATAGAAAATAAAACCGTAAAATGATAAATCATTGTTATCTATGAAATCTATTAGATATGCTTGAATTGAAAAGAGTGATGAAATGACACTTACATTCTATCGTTGACAGAAGTTTGTTAGCTTGATGTCTATTCCTGTTGTTTTGAAAACAAGATTGTGCGCTTTGTATCGATGTGTAAATGACAAATGATCGACAGACACATATAATATAGAGAGGGGGAAAAGTTACCGATAAGATTGATTGCCTAAAGTATTGTATGTGTGTTTATCTATATAAAGGACGCAATCATTAGTGACGCAATTATAATGGTTATATGCTGTGAAATATATTCTATCAAGTTCGATAAGGATTTTCGTCTGCTTCTTACTTTCTCACTAAAGAATAAGAATAATTAGAAGAGCAGCAAACTACTAGTCGTTGCGTTGTTTTGTAACATCCACTATTGTGCTCTCTGGCTCTCTCTCTCTCTCTCTCTCTCTATCTCATTTTTTCTTTTCAGGGACAACTTATTCATTTATATCATCTGTGTGTTTATTTAGTAATCCATACGAATACAATTTTGCCTTGCAGTAATATCCTTTCTGTTTTCATATATATTTTATCGGTATGCCTTGGTTTATTTAATAATTTATGATCATTAAAAATAGATGAATCTTTTATTCTCTTTTGTTTTTCATGTGCATGTTTAGAGATCCCAATATGCCCAACACCTTGTCATCAACAACATAATATATAAACAAGAAAACAAAGATAAAAACAGTAAAATCAATGGAAGAAAAAAAGAAAACATAGCAACTGCACTGCAATGTATGCTTCATGTACAAAGTAAATAATGGAAATATATTTTGGCTGACTAGCAGCAACCACGTTTTTTCTTCTTCAATGATATATCGACTAGATTTTCACCTTTACGTTGTTTATCATCTTTTTCTTGCATTAACCTATAATTAACTGTCATAAGAACGAACATTTCAATATCATTAACTTCACTCACCGAGCTATTGCTTCCATTGTTTCAACAATTGATGTACCTAATCGTGCACTACTTTCAAAAAATAAGCATCCATATTCCTATGAAAAACATGCATATATTTGCAATGAAATAGTATAACAAAATTATTTACATCGGCTAATTTTGCACCATCTTTATACTTCACCGGTCGTTTTTCATCATCATCACATAGATCTGTTTTATTTCCAACAAGTGCTAAAACACAATCATCCTCTGCCGATTCCTTTGAAGATGTAAAGATAATTATCAAAAGAATTTTAAAACGTTTTTTTTCCAATAAACATACTCGAACACTTGTCATCCATGCTCGGACATTACGAAAGGTTATTTCAGATGTTACATCATAAACTAGGATAACCCCATCAGACTTACGAAAATATTGTTTAGTTATACTTCGAAATCTAAGATAAGATAAATTTAAATCTCTGAAGCAAATCTCTAAAAAGCAAACAAACCTTTCTTGGCCAGCCTAAAAATAATCAAATGAAGTAATCAGAAATAAGATCAAAGTTTTTCCTCACCGTATCCCATAATTGTAATGCGACAATACGATTTTCAATATTAATCAGTTTAACTTGAAGATCGACACCAATTGTTGCTGCAAATGTATCTTTAAAATTGTCAGTACAAAATCGTTGAATAAAACTGGTTTTTCCTACACCACTATCACCTAAATATAACAAAGATTTTAATTATTTTAAATGATTACATTTTCTTTCGTATTGAACAAACCGATAAATGCTATTTTAAACATTCGATCAGGTACTGCATTAGGAGCAACATTCTAAATTTCATATGTGCAACTATAATACATGAAATGATATCAATCGTACTTACCATTAATTCAGAATGTTGAAAAACTGAATTAGCACCAACCGGTTGTTGTCGTGCTCCTAGCTCTTGTCCTCTAAAAACAAATATTGAGAAATGAATTTTTCTTGCATTATTCAGAAATAAATATATGAAAATAGCAAACAAAAAGAAACAATTATGTCTCGTACAGAAGATATAAATTTTGATTTGATATGTAATTAATTTTAATTATAATGCTGTGTTCTGAAATTCGATAGAAGTAAATTACAGAGTTTATCATTCATATTTTCTGATTCACTAGTACCAGAATGTAAGTAACAACGTCTAAAATAAATATTGGACAAACACGAAGATTTATACGCGTGTTTCTTTTGAAGAACTTTGCTCTTTCAACTAATCTTTGAAAACATTGTCGATATCGGTGTAGGTTTTTTAATTTTATCCTTTTCTGCTTCATTATCACTACTACTTGACATTAGTTTACTCGCATATCGTTTTAAATATCTAAATGAATGTAAACGAACGAACAGGGCTAATGCTTATCCATTATCATTAAAAAACACTTGGTCAATTCATGAGAAATATGAAAACGTTCTTACGTTAGATGAAAATCAAAAAATTAAAATATTACCTGGCACGAAGTTTTTGCTTTCGTGTTGATTCAATACCATTCTCATTTTCACCATCATTCATAGCAGTCATGGGATCGTCGTCTTCTTCCGGTTCACTATCTCCTCTATGAATAAAATGGATATGTTGTATTATACGAGACCTATTGATCGAAATCTCAGATATACCTATGTGGTGAACTGAAATAGTCTGATAGAATAGAACCTTGTTTACGCATGGGTTTTCTCGTCGTACGTGTTGGAGATGGCACAGAATCTTGTTGCTAAAATAGTTACATTTGTTTTGTCATATTTTCTATCAATCGATTAAAAGAAGTAATTAGAAAAAGATCTTTATCGATATGCTTCGACAACTTTCTTATATTCTAAAATTCTTTTCGCCTCTTCTTTTCTTTTGTAGTCGACGAAAAACTAAATTATAAAGTCTTATTCATGCTTACTTTTTCAGAAGATAAGCTAGTGAATATGATTTTTCAACAATAATTCTTAAATAATTAATTACACTACTACTGGTCTTGAGAAAATTTTAACTACAAGAATAAACTCTAGTTCTCGTTGATACTAGAAAAAGAAATGTCAAGATTTAGGTTTAATTTCAGAAAAAAATCAATTTGAGCATTTTTAAATTTCAAGCTGAAAATACAGCTAAGGCAAAATATAATATATTTTCAAAAAAACAAAAATTTATATAATAAATAATTTACTTTAAATCCTTGGCCAAGATCACGTTCATCAACTAGTCTTTTATTGATAGATCTAAAAGAATGTGCATACTATTTTTATGTTTTTAACATACCATCTTTTACTTACTTTAACGAATCAAGTTGTTTAACAAGATTTTCACGTTCAATAGCAATACTTTCTGTTAATGTCAACGCTTGTCTAAATAGAGATTAAATTAATAATACCAAGATGATTTTTGCATAGTTAATAAATACTTTGCTCTATCTCGTTTTTCTTTTTTTGTTTGAATTTGTAATTGCGAGATATAACTTTTCGATTCTTGAAGACTTCTTGTTAATTCTTGTAATTGCTCTTCAAGTTGAACTTTTTCCTTAAAAAAAAAAGAAGAAGACAAAATTCGTAGTTCTATTATACAACAGGATGTCAAAGAAAGAAAAAAAATCAATCAACCTTTTGTAATCGGTCATTTTCACTTTTGGTTTCTGATTCATTTAAATTTAATCGAAGTAATTTAATTTCTAAATCACTTTGTTTCTTTATTATTTCAGATAATTGTTGTTCTTTTGAACGTAATTCACGATCCATTTGTTCACGAAGTTCACGTTCTTTTAATTTTTCCTTTTAAAAGTAAAAGTTTCAAGCATATTTATATTTCAAAAGAAATCGAAATTATTTACTTGTGCAAGAACTTTAGCTTTTTCCGCTTTAATCTGTTGTTCCATTTCGTCATATAATTTTTTTATTTCTGATTCATGCACTGATGATTTACTATTCAAAGCAGCTTCAATACTTCTGTGATCTAATTTTGAACGACGCATTTCTTGTGTAATTTTACCAATAAACTGTTCAAATTGCCGTAATAAAGTTGCATCATTTTCACGTAATTTCATCCATAAGTGCATAATTGTTTCCTCATCATCGTACAAATCTTTAGCTCCCAATGCTTCTAATGTATCATGAAACAGTTGCTGTTCTTCTTTATCATTTGGATTATGTTCAATCATTTCTTGTTCATTTTCATTTCCATCACCCATTTGATCACCAAGAAACATTCCAAAGCCAGCTTAAAAAAACAAGGAAGAATATCAAAACTAAAAAAAAGTAGAATAAACAAAGAAGAAAGATTTTACATGTAAATTCTTCCAATGTAAGATAACCATTATGATCAATATCTAATGAATCAAAAACATCTTCAAGTTGTTCAGGCTCCACACCAAGTTCATCTCTCAATCGTTGCATGTCTTTTTTTATAATAAAACCTTTTTGTTCTGTATCGCATAAATTAAATAATTCTTCAGCTTTGGCAGATATTAATTGCTGGATATTGCCATTATTTAATTCATCAGATTGTTCAATTTCAGTCATGATTGATTTTATTTATTTTATGTACAAAATAAATGATATCTAAATTTTAAAGAAAAATATTCATCATTACATACGCTCTTATGAAGTGAAAGTATTCATCGATTTTTCTCTTTTGCCATACTTTGTGTTTAATGTTCTAAACAGCTGTCACTCATACGTAGGCATTTCTGTATTCTACGCCCACCTACAAGGTCTACTCGACACATGATTCCAATCGAAGCAATTTTGTTGTTCTTTTTCCATCATCGTTCGAGTCCTACCTGGATACACTCTGGGATCTGTCGCCTTTTTGTTTTGGTTTAACTAGAAGAAAGCTACTGAAAGTTTTCGTCGGAATGGAACGAAAATTTAAGATCGAACAAAAGCAATTCTGAAACGCAGTCTCCGAAGATATCATTTATCGATATCTGTACACATACATGAATACGTTTTTGTACTATTTTTTTTTATCTAAATGTTCTTTTTTTGTTTTATCGTTCTATTCATCATTTTTTATTTTTTTTGTTTTCAACTCTAATCGATCTGAGCACGAAAATAGAACGAAAAAGAGAAAACGAATTAATAAGGAATCTGAACAATAACAACAGCTGGTGCCATGAAATCATCTCGATCAAATAGAGTGGTATTAAATGTTTTGCTCTGAAGACGTCACCCATAATGTTTCTCTCTCTCTCTCTCTCTCTTTTCTACAATCAATAGAAGAAAATACTGTTCTGAATATTACTAATGTTCTACTATGACGTAGGCATTCGAATACTTTTAATAAAATTCAATTCTTTGGCAATCGCATATGTATACATTACCACAAGACAACTTAATAAGCCTAATTTAGAGTCCTGCAGGTCAACCTTGTCCTACCCTACCCTACCCTGCCCTGTAGGGCAGGATAGGGCTAGGGTACAAAACTCGTAGGGCAGGGCAGGGTTAGGGTATAAAGCTCGTAGGGCAGGGTAGGGTAAGGTTACAAAAAACAATATTTAGGGTATAAGTAGGGTGTAGCTCATACAAATAAAAATTTTATAGAGTAGAACTTAATATATGTTTCTGACATCTTTTTGATCAAAAACAGTGTAAAGAGTGATATCATAATCTAAATCGAATGGGTAGAATAACAACGAACGGAAAACAATGGCCTATTCTTTAGTACTATTTTTACATAAGCTGACGAGTTCAGTTACTTTTGATTGTTTGTCTAGTAAATGTGCATGTAAATGTAAAAATAAATGTGGAAACTTCGGATTTCATCCGAGAGTTATGTGTACTGCAAAAAGTGCATGCGACATATGAGTCATTCTAGAATGCCTGAACACGAAAATTATCATGAGAAACTAGACAATTTGATTTCTGGATGGAGTTTTTGTGAATTTTGAGACGTTTTTCAGGCGATGTTTCGTTAGAAAGCTATGACTTAGTTCAAAACTAATATCAGATTTAGAATCAGCGTTAAAAACTGAGTCGATTTATATATGTTGTGAATAATTCTGAGAAAATTTTTTTTTTGAAAAATCCCTGTACTCCCCCTCAGGGATGGTCTGATCAAAAATGACAATTTTTTCGACAACTCAGCCATTTCTTGACGGATCCTTCTCATCTTCGAACTCGACCTAGATATTGATGAGACAATTCTGTGCACAAAAATTCAGCTCAATCGAATGTAATTGTGAAGAGTTATCGAATAAACGGACGGCCGGGCGGACACACTGACCGATTCTATAGTGTACTCTTTTTTTTTGAGTACACAAAAAAGAATTATATCTGAAGTTGTTTAACATTTTTCTGTTTTCCTTGTCAAATAAGAACTATAGAAAAAGTTCCAACAATGAAATTTAATTCGGATTAGCTATTGTAGTTAAGCATCCACTGCATTGTAGAGAAGCTAAGTAGAGGCATCATAATATGATGATATCACCATCATTGCACAGGACATATTGTTTATTGTATTCAATATAAATTACAAATTGATGAAAACTTCTAATAGTCAGCCGTTTGGCACTAGTCGATTTTTACTTTGATAAACATGATGTAGTAGGAACTTTTCAAGAAACATTTTAATTTCAAAAGGCAAATGTGCAGAATTCTTTTATTCAGAAGGCAAAAATAATTGCCATTTATGCCTCATAAACTTTAGCGATTTGTACGAGTTTTTTTTATGAATAAAAAATTAAAGAGAACTAATATAAGCTCATCCTCTTCGTCTTCTTCTATTTTAAATATATATAACTTTTCTCTTTCTTCCATTAGCACAAACAACCATCGAACTGGCTTCCTTTTTGTAACATAAATACATAAGAACGAAGACAAACTACAGTAGTAGAAGAAATAAATAGATAGAGAACAAGGAAAAAAGAGATAGTGGATAGCAGAGAATAATAGCAATGAAATCAAGTAAATGTTTTAATAGACAAGAATGAGAGCGCAAAATAGATGAAAAAAAACAAAAAGAGAAAAAAACGAAAAATCACCAAACTTTGCTTGTTTCTTGGTTTACTATCTCGAATGCGCACGTATATATATATTTATATATGTGATATATGATAATAAAAGGAGAACGAGAGGTCGAACATGTCACTGTTTTAAAAACAACAACACAAAATGAGAAACAAAGAGAAAGAGAACAAAAAGGAGAGAATGAGGAGAGAGACAATGCTCAATGCATATGAGCTTACGTTTTTTATGTTGTTGTGTTCGAAAAAGAAAAGAAGAATCGACCAGCGAACATTGGTATTGGCATCATTATCAAAGAATAAATATATCGAAAGAAAGAACAAAAGAATAGAAGAAGGCTACATTTATTCCCCGGTAACGCAATGTCGCTGCCGAGAAAAGAAAAGAAAAGAAACACACTACTAAACTAACTGCTATGCTTTGAGTGAGTGACCATTACCGCCTAATGGCGAGTTTGGATGATAGAAATTATAGGCAGCTGTTGCATGTGCATTGGTAGAGCCGAAGTAGAAAAAACTACTATCATTTGAATTTGAACCACCAACACCACCATTCGCAGCATTATTCGTTACATTAACTAACGCATAATCATCATCCTCGAACTAACAATAGTAAAAAGAAATTCAATTGCACTGCTAAGATAAAATACATACACTGCTGGTATATTGATTATTATTATGAAATACATTCTCGTCATTACGTATTTGTTGTTGTTGTTGTTGTTGTGGAGGAAATGCCACTGTTGAAGATGGTTTATATGACTGTTGTCGATTATTAATCAAAGTATTTGCTGATAACGATGTAATAGGATTACTTGAATTATTATTATTATTATTATTATTGTTGTTGTTGTTGTTTAATAGAATATCATGAAATAATCCATTATGATTAGTAGTACCATTTAGAAATGTTTGTTGTTGACGATTTAAATTAGCTGTATTATTATTCATTGATGGAAAATACAAATGATTATCATCATTTTCTAAAATATATATTTGTTTCTTTTTAATTACAAAAATAAGTTAAAAATGATCAACATACTTGCAGGAATCGTTTGTAGAACTGAATAATTGCGTTGATTTATATTTGTATTATCTGTTGAATTATTATTACCATTAAGCTGTATTACAGATGGTAAACGTAAATCCTTTGTGAAAAAAAATATGAATAGATCGAGTTCTTTTGTTGTTTAATCAGAGAAAATAAATCAATTTACTTCAATATTAGCGAAATTAGGTGTCGATTGATGATTACTATGCTGATCTGATAATGATGAATAACGTGTCTCTGTATAACTGAAATCAAATAAATCAAACTCTAATAATTTGTATTATAAAAAAAAGATAAAACTAAAACCTGCTAGTACGTTGTTGCATAGAATTTGATGATTGTTGTCCAGCATTTGTATTTGTTGTTTGAATATCTAAATCACACATATTTGATAACCATGAGTTTTTTTTTATACAATAAAAATAATTACAAGGTCGAGATAATAAAGATTGTTGTTGTTGAGCAATCTAAAATTATCAAAACAAAGTTACAACTAATTAATGTGACAGAATAAAATATGAAAAGAAGTTGATATTAGTTATAAAACATATGTTCACAAAACTATAGTCCGTCAACTCGAACCATGATTTGATACTGTCACTAAATTTCGCTTATCGATTTGAGACATTCGTCTTGACGATACAAGATGCTTTTGCCTATTTTTCCGTATGTATTGTGACTAGCCTATACTGAATAGGCTATCAGCGAACCAAAATCTGTCAAGTTCAACATCTTCGAATTTCAATTACTAGATTCAGAATCACTTTAACAGGCTACACTCATGATAATTTTTCGAGAAACATTCGAATAATAGCCAGAGCAATATCAACCATTAGTTTCAATATCCTTCGAAGTAGTTCGTTTGCGAAGAAAATATGCTGTAGAGAAAAAAATAGTGATTTTTCTAACCATTGTTTGATTTTGATTATATGGCATTGAAGAATTTTGTTGGTGTTGAAAACGATAAAAAGCATTTGCAGCAAATGCAGCAGCAGCAGCAGCATTGTTTTGTTCAAGAATAGCTTGAGCAGCTGCTGCAATCACCGGAATTTGACTTGAGCTATTATTCTGATTATTTGTTTGTTGTTCATATGTTGTGTTTGTTGGATGTCCATGTATTTGAAGAATTGATGCAGGAATTTGTGAAGGATGATAGTAATGACTAAAAATTTAATTATACTAGAAATTTAATTTATGGCGTATTTATCATACTGATGATGATGTTGTTGTGGTATTTCTTGAATAACATGTTGTGATTGTTGTGGATTCCATAAAGGTAATAATGTTGGAGGCATTGGTCGAATTAAATTCGCACCATTTACTGTTGTAAATATTGGTAAAGGACCTGTAGTAGTTGCATGTAAAGTTGGTTGAGAAGGAGAATTATTATTTGATGAATTTGTTGTTAATACTGGTCCATTTGAATGACGACTTTTAGCACGATATTTGTCCATTTCAGCTTTTGAATGTGCAAATGTGCAATGAACACCACGTGGACATGATTGCTTTTGTACAAAATCCCGACACATGGATACCTAAATTTTTATTATTTGCTAATTAAAACTATTTTTATCGCTCGTGCAGATTGTTTTTTATTAATCTTTATCATGAAAGTTTAAAAAATGAGTCATTCAAAAAATTGAAACTATTATCATATGATTACAAATATTCAACACACGTGTTTTCTCAATCTGCGCTGTTGAAGATTTTTCATTCTAAGTTTTATTATTATTTCAATTTATGTTCAATCAGTATCAGTAGTCGAGAGATAGAGCGAAATCATTACTGATCTAAACCACAAATTGGTTCAATAAGATTTTTATGACTTTTAAATTCTTTACTATGTATCGATACTTTCTAACTTGGATGTTTGACTTTCAGAAATTTTATGTTGACCCTCTAAAACGATAAGTCTGGATAGCACATGCAACCATAAGGAAATTATCTATCTATCTAGATAACTTACAATTTAAAAAAATTAAGAAACTATCAAGTTCAATGTTTTGCTTCAAAAATTCTAGAAAACAATGTAAGTTTTTAAAAACCCAAATGTTGAACTCAAGACTATCTTACAATTTTCTACAAGATACTATTCTTTACTTTGCCTTTCTATTCTTAGAATAATAATAATAGAAATCTCTCTCAAATAATTATTTAATAGCAGCAAATTGTCTTAAATAATAGAAAAACTGCTTGAAAATAAACATAAAATCTAAAGACCTTGTATTTGATTTGATTGTGTAGTGATGTTTGTAGATGATTTTCTGACGTAGTACTACTACCACCTAACGGTGAAACAGTCATGGGTGAAGAACATGATGTCGATGATGTAAATGCTGTTGATGATAAATCATATGAACGATGATGATAATGATGATTTTTATTATTATTATAATTATTTTTTGATTCTTGTTGATTAAAGTCAAATAAAGATTTTAGAACTGTTTTAACGCATTGTAAAGCTTGTACAATCGATGGCCAAGTCGAATTCTCTTGTTGATTATCAGTTAAACTAATTTGTTGTTCATTATTTCCAAAATCAATCTGTGATAAAAATTCAAATTCTGTTTTTAATAACGACAAATACTTCGATGTATCTCCGGCACGTTGTAAAACAATTAAAAATTCTTGGATTGCTTGAGAAAATGAAGCTGGTGTAGATAATTTATCTATTATTGATTGCATGGATGACTTATGTTGTGTATCACCGTATAATAGTGATGACCATTGTTCAGGTGATATACGAAGACCTTTTTCAGAAACAAAAACAAATATTAATCGAGTTAACTTGATATTACTGTATTTTATTTGTGCTTTTGTATAATTAATATGAATACAAAAACATTATATTATTATACGTTGACTGATCTATCATACGAAAGAGACACTCAACGTTTTTGAATATTTAACAGATAAATATTTTTTAAATGAATCTTGCTTTTAAATTCAAGTATTACCAAGATCATCTTGTTTATGTGTCAAAATAATCATTATAGGAAAAATTTTTCTTTTCATATTCTAATCTGCAAGTTGTTGTTGTTTTTCAATGTAGAAATTTAGTTTTTATATTCGATGGAAACAGAAGTAACTATGAATAGTACAATTTTTCTTTACTCCATTATCTAGACTCTCGATAGTGAATGTTCACTATTGAAAGTCGAACCTATAGAAATTCTAATTTTCAATATTTAAATTATTCTGGCAGAAATACAATTGATCTTTTTGAAAATTTTGAACTAGCGTAGAATACGTTCAACAATTTTTGTTCGATTTAGAAAATATGATTTTATTTACCAGCTTCCATAGCAATTTGAATAATTTGTGAATCATGCTCGCGACGAAGACTTTCGTAATTTCTAAATTCTGATTTAAGTTGCATTAACGAAGATTCTTCTTCACGTTTTTGTACCTAACATTCAAAGTCCAAAGTACAGTTATTCAAAAAAACATTTTTTCTTATTTACCTTGAAGCAAGATGCACGATAAAGTAATTGTACAACATGTCCAACGCTTGTTTTACTTGCACGCGGATATTGTGGTGCTAATTTTTGTACGACAAATAGAACAAGAACTTTACGTGATAATGCTGAACCATCTTCAAGTGCTAATAGAATTAATTTTAATACTTCTTCTTGCATAGCTAAAGAAAAAAACAAACAGAAAATTTTACGAGAAAACAAAACACAATGTTTACCTGGTCCAAGAAATTGACAACCACGTGAACGAACAGCTGACCAAAGATTAGCTGTTAATTGTTGAGGATTTTGATGATGAAGAATAAAATCAATACATGTACGTTCGCCAAGACTACGTGCTGCTTTAAGAGCTTTTAAACGCCCTTCACGATCAATATATTGGCAGTTTAATACACTAAATATTTTACGTATCATCGGACGACTTAGAACTGATTGGCATTCTTTATCATTTACTAGAAAATAAAACAAATAAAGATGTTTCAAATCCATTTTTTTGATATTACGTATTGGTTTAATTGAAATTGCAATATCATTAAGAATTGTTTGTGTACGACAAAAAAATGATTTCGTTTCATCATCAAGCTTCATATAAGCTAAACATTGATCGTAACGTTGTTCAATATCTTCAGGTAACTAAATAAAGAAGATTAATAAATTAATAAATAAAAACATTCATTTATATTGGTCTATGTTTACTTTCATTGGATCATAAATAAGAGATAATAATGGATAATTTGTTGGCAACTGATCAATGGGTGTATTATTCATACCAAATGAAATTTGATCTTGTGGACATTTTGTTTGATTACAAATAATATCAATACATTGTCCACACATTGTATGGCCACATATTGATAATGTTATTGGACGATATAAATAATTTTCATATTCAAAATCATGTGAACATATAGCACAACGTAAAAATTCATTGTAATACGATTGAGCCGATTGACTTGATGGAGACATTCTTCTATCATAAAAAATAAATAAATAAATAAGTAAATAAACAATATTTTGTTTTCTTTTCTTTTTTTATACTCTTAATCACGGTAAATAAAAAAATCGTACTTATTTCAATAGATGTTTTGTTGCGTATATTTTGTGATGATGATGTCAGGCAAACCTTTCTTCCCACCACTGCCTATTTAACTAGCAGAGTGAAGAGACAGACAGCAGAGCAGAGCAGAGAGAGAAGAAGAGGACGGCGGCGGACGTGTACGTGTGTGTTCACTTTTCTCTCTCTCTTGTTTATTGTGATTCACGTGTATGTGTATGTGATGATGCTTCTAGTACGCATAACACACCAAAGAGAAGTAACAACACACATACACTCGTTCGAAAACAAACAGCTGTATTGTTCTTCTTTTTTTACTAATCTAGAGAAAGAGACGGAGTTGGTTTCCTCCATCCATTACATCGGACGAGTGAAATAAACGAAAGGAGGAGGAATGATGATGGACGAACATCAATTCTTCGGATGGCAGAATTCACAACCAATCATTTATTAACGAACAGCTGATAAACAAAAACAGCTGATTCTTTACCAGCTTTTAGCCAATATATGCTTAATGAGTCATAGACAATAAACAAAAGGCTAAATTTTAGGAATTGAAAAATTTGATTTTTCATTTAAAAATAGAATCTATTCGATTGCAAAAATAAATAAGAAAATACAATCATGAAAGAGTATGTGCTATAAATAACAATAATAAATACTTTTTATGATTGCTATATTTATAATTTCAACAAAATACATTCATTGAATCATAGAAATATCTTTATGAATTCTTTTAAAACGAAAACAAAACCAATTTTGCTCGAAAATTTTATGATGTCTACAAACTAATAATCATTTGATACTATAATAATAGTTTAAATAATTTTGTATAAAGTAACATACTAGTATTTTAATGAAAAAAAAGAATCTGACTTTTATAAACAAGAAACGAGAATATTCCTTTTGGTTTTTTTTTACCGTAAAATAAGTTATTGAATAAGATAAATGGCAAATAAAAAAAAATGTCTTTTCAGTGCACAAACTTATAATAATGACAATGTTGACATGGTATCAGTAAAAGAAAAGAAGAAAAAATACCAGTCGAAAAGATGAAACAAGTTACATTAGTTGATCAGGGTTTTGATTAGAAAAAAAAAGTTTCTATCAAATGAAAATTTTTATTTTTTACTTTTCAATATTCTTAATGTAAACGGGTCCCTCTTATTTTATTTCAATAGTGATCTTATTGATTGAAGTCTTTTTTTCTTTAAATCATAAATATAAATCAAATTCAAACGAGTGCTGATTTGTATTACACTGCATTGAAGATTATTCAATGAATGCTGTATGTTTAATTTAGCAAATATTTCTGCAACTAAAGCTAGAGATAGATTATTTTTAATATAAATAAAAGGTGTGAAATGTTATGTCGTAGGAGAAAACTTCCTTATTATTATTTTTTCAAATAATTTAAAGCCATATACGATTCTATTCAGCTTGACATTAGATAGTATTCGAACAAACTATAAGTAGATAAGAAATATGGTATACACGTTATATTTTTATGTAGCAAACAACAGGCACATTGGTATTTGCCTAAAGTGAATCACTTCTATAACTCTATTCAAAATATGGGTCCATAATAACAATTTAATATTCTGTTTTTCATAATATCAGATGGAAAATTTCTTGAATTTGATGACCATATAATAAACCTTTGAAGGTTTGATGTGACTATTGATAACTCCAGATATCTATAAAACCATGAGAATATATTCAATAATTGTTGTTGTTTGTTTCTTTTAGAGTTATCTAAGAACGGTTTATGTTATTAAAATATAGAAGAAATGATTACGATAGATTTTGAATTGTACCAATGAACTTGAAAATAATGAAATACTATTTAGAAAAATTTGTTCTTTCATAGAATTGTCAGCACAATGTTTTTAACGAATTTAGATAAGTTTTAATTTTCTCTCGACTATTTGAAATAGAAATTAATATGATGATACGATCTTGTAATTTCATCTTCATCGATATTAATATTATTTCTATTTTTAAAAGAGATAAAATGTTATTCGCAATACGATATCAGACTTGGCAGATTTGATTTTGACTGACAACTTCTTTTCTGTTCATTATTAGTTTTAAAACAAATGCGAAATATCTTTAAAGAAACTTTGTGTAAAACGAAATTGTTTTATTTGTAGTACAGAACTCTTTCGTTGTATATTCAGTTCCGAGAAATTCATTTTCTTCCTAGAAATATTATAAAGTCTAATCTCCAATTGAGGTAATCGATGAATCAAAAATATTTTTTAATAAAAATTTTCTTCTTATTTTATTTTTCTCTTTTTCTTATTTTTTTTAATGTGTAACAACGAAAAAGATTGAAACATAAAAAAAAAACAAAGATAAGAGATTTAAATCGCTGCTTATTGAAAAGAAAATATTTTGTTTATTTATTTTGATTCTTTAGCAAAATATCCTTTTCCAACAAAACCATCTCTTGCAGCCAATCGTAAAATTGAATCATCTCCTTCACCCATCATTCGAATTGAGCCACATAAGGCATATGTACGGTTTTTTCCTGTAATTCGTCCTGTATGTTCATCAACTTCAGCAATATCCAATTGAATAGCAGCATGATCTTTAGCTGCGATGATTTTATTACTGGCAGCACATTTTCTTGGAACATATAATTCAATTTGTTCTGTTGTTGGTACTCCGTCTGTATTTTGCATGTTTTAAATCTTGTTTTTATTGATATGGACAAGTTTTATATATGAATATCTGAAACATTTGAACGTAAAAGAAATCTTTGTTTTTCTCTTCTACTAACAAATAAAGGCAAAGAAAGAAAAAAATCAATGCAAATTTAAAGGAAACTTTTATTTAAGTTGTTATCAAAAAAATGTTATCTCCAAAAGTTAGGATTTTCTGTGATGCGTCGTTGAAAATTATTATACCACGTTTGAATAATACTTAATGGAACAATTTGTTCCGATGTGCCAGGAACATTTTGAACAAATGATGTTACATAATTAACAAAATTATTGAGCATTTTTGATACAAATTCAACATTTGATGCAACTGTAGATGGTGTTATATCGTGGGGTTGAATTTGTTGATCAAGTTGGCTTAAAGGTTCAACACTTATACCTAATAAACCATCCGTTGGAATGGCTGTTTGATGTTGAAATCCACTGAATAGAGTAGGTGCTAGTGAAGAGCCAATTTTAGATTCTATATCTAAATAAAAAAATTATTTTCCGAGACTTTGTAAAGAAAAAAAATGATAAAAAACCTTTTATTTTGCCAATTTTAAAAATTGCACTTGGCTTTACATTTGTTATTTTTCCAAGAAAAATCCATGATGGCCCTTCTGCACTTGGCCAACTAAAGTAAACTAAAATATGGAGAAATATTCGAGAAAAAAAATAAAAATCGAGTAAATATTAATTACATAATACTTGCCACCACCCCCGTAATTTTCAGGAAATGGAATTTGACCAGTCATAAACACAACAAGATGATTTACATGATCAATATCCGATATCGGAATTACAAATTGTGTTTCGCTCACTTGTTGAAAATTGATTTGTGGCTACACATTAATAATCAATGTATTATTTTTGAAATTGTTAACTAGTGTGAGAGAATCTTACTAATCGACCAGCAATCAGAATTGAAAACATAAGCTTGAAAAAAATTCTTTTAGTTTTGTTTTGAATTAATCTGAAATAAGCACAAACACATGTTTAGATAGATACATAATTTGATTCAGATATATTTAAAGTAAACAATCAAGAATAAATTCAACAAAATACACAAAAACGGATTAAACTTTAAGCGCTCCGTGTCTTTGTAAATGTTTGAGACGTTGATGTAGACGACTTTTCATTTGTTTCGGTAGTTGTTTTAAAAATTCTAATTCCATTTTTAATTCCTCTTGCTTGGTTCGATTATGTCCATCATCATTATTAGTGTCCCTGTGAGCCATCATATGTTCAGCTCCACCGCGTCGCATAGCTAAGCCTTTAGTATGTAAATCTTCGATCAATTCATTTGTTGTTGGCATATTCTGTGTAAGAGTCAATTGAGTTATTGGATGATTTGAATCATTATCGAAACGAGATTTCCCGTATAATGGACAAATTTTATCTGTATTTACATGACCCCATTTTTTACATTTTATACAGCGAACCTAAATAAAACAAAAAGAATATTAGTATGTTAAGATATAAATAAAGTTTTGATCATCAAGGAAAAGTTTTATCAATAATTAAACTTAAGAATAAATCATAACTATTTTCGTTTTATTTTGATTCTGTGTTGATCATCTTATCGAAAGATAAAGATTTCAATCAATGTCAATCGTTAAATTCTGTCTGAATGGCGATTGTATTATTTTAACTAACTAATTTTGTTTTCAACTCTTCACATATGATGAAAGATAAATGATCGATAAAACCATTGTTATAGATGCAATAATCTAAGTCCTGTCGGAAGAACGTTTCTTCAATGCATTGCTTCATATACTTAGTTTCATAAATGAACTCAAAATCTATCAATAGACTATTCAAGATCAATGCACGTTGAAGAGCTAGTAAAATAGTGTTTTATATAAAATATCATTGCTATTTAAATAGTCAAAGTATAGATGCTAATTACTTGAATATGTATAGCAAACTAAAAAAGGATTGACTTCTCGAGTTTTCAATGATTGAAATAAGAATAAAAATAGTTTAAAGTTTCCCCGATAATTTACTGTCATTCCTCTGAACTTAAACTTAATCTTACTCATTAAAGAGATTCAATGGAGAAAAATCTCTTCGTCACATGATAGTCGGCTAGTTAAGATCTAAAGATAAACACAGAGCCATTTGCACACGAACATTTTCAACTTATGCAAATTTTATAGCTGCCCATTTTGTATATAAGAGCACTGATGAGACGAAAGTTTTGCATAAGAGAATAAGTCAAAAAAAAGTGAATATTTCAAAATTTCGCTTGAAATAATAAGACATCATGATCTTCTCCGTCGGATCGAAATGACAATTTAACTTTATTAAAAAACCATCTATCACCTCATATTTTTTTGAAAAAAAGGAAAATAAAAATGATCTATTAATTTAAGTATAGGCATATTCATTATTTTTGTCATTCTTTCTTTTTTTTTCGTTTATAGTTATCGACCATCATTATAGAAGGTGATCTTCATAAGAAAAAATAAACAGTAGAAATAAGTGTAATCTTTTAAATATTCTTTTTGAAAATGAAGCTTTTTCTTCATATGAACAGATAATTTGGCTCGTAGAATGATAATTAGAGATTCTCAAGACACCATGTTTATTTTGAAATGAATACCCGTGAAAGTCATATAACCAAGACGTTCCATAAGTTTTTGTATGTTGTTTCTTTTTTTATCTGAAGTGTTATATAGAAGCAAAGTCATAGATCTTCAAGTCTGACAACAATGGTCAGAATTCCTTCTAATATTTCATAAGATTACAGAAATTTTCTAATGGTGAAAAACGATGTAATTTTACATAGTTCTTTTGATTAAAAGCACAAACAGAGCTACATTTGATAAAAGTGATTACTACATCTAATCTTTTTCTTGTAGTTTAACATTAGAAAGAAAGTAAAAGATTCTTACATTTCTGACTTCAATGCCAAAAGGTTGATCCCGAATTTTATCATCATTTTTAGCCCATGATTCTCTTGGTGCATTATATTTTCTTTGCCATTCAAATTTGGGTTCATCTTTTTTAATAATTAATGTTCCATCAGCTCGTCTGAGTTCTTGTTCCTGTTGTTGTGGTTCTTCTTGTTTAGCCATTCCAGCCGGTGGATTATACATAAACGAAAGGCCAAGACGTGCTTTTTCATCACCCATTAATTTTTTATTAGAAAACAATTCTTGTTCACGTTCATATTGTTCACGTAATTCCTGTTGTCGCAGCTTTTCATTAGCAGATTTTTGTTCAGCCATATATTGACGTTTCATATTTCCAATATTCGTTGGATGAAACCATTTTTTTGACATATAATTTTCATAGCCCTAATAAAATACACAAAAAATAACGATATAACAAAATAAACACTATCAAAAATTCTTACTTTTCCCATTTTTGCTACTTTTCACGAATTTCAGTAATAACAAATAAATAACTGGGTCTCACAAAACGTACTGATGAAATAAATAAGTAAAGACAGCCCATCAAATCCATGTTTTACCTATTGGCGAATGTTTAGATTGACTTCATTTTAAATTGAAAAATTCATTTATTATGAATTCTTATAGAAAAATAAAAGTTTCTTCTTATTTGAAAACAAAAAAAAAAATTTTTTTTAAATTACCTCTGATAGGCTTCTGATTGCCATAGAAATATTTGCATTTATTCGTGATCAATGGCGATAATCTTGTCAAATAAAAAGAGTCAGTTTGCATGTTTGTTTCTTTTTCGTAAATGTGTGAAATGCAATTATGAATGAGTCACTTTCGCTGATATTTATTTCCAGATAAAATAAAAGACAAAAGATTATCATCATGAGTAATTCACCAAGTGAAAGTACTCATTCATCATCTAGCCGAGAAAATCCTTCAGGATATTCTAATTCAACGAAAATGAATCGTAGAAATAGTAGAGAAAGTCCAATGGCTTTTTATGAAATTCCATCATGGGTAGAAAATGTACCGTCAAAAATAATTAATAATGCTAAACAATCATTAAGAGATATGCCGACAACACGTCCTTATACGCCACGTGATGATTCAAGATATACATTAAGTAAACTCAATCATGACTCAAATTCGTTTAGGTAAAATATTGAACAATATAAAAAAGAGCAGAAGAAAAGAAAAATTACTTTTTTAGTGCATCATCGATTGATTATGAAGCTGAATCACGGCCAGGATCCAGTAAAGTAAGATATTGAATTTTGTTTTTTTGAAAACAAAAATAATAAATAAATCAAAAATTAAATCTCTTTTTTGATGTAGACGGCAGATGTTAAACGACGAAATTCTAAAGGTAAAAAGCCTGAATCCTAATACTTATCGAAAATGTATCAATTAGGTTTAATCGCAGGAATATCTGATAATTCTGTTCTCATCGCAGCACCACCGCCCCCAAGGTATATTATAAACTATGCACATTTTAAGATTCTTAAAAGTAATACTCACACGTTCTGAAATTGTGCCTTTTTTAAGTTTAAATTAAAAGATATTTCATTAAATAAATACAATTTATAAAAAGCACAACTAATCATTTTATTATCCTAACAAAATGCTTCATAGACATTTTCAATACTAAATAAATTCATTGATTATTTTAATATTGATTAGGCTTTCAAAAATAATTTATCAAGCATCCCAAGATCAAGTGCGTTCAGGTGACAGTAACATTTCGAATGAAACAAAACCTCCATTACCATCAAATCATCAACGATCAAATGTTGGATCGACAAGTACACAATCGACGACAACTAAATCATCACATCATCGAACTAGTTACTTCAAATACTTCTTAATTATAAAAGGAAAATAAATGTATCCTTTTTATAAATTGACTATAGGTTCGGCATCAACAAAAGATGATTCATCAGAAGAAAATCTTATTTGGAAACATGAAATCGGTCCACTAGTTGATACACTTATAACAGCTTATAAAAGTATTGAAATCATTGTTTAAGTAAACAGATTTTTAAAAGTAAAAACAATATTTCTTTTAGAAAATCATTTTGAACAATTTGATCTAACTTGTAATGATCTTTATAATAGTTTATTAAAACATAATTTATTTGCGAAAAAAAGTAATAAGAAACGTGGAGAATTATTAAAAACATTATTTGGTTTTATTTCATCGGAAAATTCATTTGTGAGATTTCATGTTGCTCGTTTAAGTCTTGCCGTAAGTTTATTTAATTTCAGAAGATTTAAAATCAAATAAAATGTATTCGTCAATTTTATTAGTTTCAAATTAGTAGTGCAAATAATCTACGACATATTATTTGTATAACAGCTGATTTAACTTCAAATAAAAATAATGATCATTTCTTTTTAAATACAAATATTCTGGGTAAAGTTTATTTTATATACAAAGATTATAAGAAACACAACGAAAACAGTATTGTCTTTTTAATTAAATTTAGATCTTCTTTTTGAAACAATACCACGTATAGATATTGAACAAAATCTTGAGTCAATCGCTTATTTTTGTACAACATTAAAAAATTTAACTGTTAATAATGAACTTATTTGTTTAATTTCTGAGAAGAGACCGTTTGAACTATTGAAAAATATTTTAAAACGTCTCCTACAAGTAAGAATTGACTTTATTCTATGATTTTGTTTTTACAATATTCGATATTTTTTTCTTTTTAGTTGAAAGATCAAGCACAACTTTTTGAACAATTACTTAAATGTTTAATACCAGTAGACTTTTAAATTTGTGTTATACAAGAAAAAAAATTCTTTTCTATCTAGTTGACAGGCACATTGAGAAATTTAGCTGAAAATGATCTTAATCGAAGAGAATTCTTATCAGATGAACTTATCAATCATTTAACATTTATATTAAAATATTTTACGGATAAAACTCATGAAGATTTAATGAAAAATGTGGTGCGATTATTAAGGTAAGCGTTAATTTTTCTCAGTTTGATTTTTGTTAATCTAATGAAAAATATTTTTTGATAATCAAGTAAATTGACTCAACATACAGATTGTTGTATGAAACTTGTGCAATGTTCATCATGTTATCGTTCATTTCTTAAAATACTTGTTAAACATGAAAGTAATCAGGTATGAAAAATTTAATACTAACAGCAAACCATTTTCAAGATAATTTTTACTATTTCCGAAGCAAGCAATGTTTAATTATTTTTTTTTGATAGATAAATATATAAATATTTCGATAACTGATGTAACGCCACCGGTGCTTTCTCGACATATTTAACTTTACATATCTTGTATTCTTATAGCAAGGAAAAAAATAATAAACATCGTCGTTCTACATTTTAGTTCCGAATAAGCTTCACTAGCAGAACATTTCAAACGTTACATCATTAAAAATTTCAATTTTAATTTCTTTTGATTTTAATTTTTGATTTCAAAACAAAGGAGCCATTAAACTATTATGATACATCATCTAGAAATAAATCATCTGCATTAGCCATATAATACAAAAACAAGTATGATATTTGAGTAGACAGTTACTTTTTCAAAACATTTTGAAAGCTGGATAATCAAATAACAAGGTGAAACAAGTTCAAGTTCGATAGTATCAATTTAAAAAGTAACGTTTACTCGTATATCATTAATTGATAATCTGTTAAATCTGCTATATTCTATTTTTCTTGCAAACTAAGAATCTTTTAACTTATTAACGAGAGGTAGATGTTCGTTAATGTTTGGTAATGAAATAATTGCAATCTATATGGTTAAAAATTAATCTTTATTCTGAGCATTAGAGATCTAAATCAATATAGATTATATCAAATTTGGTAATAGTGTCTAAATAGACGAATGTTCTTATAATCACAAGACTAAATTTATCTGGAGTTTTTAATATTTAAACCAACTAATATTAGTTTCTTTGAGAATTTCGAATTAATTTGTTGTAATGTTTATGATTGCATTATTGAAAATTACGGCAGATTGTTCTTAAGTCTGAGACTGATAATAGATAATGATCGAAAATGAGTTTCGCTGTGCATCACATTCTATTGACTAGAGAAGTCTTCTTTTATAAGTTGAATTAATTTTTCTTTTGAAAAGGCATTGGTGGTGCGTATCTGTTTTATTCTTGGTAATATGATGGCTAAAAGTGAAGATGCTCGTTTAACATTTATGAAAGATACACATGCTTTACAAACATTAACGAAACTTCTTCATTCATACGTTCAGCTTGATTCTCTTGTAAGTTTTAGCTTTTGCTTTTCTTTTTATTCTAAATATAAATTAGGTATTAAAACCCGAAAAACTTGACAATGATGATTCAATAAGTCAAGATGCTGATGTTACTGACGATTCGAATATAACTCAGTTTCGTTCAATTGAAAATGTCATTAATAAAGTTATACGTGTATTAAGCAATTTAGCTATTTCAGAAGAAAATGGTTTAATTATTATTCGACGTGATGATTGCATCGATCTTTTATTTAAATTGATCAGTAAGATTTTTTGTTTTTCATTCGCTCATTAAATTTAAAGAAATACTTTATTGTAGAATCACCAAACAACCATAGTGAAGAATTATTGGTACATGTTTTAATGGCACTAAATAATTTATCATATTATGATGATTCACAAAGTTATATTAATCGAAATTCTGAAACGCTTGCTCAGCGTAAAACACACATAAAGAAGTTTGATAGGAGAATTCTTTTTTTTTCTTTTACAGTACTAGTTAAATATATACGAAATGAAGAAAGAATGGATTGCGTTGTTGAAGCATTTCGTGTATTAGGAAATTTATCAAGAACAAATAAAATTCGTGATATTTTAATGAAATGTAAAGGTAAGAAAAAAAAATTAAAAACTTAGAGTCATCAGATACATAAATTAAAAAATTTATTTTATATAACCTTAGTTGATCGTTTGGCAATTCATCATTGCCAATCGGATAATGTTGAATTATTATATGCAGCCATTGGCGTTTTAATTAATTTAACTGTCGATGAAGACAAACGAGAATGCTTAAAAATTCATCATGGCATTGACAAGTTTATATTTTAGCTTCAATTAAAATTTTTATTTCTTTCTATATTTTTAGCTTGATAAATATTTTTGAATATTCAGTTCAATCTGATTGGCAATTATCAAGGTACTTTTTTTATTGTAAAACTATTAGTGCCAAAAATATCATAAGAAAATTTTCAATTTCTTCTAAAAAAATAACCGTCAGTAATGCGTATACTCTAGTTTGTAAATAAAGTTATAAATCAATTAAAAGTTTGACTCGGATTAGATATTGTTTTAAATTTGAAGTTCATATATGCTTTTTCTGTTTTCAATTACATATTTTTTCATCTATCATGATGACAGTGCACGAATTATAAACTCATTCTCTCTTGATGAGTAAAAGATAACAACCAAAATCTTTTCTTTTTGTTCTATTCATTTAAAACTGTTAGTATTTTATCGGAATAATAATTTCTGAGTCGAACAATATAGGCTAGTGAGGGATTCTTAATGAAGCTGAATTCTTGAAAAACACTTGTCATTCTGCCAAATTAAAAGTAAAAGCGGGTTCTCTTTTTTCTGACATATTCGAAGAAAATGATTGAGAAGTCGATACGTTAAATACTAAAAATATTCGGCAATGTAAAATGATTCCTTAAGTAAAGTTAAATAACTGAATGAGATGTTCTTTTTTTTGTATCAATATCAATGATGCTTTTATGAACATACTATTGCCATTAGTGGTTGTCGTCGATCTTTTTTCCTGCTATTTGCCATGCATCACATTTCAATGAACATTTTAACTGTTTCATATACAGATCTCATGATACTATAAGCAAAAATAAATGATTCTATTTAAAGTTTCGACCAAATCCAATGATTATTCCTCGTGATATATCTGAAACTATTTCCCGAGTTTTGTCACACAATCTAAATAGTTTCTAGTAGAAATTTTTACAAAGAATAAACATAATTGTATTGTGTTGAATTAAAAATACTTCGTTATTTTAGCCTTGTCTGTAAAGCGTTGTGGAATTATTGCGATAATAATTATGAAAAAGCTGACAATCAACCACTTTGGTTTACTGAAGACCAACTGAAAGTACTACTTACACTTTTTGATGAAACTCTCAGTAAGAATTTTAGTTACTGTTTTAAAATAAAAACATATCATTGTTTTTAAATTCAAGATGAAAGCGGTCTTGAGTCAACTGATGATGAATCATTGGATGAATTAAATAAGCAATTATGGAATGAAGAATATTTTCCAGTGGCATCACGTTTATATCAACGTGTTATTGAAGGAAATGAATATTTCAAAACAGTTCAAATAAATGACCATTCATAATAAATTTTAAAAAATTATCGAATATTTCTTTTATGTTTTTATTCGTTTCTTTAACGAACGAGTCTTTCAACTAATTTTCGTTCTTTTTTTCTTTTTCACATATAAGCGCACATATACTGTATTTTTGTGTCTTCACTTTCGTTTTTCTTCGAGAAATAATATCATTTTGCTTTTTAACCATGTAAATAGTTAATCAAAAATTATCATATTCAATAATCAAAGATAGGTACTAACTCGTTTTTATTCATGTAGTTATTTTAAAAATTAAGATTAAATCTAGGGAACTGTGGAATTACATTTCTTGTTCCAGTTTCTGTCCTGACATAAGTTACTATTGAAGTTTTTTTCAGATCGCGAACCTAACCGCAGCGAAACATTGATTGCTTCTAGTCTTAATTTCATTTTTTTTGAATGGCTTTCCTTTTACTAATCTGTATACTTTTTTGAGATTATGTAAAATTAGTATTTGATACTTTTGAGTAACTAATAGTATGAGCATCTATTTATATGCATGCATTAAAACTGAGAAAACGTAAATTATGTTTGTGTCATTCAGCATTTTCATTGGTTCTATTGCTTGAACTTATTGAATTCGCTCACAATTCATAGAACTTGCATGAATTCAAGATTTACATGGTGTCTTCAAACGATATTTGTTCAAAAATCATTTTTATTACGTAAAAAACAAGAGTAAAGATAAAATGTAGAGACAAAACAAATACATAGACGTTTCTTTAAAAGTATTGCTATACATGAACATCTATTTTCAAAGAATTCGTAGATTAATTAAAGATTGTTTATACAACTGAAATAATTAAGATTTTTTTTTCTTTATGACGTGTTACTGGGTACACTATCAACAATATGCTATAATGAAATTGAAGTAAAAAATTGCCAACTGCGTAATAATGAAACTAAACTTGATTAGTTTTTGGGATACCGATTGCTTTTCCCGATATGAATCGCATGGTTTATAATAGGGCGTAAAATAAAATCTAATCGGCTTTAAATTATTATGATGTAAAAAGAGAATTTATTTTTCTTCATCTCTTTTTGATTAGATTAGTTAATCTTTATTTCAATAAATGAATTTTCATCTTTTTGTTTTTCCCATCAATTTCTTAGTCTTAAAATAATATTTTTGTAAATATTTCATCATATAAATTCATATGTAAAATTGATCAATGCTTCAAAATCATTTCTTTTTTTTTAAGTTAACAATTGGCAGAATGTGAATAAATTGTATATTCAACACAGCTATTTAGAATAATAAAATATTCATTTTACACATAGACGATCAAATATTGACCTTCGATTGATGATTCATTTACCTGATTATCATCATTCAACAGTGATTTATCAATATCAATGACGTGAACTATATTTTTTTCGATTTCTTATTAGTTTATAGTTCTTAATTTTTCTATCATTTCATTTACAATCTTCACATGAATAATGACGAATACAATATTTTCATTTATTGATCGTTCTTAAGATATTTTCATGAATAAGTTTTATTGAATCTGTCTTCCCTTTCGATCGCAAACATTTTAATTCCTTGATATATGGGATACCGTGAACAATAATTACTATCAAATTGATGCCTATTACATTTTATATCGATGTTTACTACTTGAACATAACATTTAATTGAAAAAGTCTAAGTTACATCTTCAATGGTCAGTATAGATAATATATGAATATTATTATTTAATAATCATGAATTCATATTACTACCATCAAATTGACTCAGTGTTTGTACTTTATTTGAAAGAATCAAATGGTGATAATGATTATTTAACATCTATTTATCGAATTTTGAGTACGTCTACTGGCTTGAATCCAATCAAACATTAGAAAGTAAAAGACGAAAATATTTCTGTAATTTTAGTCCTTTACTATATTTTACATTGACTTAAAGATAGATTACTTTTGATTAAGATTCTTCAATAATTAAATGAAATATTTAGCTGCATACCCTGAAATAATAATTATATTCGACGGATCGCGATTCGCGAATAGTTTAATTTTTTCTTTATTAACCATATACATATTATTAAATTATTCTTTGACTATATCTACGCAAAAGATTATACTAATTTATTATCAAGACTTCCTGTTTTGAATATGCTTCATGAGTAACTATTATAGACTTTGATCTTTATTTTTTAGGAATATTTATGTGTATTGTCTTTGTGTTTTGCATATGCATTAGATTTCATCATTGGCGGCAAAAAACATATCATCATATTTTTCTTACTTAATGAGCTTCAGCTCAGTTCTTTTGGTTACAACAACAAGAAACATGATTATAGATCATTTTTTCCTCATGTTGTTGATGACATAACAAAAAGCAAGAAGAAATTATATATATATATGCATCAAAATTCGATTTCTCTTTTCCTTCCATTTCGCTATCTTCTTCTATGTTAAGCGAAACATGAAAGAGAGAGCATGGTAGTCGTAACAGATGGTGCTTGATGATGATCGCCTGTAGGCAATAAGACGACAGAAATATGAAAAGAACAAGAAAAAAGGAAAACTAGTAGAATGTCGAAGGAGCACGAGAGAGAGAGAGAGAGAGAGAGAGAGAGAGGGAGGGAGAGAAAGAGTAACACGGCCTTTTCTGCAATCGTCTCTTACTGCCGTTCTCGTCGTCTCAATCAGTATGCGGATTTAACACTCTCCTCCTTTCGTTCGGCTCTGATCACACATATACAGAGAGGAAACAATTTTCTTTCCCCATAAGCAAGTAAAGACGACTGAGTGAGTGAATGAGTGGTGGAGTAGAGTAGTGAATGAATGCCATTTAGGTCATCGTTAAATGATATTCAGTAATCAAGGAAGATTGTCGTCTTGATAATGTAAAGAATTACAATAATACAACGATGAAACTAATTTGTTTTCTAATTGCTTGATTTTGTAAGTAAAAATAGATGAGTTTTTGTTCATTTGTTATTCTAATCCTCTTGAGTATTTTCTATTTTTGGTTTAGCTCGAAAAATTTCTTTCTGATTTCAAGAAAAGAGTAATTCTTCTTAAAAAAAAGAATAAGAATAAGAATAAGAATTTCCTCATTCATTTGTGATGAATATAACAGTTGGTATTCAATCAGAAAAAGAATAGATTATTGAGTCGTATAGGTAACATTCAGCATGAACAGAACAATAGTTGTTCACCCACTGTTTCTTCCTCTCTTGACAGTTCATTTCCGTTTGTGGCCCTTGTTCTTCTGTTCTTTTCAAGCCACAACTACTTTACGTACGACGGATAGGCAGATTCATATTCTTTTCCGTGTTCTAAATAGGTAACATTTTTCAGTTCTAGTCATGTTCAATTATAATAGAATATTTTAAAAAAAACATCTTGAATTTTTATTCATGAATAAATTTTAAAACAAAAAGAAATTTTCAATTATTAGAACTCTCAAGAGAAAATTAAATATAAATCATTCAGGTGAGATATTAATCATGATTTCACAGTTAAACCTTATAGAAAGTCAAAGAAGCAATAATAATTGCTATGCTAAATTATATACATGATCAACAATTGAAATCTTATTAGAACAGTTTCTTCTTAAGGCTTCATATCTTGAGTTTATTTGCGTAGGAAATAAATAATTTTAAAATGCACAAGGTTTTTTTCTCAATATGCCTTAAGCTAAAAAAAGAAAAGAAAGCAAACGCACCTCCACAAGATTATGTTTGTTCTTCTTTTTTAAACTGATTACCTGATTCACTGGGGGTATACCTAAATTGATTCACTATGAAACCTTAGAAAATATGTCTCGTTAAATGAATGAATGATCCAGTAGAATTCCAATCGTATTTTTTTCCTTTTTTTTTGTAGAATATAAATTTAAAAAAAATGATATCAAATTTAACATTAATTAATCGTGCTGATGTTATTTATTATGATACAGATAATTATCATTTACCATATGAAGATGATGATTTAAATAATCAAACATTTTACGATGAATATATAATAAATAATAACCGAACGCTAAATTTAACAAATGCCGATGTTCTATCATTACCTTCAATATTTTCTTTTTCAAGTCCATTTTCATATATATTTTTAATTTTAATTGTTTACTCAGTATTAACAGTTATTTTACTTTCACTTAGTTTATATAAACAGAGACAAGTTGAAATAGAAAATTTTTATTTTGGAGACACACAAGAAGATATTGAAAAGGCTAAACGTTGTTTAGTATGGAAACAATCATTAATTGGAAAAATCACAAAAGGTGACATGGAACCATTATTAATTGAAACATATTCAAACTCGAATGGAATGCCGTCAGAATCTAAAACAGTAACATTTCCATTGCAAATCGTATGAACTAAGACAGAGTTTTCTTTTTCTTAATTTGTTATTATGAATATTATAAAAATGAATATAAATGATTGCTCAATCAATGTAAAATAAATCAATTGAATTTTTAAATCAGTCTTATTCTTATCAACGACTAGATATAATTTTCTTATTTAAAGCACGTTTTTCTTTATATTTCAATTCTATTCAGAATTTTTGACCGCCCATAATTCTCTTTTACTTTCTTTATTCTTTTGAGAAGATGAAATAATCCTATGTTACTAATTATAGCTTTCATCAAATATGAAAAAGAAAAGGTTGACTATGGTTTTTATGTCTAATAAGATGGGTATAACAAACTAGATGATACCAATCAATCCTATTTGAATTAGTGAGTTTAATACTATTTTCTGGTTAATTAACAAAACATCACTATTAAATCAGTTTTGCACAAGGAATCTCTTAATTGAATATCGTACAAGCAATTATGTTGATATAACCAATGGATAATTTATCCTTGAAATATTTCTTAAGTTGATTAAATAAAATATATTCGTATAGTTATCAAAGACGAAAATAAGAAAAACTAAATGGCTAATTTGCTGTGTATTATTGCCAATTAAGCATACAACTGGTGAATAGACAACATGTGGCTGATGCATTAATGGAGAAATATAACAGTTAGTTGTTTCTATTGCTTTCTATTGATGGAATTCTGATCATCCGTTCTTGTTATTTTTTTTGTATATGTACGTGTTTGTTTAGTAGTAGTTGGAAGCACTTTAGCTAGTATGTTTATAATGAAACAAAAACGTTTTCTGACGATAAAATCGTTTCTTAAATGGAAAATTCTTTTTCTTGTACTCTTACGTGATGATTTATATAGATGAATAGTACAATTATGTTCTCTCATCACCACTACTCGCGTTCGACAAGCAAAAGAATATCGATTATTATATAAGCGAAAGGGGTGCAAATATCGATTGTTCCCTAGTGATTAACGCTTGAATCAATAATACTTCTAACATAACAACAAACAGAAGCCATAATTTTCTCTCGAGAAAAACTCTGTTGTAATTAGACTAATTTATCTTTCGTCAAGGGTATACACACATATGCATATTATTAAGATCGAAATAGAAATTTCTTATGCTATATTTCAGTTAACTGAATTAAGCTTTTTTCTTTGATCAAACGAGGCGAAGTTAACAATCACTTGATATTATTAAGTCAAGAATGATCATCATTTGCATAAATAGATTATATTTGCTAGATGTTGTACAAGAAATGTGGCAATCTGCGGATTGAAATATTATTTCGTGAAATTCTTGTTCTAAAGAAAAAGAAAGAAAAAGAAGACATTGATTGTTGATCCTTTTCTTTTTTTAAATCTCTAATGACTGATCTTTGACACAGTAGATGTCCTTTTTTCCTTTTCCGGCTCATTTGTGCGTGTGGACGTGTCAACTTGTTTCATATTTCCATTCATTTCATTTGTAATCTTCTCTTTTTTATATGACAGCTAATATTAATGATCAGATTTTGAGGATTATAATAATATTTAACAAGGCAGTATAAAAAAAATGTCAAGTAACTAAGGAATATATAAATATATTCTTTAGTTATGCATTAAAACTCTTTTTTTTCTTTTAACATATTTTCTTTTTCCTTTTTGTAATTAGCTTTAAAATATTATTCAAGAAATTTAATGAAATAGAAAGAGGAACATGAACATAAAAATCAAACAGCGCTCTTACCTTATCAACGATGGACATTCTAATTACTAGCAGATGTGCTTTAGTACTCATTAAAATTTAACACGGAATATCTCTTATTATTTCAATTGTAAACCGATAGACAGATTTGTTTTTCTTTACATAACTAAATGAGCGTACGATTCTAGAATACCGACGAATTATGTTCATGCATTGTTATAATTTGTCTACTACGAAGTATATAAAATAAACATGGTTCATTATAGGAAACTATAAAAACGTAATATCGTATTCGAATTACACTCACAGAAGCCACAGTAAGAATTGACAAAATATAACAAAAAAATAAGAAATGTAGATGTAAAAACGCTGCCTTGAACGAATCTATCACGTTACTAGAGAAGTAGAAAACTTGGCAAGTTTTATATTATCAAATTGAAACAAAAAAAAACGGGAATCGTTTTTTTCCCATGTAATTGAAAAATCCTACTTCTAGTTAAGTAATTGCAGATTTTCCTTCTCACTCTCTCACAAAACACGAGCTAAAAATCAATCGTGACGCTTGGTTTCTCTAAAATGATCTTTTATTTATTTAAAAACAATTGTCTATAAATGATAAATAATTTGAAAAATAAATTGCTATTTATAAGCATATTGTGGATGCTAACAGCCTACGTAGATCTTTATGATTTAAATGAATATTATCGATCAAAACGATAAATTAGCCATAGAGTAGATGTAGAACTTTCAAGTGGGTGTAATCAGCAAATTGTTACGCAATTTTCTGATGGGAAAGTATTGAGTTTGTTCCACGCCAATAAGTAGTCAATTCCTAAGCAAGTTTTATTCGATCACATAATTCGAGAAGAAAAAGAAATATTGACATGTTCAATATAGAGTTCAATGTAGATATCATTATTGATAGATAAACAAAAAACTTAATCAATTGAATAATACGTCTGTTTTTATAGAAATCGTTTGAAGTTGAGTATTTCACATTGTATCTAAATGAAATAGTAAACTATTATCAAAATAAAACTAAGTGTAACTCTAAAAATCAATTGATATAAATAAAAGATTATTTTTTGCATTTTATCGTTTGAAACATCCTATAAGGATATTTGTTTTAAAATCGCACATTTTGATTCCTCATGATTCAATAGATAAAGATAGTTTTCTACTCACCATAATCGTTGATAAATAAGTGTTATTACTGTTAAAAAAGCAATGTTCTTATAAACAATAAAATCAGCAAATTCTTTTCTTTCCATAATTATTTATTTTTGAAAATAAATTGAATAATAAAATCTAAATATTGATGAAGTTCTCTGTATTAAATTATCAAATCTTAGATTTTAGTATAAATTCGTAAAATCACAATCTTAAAGATGAAAAATGTCACATTGAATAAGAATTTATGATGATGGAAAAATAGCACAATCAAATTAAAAAGACATAGATAATAAATCAAAGCATTTTAATACGGAAAACATAGTTAATAAGCCATCCAGTATAATTAGTTCTTTTCTTTTTAAATTTCTAGTTATTTCGAAATTAACAAGTCTGATTTTGGATTACCATCTCGTTGCATTCTTGAATTATTTGTCTTTCGTCTAGCTATAACTTCCACAATAACAATAATAATGATAGCTAGAGCAATAGCTAGCACCATGATAATCGCCTGTCCATAACGTAAAGCAAGATGAACCCATCTTAACATACTAATAACTTTATCATTAACATTAACTTCTTGATCAATCCACACGAGAGGTAACAAACGTTTGACAGATTTACGTCCTGTTGGTGTTAGTTCAGATCCATAGTCTGACATTTTCATTGGATCAATCGTTGCATTAATATTAAGTTGAAGGCGATGATGAGCACGAAGTGGTGTGCCAGAATAAGGTTCAAAATAAATCAATGCTTCATGTTCTTCACGTGTCGGTGTAAATCCTTCAATATTCATTTCTGCACGTGTTTCATTACTTATTCCATAAAAATGGGGTTTCGATAGAAAGACTGTATTGTTTGGAAGTGAATCAGATATACATTGAGAAATATCGAGCTTATCAAGTTCAGGACATGTATTGGTATCATTTGGATATGTGCATTGATTCAGATCAACTAACTTTATAACATATTCATGAACGTCGATACCTCCAAACATAGACAGAACTCTATTAAATTTAACATGAAGTGGACGACAAAAGTCAGCTTGAAAAATATTCAATGATGGTTTATTGAAAAGCATCGGTACAAATGTTAAACCATCATAAATTGGAATGCCATAAGGAGTTGGCGATGAAAATGAAAATGGAGCATTTTCACTGGCAAACGCAAGCACTTGACCTTTTTCCATTAAACCTGGAATTAAAAAATGAAAAATATTTCAGTTTTCAAAGAGATATATATCCATATACTATGAACTGAAATCCACTAACTTCTTCATGTTATTGTGCGTTCTACAGATTAAAACGCTCTTTTTCCATCTCAGCGTATATATAAACTGGTTCACTTAAAAGATGAAGAAAGAAAGATATTTTTCTATTTCGCTACTAAGTTAGAGTCTGTTTTTATCAGGATCAATGATGAAAAACTCTTTTAGATAGAGTTATCAATATTCTCAGTATTAAGATGATTGTTATACAATTCCATCAGACTTACAGAGAAGTGCATGTAAAATTTTGAGTACGACCATGACCACGGTTAGTGATTTCAAATTTTCAGCAATTGTTAGAGAATTGTGCTCGTGTCTTTGTCTGCTACTATACTTAATAAAATTTATTGTAAAACTCGTTAGTTTTATGAAATATTCGAAAATATGTGTTTGAAAACGATGCTTCACGTGAATTTTGTGTCGATTTTGTTCTAGCCTTGAGACAGAGAATATTAAGTCTTTTAAATTATAAGCAGATTCAGATGATTATCTTCTTATACTTCAATGTTGATCGAATAGAATTACATATCTATTGAACTGCATTGTATAGAATTCTGCTGATTTTTAGTAGATTTTTTGACTTCGTAGAAACATTTGTTTCAGCAAAAAACTATTTTCATCCTGTTTTTGTTTTTTGGAATGTGTTAGAACAATAAGAATTTTTCAAAGTAATTTTGTCTCATATAGTAGCATCAGGCCAATAGTCATTCCAGGGGCGGCGGAGCGTCATTAAGCTAGGTGAGGCTCATAATATGCTTTTTTCTACCGTGGAATTTTATGAATGCATCAAGCAGAAAATAAGTCTTCTTTTTATTGAACTGCAGTAAAAATAAAAATGGTCAGTATAAAAAAGATGATTGGAAAATACCAAAAAAGACTTTTTTTGCTCCTGCTTTGATGCAAGAATAAAAAATAACAATATTCAGTACAAAAGTAAGTGAGGCTGAGCCTCATCTTGTGAAATCTAGGTGAGGCTCAAGCCTCATGAGTCTCAGTGGCTCCGCCGCCACTGAGTCATTCAAAGTTTCTTTTTCTCGATTACTGAAAAATCAATAGTCATTAACTGTTGAATTGTTCAACTATTTATATTATACGTATATTCTCATTATGTAATTCTAAGACAGATCAGACGTGGGCAAAGTTCAATTTACAATTTTTGAAATCGATCTCAGCTTCGTTTCGATTCTTTGTTAAAGTGATACACTGTGAATCAATATATAAACATTAAAAGCAACAAGAGTGAAAATAAGTAGTAGATAAATATATACATGTGTATTAATTGACAATAGTTTGAAATAAGGCGAACGATGAGAAATCATAATTTCAAGTACTCGCAGTGAAGCTTCAAAACATTCTCAATGCTTCGGATCAGTTTGGCTAAAATTTGAAAAAACCTAAACTAATCCCATTTATGGAGCAGATATTACGAGATATTAGCTTAAGGAAACGCCATTCTTTCATTTCAATCAGTATATATTACACAAGATCACTATCTACTGAATTTAAGTGCCGCTTTGAAGTAGAAAGCAATATGAAATTGAGCTTGATTAGTGATATCAAAATATCAGTGTATGGACGAGATGAATGGATGTGCACGAAACATATTTTGTTGCTGCTCACGAAGTTCGAGTTCTTGCTATTTTGTTTCTGTGTTACAATATTTAGATATGATTGATCTAAGTTTAACGATAGAGTACTGTTTGTTGACTTACTTTTCAGGATGTAAGAACTAGGATGAGGAGAATTTTTGAGTAGAGTTAAAATTGGATAGAAGACAAAGTAGACAGCTATTATAATTCACGAGATCTTTGTGTCTAACCAGTTAGTCATCACTCTTTTCGGCCTTTGTCTTTTTGTTTTCTAGGGCAAAATACACTTTCAGGTAGCGCTGTATTCTTACTGCGCATTTATGATCAACAATAAAGTACTTTTTTTGCTATCAGGAACCTTAATACTATTATGATCTTGTATTATCTATATACAACTGTTTGAATAAAGGCTATAAAATCATATCTCATTTGATGATAAATATGTATCTGAAGTAATTAATGATTTCAATAATTTGATTTGCATTCATACCTGATTTGATTGTATAATTGTATGATCGACTACCATTATATCGATAAATAAATCCTGTTTTATTTGTATTTGGTCCAGTCATTTTCTCTCGGACTGTTTCAAATAGATCTGAATTAAAACCTTCTAATTGTTCAACAGCATTTCTATAATAAAATGTATTCATGCCAGTCAAAGCATAAAATGCTTGCGATGGTTTATGACCAAAGCTTGTTCGAAAGATAGCTCGAACTAAATCAACAAATACACCTGTATCATTAACTGATGATGGATCAAATCGCGTTGGATGACGAGTAAATAATCGATGAATTGAATAGTTAATTGATTTATTATCATTTGACCATTGAATATCTTGTTTTGTAGCTGATAATGAATATGAATAAGCTCGCGTTTCTTTCAAATTGATTGTTGTCAAAGTAGCATTGGTAACAATTTCGGTAGGATTAGTTATATTAAAAAGATGATAACCTCGTGTAATAGTAGTCGGTGGATGTAGCCATGTCTGAAAACCAACTGAATTTGGTTTAAGTTCAACATTTTGAAGAATAAGCCTGATAATTAATTTTCGCCAACCAACACATAATACTATAGCTGGTGCTATGAGTATAATAGCAATGATCACTTCTGCAATAATTCGTTTTGTTGCTTTCTTATTTTGCTGAGTATTCAAAGTATACTCTTGTTTTTTTTGCATCTTTTTAAACTTTGTGGACGATAGAATGCTGAGTTCTTGTTCTTTTCTCTTTTTTTAAATAAATATCTACTCCGACCGCAAACAAAAGAACGTCAAAGAAAAATAAACGTACACGCCGCAGATATTAATATTAGCAATTGTTGACTGCTGTGTCTTCTTGGTATAATTCAAGTGCTTCTATCTTGAGATACTATATCACTTATCAAATAAATTATATACTTAGGCTCCATTCACAATTAGAGGTGTAAGCCGTCAGCCGATTTTTGCTGAAGCCGGTGTTTTTGTTAGAGCCGACGTATTTCCCAGCTGACGGGTTACAACTCTATTCACACTGAAAAAAATCAAACTAATTCAGCAACGTGATTAGTTAATTTACACTTAAGTCATCTTTTTGAGACGACTTAGTGGGTAATTCTGTTTTATCTTTTTGGTGTGAATAGGGCCTTATGGTCCAGGAGTAATACTTTCATTAAAACACAAATTTTAACTTTTCCTTTTTTATTATTTTGCTGTCTTTAAAAGTTTTCAAAGTTCAGAAAAGATAAACCGTAAAGAATCACATCAAAAGAAAATGAGTAGAAGTGAAGAATCGTACAGACGCTTGTTACAATAACAACTGTATGGATTCAGTTGAAACCTAGTTGAAGATATTTTTGAATTAATCATATTTTATATTCAGCAATTTGGTTTTATTCATAGAGAAGTAACTAGAAACGAACAATAATTACGTATGTTTGATCAAAACTATTACGAAAATGAAACATGAAGTTGTTGTAAGTAACTAGAGTTTATTTTAAAAAAGAATTTAAAGAAACGAAGAAGAAGAAAAAAGGTATGAGTAATGATAATATTTTAGATAGAATATTATCTAACTCTTCAATGACAAACCAAATTACTGTGAATGACACCAAACGAACAAAATAGAGAAAATATTGGAATAGCCATTTTATTATTTTAAAAATTGTAGATCAATGAATAGTTTTGACTATTTATTCTAACTCATCATGTACATCGATGTATCTTTTCAAAAGCTAAAATCCATTGGTGAAAACGACGATCTCAATAATTCTTATTCGAAATATAATGTTTTAATTATTATAAATGTACAAGAGAAAACGATCAAAATATTTATTAGTTTTCTTTTTCTTATTCATTTAACATATGATCAAATTTTGGTTAAATAAAAATCTATAAGAGAAAATAATCTCAAGAGTATAATATGAACGTTGTAATTAAAATTGTTGCTTTTCTTTTTTCTCTTTAACAAAACAATTTGTACAAAATAAGAAATACTAAAATAACAACTAACAAGCACAGAAACGTGATCACGATTTTATTAGTATGCTTTTCTTTTTAAATTTCAATCTTGAACTAATACTTTTGCCTTTATATGAGTTCTACGTGTATAATGATGATTTTTAGTTGACAGTTTGACCGCTAGTTCGATAAAAACAATTGTGACGATTTCTGAGGTAGTAGATGTTGTATAAAGTGTTATTTAACTAATACTTTATTAAACTATCAAGAATCGTGCTATACTGTATTTTTCTCGTTCATTATGTACCATTTTGTGGCATAGATGGACTTTGATTGATACAGCGTAAACAATATGAAGTGAAAGGACAAATCGAAAGAGTACAACTAATAACACGATTATTGGCAATGACATATACAGAATGCCATTCTCTAGTGTGCAAACGTAAAAGATCGTAGTGATTGTAAACTATGCATCGGTGAAGGACAAATTGATAGTGCATGTTAGGAATGTAAATGAGAGAAGAAGAGATTAAAGTCTACAGAGCTTTGTATGAGTAACAACTAGAAGAGTACATTACAAACAGTTTGGCTAAGAATACGCAACACATTACAAGTTCGGTAGGATTGTTACAACAATAAGACCAATTGATAATTCAATTGCTAATCTGATACAAAAATATTCACCAGAATAAAGAAACAAAAGAGATAGTCGAATTTTACAAATAAAATTTTCGAAAATATCTATTTTTTGATTAACTCATAGAATTGGTATTAAACGTTTGACACCTTTACGTTCTATTGATGTAAATCCAGATCCATCCTTTGATTGCGTCATTGGATCAATTATAGCTTCGATATTAAGTTGCATGCGGTACACAGCTTTCAAAGGTGTACCTGAACAAGGTTCAAAATAAATATATGAATCATGATTGCCACTCTCTGGTTTAAATCCATTAATATTCATTCGGTGGATTGTTTCGTTGCTACTTTCATAAAAGTGTGCTATTGATAGAAAGATTGTATTGTGTGGAACTGACTACGATATACATTTGGATATATCAATTTTGTCAACTTCCATGTATGACTTTTTATTCTCGAAGTTTTTAACATGGTCAAAGTCAATTAATTTAATTTTGTATTCACACATTTTTATTCCTCCAAAGCTAGATACATCCTTAGTGTAGTGAATAGGAATTGAACGACAAAATTCAGCATTAAAGATGTATATTTCCGGCTTATCAAAAAGCATTGTTGGAAAGGTAAGACCATCTCATAAACAGGAAATGTGTAGTGAGATGAAGAGCTGATGTTAAATCGAGCTGACTCACTATTAAATTTCAGCATTTGACCTCTTTTATCTGGATGTAAACAGAATATAAACACATCTGCTAGTGACTATTCTGATTCGATATACCATTGATACTTTTACATAGACCTTCCGGATATTTTTAAGAAAAATTCCGAGAGATTTTAATTTCAAATATCTTGACATAATAATTGCTAATATGAAAACAAAATCTACAATCAATTTATTTTACACATTTCATGTTCTTTCGTCTTTCAAAGGACGTTTCTATGTAATTAAATAAGACTCATACTTTTATCTTTTAATCGAACTCGAATCAATCTATTTAAATATATTAGAAAAAGATTTAGAATAGATTCTATTCATCGAACAAATCATTTTTCTAGAACAAGTCTCAAACTTGTCCAGTCACTTGAGAATATTGTCGAATATTATAAACGAAATCATGTAATCCTGAACGAGTTATCATATGTATTTTGAATTTTGCGATTTGTCAAAATACTCATTAAATTGTTCAGTAATTAATAACAATGAAATCTATCAGTACATTTTGTCGACACCGCATATACTTTAATCCATAGTAGCTATATCCTTGGCTATTATTCGATTGAAATAATTGCTATAAAATTGAAGTTTTATATAGAATCTACAATTGAGATAACAAAAGAAAGTGATCTTTTGGACGTACTATTTTTCTTGCAAAATTTATCAATGAATAATTTCATATGGACTAACATGGGACGTGTATTGAATGTTACTCGGCAAAATATCAACCGGAGATCGTGATTTTACACAAACCAAAATAGTTTTAATGGAATAAAAAGAACAAATATTCAGAATATTTAAACAATTAAAATATTTATTAGAGATATAGTTTACTTAAATCGCTCTAGTTTTAATTAAGTATACGCTTTTTTCTCCGTGCATGGAATGATTATGAATTCTGCTTTTAATAAATACTTTCATATGGATACTCAATCAAATAAAGTAAACTATTCGTAGAAAATGATGACGTCTATAGAACTTTCTGAAGTTTCGTACAACCTTCATTGTTTTTAAATTACTCAAAAATTTAGCTTACTAGTAACATAATGATTCTTCAGTATTGCAATTCGTAAGTCATGGTTTAATGAGTCATTCTGAATATTATTTTTTGCAAAAATAAACAATGTAACAAGTTCTACAAAGCTTTACAGATGAAATCCTTGTCTAAGAATTTTCTAATTATTTTATTAGATTGAATGTCAATGAAAATGTTCATCAAAAATGCAATTTACAACTATTGTGTTGTTATTTATTTGATGTTTTCTTATTATATTACATCTATTCAGAAAAGTAAAGACTACACACTGACAATTAATCCTTCTTTTCTCCCTTCACTTAAAATAGAACTCTAATATTCACAAATTTTAAGAATATATCATTGATAATTTTCATATAGCTATGTATTAGGAAATATCAAATATACATTCCCTCGGCGTAGATTTCTTACCGATGTAGATTGAAATATTATATAATTGACTACCGTTTCGTCGATAAGTAAATCCTGATTTAACTGTATTTGGTCCAGTCATTTTCTCTCGGACTATTTCAAATAGATCTGAATTAAAATCTTCTAATTGTTCAACAGCATTTCTATAATAAAATGTATTCATGCCAGTCAAAGCATAAAATGCTTGCGATGGTTTATGGCCATAACTTGCTCGAAAGATAGCTCGAACTAAATCAATAAATACACCTGTATCATGAACTGATGATGGATCAAATCGCGTTGGATGACGAATAAATAATTGTTCGACTCCGTAGCTAAGCTTTCTATAATCATTTGACCATTTAATATTTGTTTTACTTGTCTTTATATTATAAGTATAAGCTCGAATTTCTTTCACATTGATTGTTATTGGAGTAGGATCATGAACAATCTCAATAGGATTAGTAATATTAAAGAGATGATAGCTTCCAATATTATTGATTGGAGAATTGTGCCACTTTTTGAAACTATCTGAATCAGGTTTGAAATTTACTGCATTGATGATATTTCTTTGAATTACTTTTTTCCAAAAAATAGAGAAAACAAAAGCAAGTATAACAAGAGAAGAAGCCAAAATTCCACCACAATTAGTTTTATTCGTCATTTTCCTTGTTTGCTTGATGCATAACGATTGTAATCGCTAGATGACATAAAAATGTGTGAGTCATAACAGTAGGATACTAGATACTTCTTTTAACCTATTCTAGGCAAGAATTTATTTTATTGAATTCAAAGAAAAAGAACAAGGAAAAAATGAAGTGTTACACGACGCAAATTATTTGATCTTTATAGCTATTGTACGAACATACTTATTAGACTATTTGGGACAACATTTATTTCAATGAAAATACAGAAAAAAATCAGCGGAACATTGTGACAATGATTATTATTATTACTACTATTATATTTTTTTCTGTAGTAAGATGTATTACTGCGACCGAACAAAAAGATCTCGTAAATTAAATCATAGGAATGATGGATACTAGTTTCTACAATTCTTGCTTCTCAAAATCATATTCATATTCGAGTACAATGCAATAATTATGATTTTAGTGGTCACCAAGTAGGAATTTTAATTTTGAAATTTTTTAATTTGTTTATTTTAAATTTACAAAAATTTTTTAAATATAATACTAAACAGAATAAAAAAATTGATTAATCGAGCAAACGTTTATATTGAAGATTTTAATTTTCCTTTCTTTTTCAAATATATCCCATTTTTTGTTCATAACCAATGAAAATCTTTAATTTAATGTTTTAGATAAGTTTTCATTTGATAGTGATTGATATAACAAAAATCCTATTGACATCTTTTTAGTGATTCAAAAATAAAATGATGATATATATATATATGTATGTAACGTTCTTTTTTTCTATCAGATATTTTTCTCGCTCATTGATCGGCTAGTTATCTTCAAACTCGAATGAACTTTATTTTTTAAACAATGTTTTAAAGTTATGTGTTTGTTTTATATAAGACACATGGACTGATTCGTTCTCTGTGAGACTTGTCTATTAATCAATCGACAATATACTTCAATAGAACCCTTCTTTTCCAAAACATATAACAGCATAAGCATTGATATTGATTGTTTGTTTTTAATCAATCAAAAACAAAACAGTTTGATACAAAAAAATGTTCTAGTTGAAAAACAAACATTTTGCTTTCGAAAAGAATTCGTTGAATTTTAACGTTTGCGACTAAAAGAAAATAAAACATGATTTTGATAACATAACTTGAAAGAATTTTACATACAATTTATATTTTCGTCTAGCATTTCTTTTGCCTGGTTGTTTACGTTCTTTACGTCTTGCATCTTCAGTCAATAGACCAGCTTGAGTTAAATAGAATTTGATTATCAATAAAACAAAAGATCAAATTGAAGAGAAAATATTTTACCTAATCGGAGATATTCAACTTCTTTAGATGAAATAAATGAACACAATGCTTTTGATATGGCTAAACGAGTTGCAATGGATTGTGCTGTAAAACCAATACCATCATAAATAATATCAATATCAAATAAATTAACACGATCTAACACTTTGAATGGATATAAAAGTTGATCACTATTCACAAAAAGAAGATAATAAAATTGAAATCAAGAAAATAAAATCGAACCGATGAATGATTCTTGTAAAATAAAGTATATCATTAACACATGTTTTAACTGATGGTGATTTAATCGTAACTTTGCCAGTTCCTTCACGTAATGTAACTGTTGCTGTACACCATTTATGTTTAGCTGAAATATTGCATCAAAAAGAAAGAAAATGAAGTATGAAAGGTTATAGAGAAAGAAAAAATTGTTCTCCTTCAACTCGAACTTATGTTGAACAAGAGATTAACTTGAAGATAGTAACGTGTAATCAAACAAGAATCAATCATCTATTTAAACAATAGGAACAAACGATCACATCTATTTGTAGACAAATGTCATGTACAACGTTCATTTATGCTTTTATCGATGTTGTTGCCTTTTATCTATCTTATTTTTCTATCACATGCAATTTTATCAGGTAAAAGTTGTTTCAAAGACAGAAAATAACGTATCTTTCATCCTTTTAAATTTCTAAAGTAAAACATAATCGTATATGTTATTTCACAAACTGGGGTGCGCATAGATCCATGAAAGAAGCTCGTTTGTATCCTGAAGATATTCCATCAGATTTATGCACACATATTTTATATGCATTCGCTAATCTTCACGGTACATCATTACAACCGCAATTAACTAATGATGTGAATGTTTATCAAGGAGAAAAGGTTTGGAAAAAAACACACGAAATATCCACTAAAATAAAAATTAATACGTGTATTTGTTTTAGCCTCTTTATCCTCGTATTATGAAATTAAAAGAAAAAAATCCAAATTTGAAAATACTTATTTCATGTGGAGGATGGGGAAAAGCAGGAGAATTCGAACCATTAGTTGGCTCAGAATCATCAAGGTAAAATTCTTGGTTTTATTTTTTTCTTACAATGGAATTTATTTATTTATTTTTTCTTTTCAGAGAAACATTTAGTAAAAATGTAATCGAATTTTGTCGTAAGCATGGGTTTGATGGAATCGATTTAGATTGGGAATTTCCTGGAGCTGAACATCGTGAACGTTTCGGACTATTGACTAAAGTATTTTAAAGTTCTTATAAATTCTTTTTATTCTAAAGAAAATCAATATCAATTTTCTTCAGACAATGCACAAAATGTTTAAAAAAGAAGCCAAAACATCGAAAAAAGATCGGCTATTAATTAGTTTAGCAGTAGCAGCTGGAAAATATTTAATCACACAAGGCTACGATGTACCCGTTCTATGCAGGTAGCACTTTAATTTGAGAAAGAAGATAATCATCATTGATTTCTCTTCTCTATTATTCAGTAATGTAGATATGATCAATGTTATGACTTATGATTTATATGGTTCATGGCATAATAAAATTGGTCATCATAGTGCCTTATTTCATCGACTTGGTGAAACAGGCATGGAAAGAGAATTGAATACAGTAGTTTTATATTAGAAAAAAGACAACAAAAAGAAAACTTTATTCGTTCCTTTTTCGATTTATCTATCTTTAGAATAATTCAATGTTTAATTGGGTTGAAGCAGGCTGTCCAAGAAATCGTCTTAATATAGGTATACCAGGTTATGGCCGAGCTTTTACAGCTGACGGACGAGATCCATTAAAAGCATTTGGACAAAGTGGTGGTGGTTCTGGTTCAGTATCATCACCATATTTAGGGGAAAGTGGTTTACTTACTTATTTTGAAGTATGCTATTTATTTATCCATTCTCAGTCTTCTTCTTTTTTAAATTAATGAGCGAATAAAAATTAATTTAGATATGTAAAAAAGAATTGAAGGAAGGTTTTAAACGTTATTGGCATCAACAACATCAAATCCCAATAAGTTTCAAAGATGGAACATGGATTGGATATGATGATCCTGATAGTGTTAGAAATAAAGTATGAAAGAAAACAACTTGTAGTGTTTAATTTTAAATATTTATCTATCTTATTTTCAAGTGTCAATATGTTAAACGAGAAGGTTTTGGTGGTGCCATGGTTTGGACATTAGATATGGATGATTTTACTGGACAATTTTGTCGAAAAAGTAAACAAAGTTCATTGAACAAATTTCCATTAATAAGTGCAATAAAAGAAGAATTCGAACTCGATGAGTTAACGACAACAAGTTCAACACATTCAATCGAAATAACAACAATCTCATTATCGAATCAAACTAATCTTTCAGATGAAATGTTTTCTAATGCATCTCTATCATCATCATCATCATCATCGAAATTTAAACTATACTATTTCTTTTTATTCAATTTACTTACCAGTAGCTGTTTGATAGGATCGACCATCCACATCGTAGCGTAACTTAAAATAGTTAAATTATTTTTCTTTTTTTTTAGAAAAATTTCTTTTTTACTGGTTCAATATGTTGTTTACTTATTGTATCAGCTAATTTTGTTCGAAAAGAATTAATATAATCTTTTATTGTGTATGCCATTGGATTTTTCACAAGACGATTTAAACATGTAATTAATGTTTTATACTATGCCAAGAGAAAGAACGAAAAAAAATATAAATAAGATTTCTTTATAGAAAAATTTTACTTGTTCATCATCAAGTTTTTCTAAGAAACGTTGTTCAAATATTTCTTTACTTTCCCATTGCGTATAATTGAATTCACTTTTGAGAAAAAAAGAAAAAAGAAAATATTAATTTTCAAGAGAGCAAAAAATCTTTATGCATAGTACTCACTCATTTTGACTATAATCTGGTTCAAGACCAGATGCAAGCAGAGCAACTTCAGCTTTTTTAAGCTCCTCGATTCTATTAGCAACCATCTAAATTTTCAAAGTTAAAACAAAACCATGAAGAAACTGTTTAGATTATTCAATTACATGTAAAACATCGTAATAGTTTTGTTTAGCTGTGTAATAGAGAAAATGAAATGGTCTACCAGCTTTATCGAATTGTACGGCTAATAAAAAAAACAGAATAACACATTCATTGCCTGGAAATAAACAATTTTTCAATACCTTTTTCCTTCGGATACAATTCTTCAGGTGGCTAGAAAAATAAAGAAAGCAATAAAAAATAAAATAGGAGAATGAATTCGATTTTTACTCTCATCTTTGGTCGAGCACGTTCGTCGAGTAAGCCCGATGGAAGCAAATAGTTCAATGCGTCCTAAAATATTAGTCAAAGAGTAAAAAGTAAATATCATTCAACAATTGACATACATCAATTTTTTCTTGATTAAATCCTTCAGGATCTTCACCCATAATTTTTGCTAAATGTCTTCGACCAATTTCAAATTCATAATTTTTTTCATCGAGAACTTTTTCTGAACAATCAAAGATAAGAAATTAAAATATATTTTATTATTCTTAAATAAAATCTGTTTCTAACGTTTTTCTCTTGATTTCATTAGATAATTTTTCATAGCTAGACTAATCATTTCAGCACGAGTGCTTGTTGCTTGCTCAACACTATCAATTGTTTCTTCATCAGCGATAGCTTGTGCTGCATCACGATTATTTAGAAAACTTTCATTCTCATGAACTTCTTTTACTGCAGAACTTGGAGATATCTGTTGATTATTTGATTTTGAATTTGAATTTGATGTAGAACTTTGTAGTCGATGAGGTATGGCCTATAGAAAAAAAAGAAGAGCAGTAAAATCAGTTGAAAGTGAATAAATACTAATTCATTATCTTACAGGAATAGCCAATCGAGCAGAAGAGATTTGAAATACCGCTCGAGAAATGAATCTCGAGAGCATTAATATGTTGAAAATCTTATTTCTTTATAATCAGTCTGTCTTGCCTATGTTGGTTCAATTCTGTAATTTACCATTCAATTCTTTATTTGTTATCGAATTCATCCAATACAACTATGATGATCATAAAACAGTGACATCTTGATTTGCTATGTTACAACGTTTATCGAACGAATTTTGAAATTTATTTTCGAATGTATCGAGAATCAAAAAATTTGAAACTCTAATTTTTATCACAATCGACACTACATGATTTTCTTATTTTCAGAATTAAAATAAATAATACGCAATATTGTTTCGATTGATTCTACAAACACTGATCTTGCATTGAACCGCGAGCTATTAATGCACTCCGTTTCATTATATGGTTTTTACAGTAACTTTAAACTTTAAGAGTTTAAGTAAAGTTAAAGTCCCACCCCTAATCTTAATTTGTATTTATAAAGATAAATAATATGTATGCAAAATCAATTCTCATATTACAATAATATTTTCTTGAAAATTTCTTAATTGGAGAAGCTTATTAAAAGTTATTTCATTAAATTACTGATAATAAAGTTATCAATAAATAATTTGATGAATCTAATTGATTGTGGATAAAAAGTATAGAATCAAAAGTCGTATGTATACAGAAGTTAAAATTACTGAAAACTATTCGTTCACTATTAATCTACTTCTAATGTTGATATGCTTATAAAACCAAATTTGTCCTTTATTAAAATTAAAAAATATATATATATATATAATATATTCATGTGAAAAACGCTTAGAAATACAATATACGTTATATTGATCACAGTAAAAGTCACTTATAATCAGTTGCGTGTTTTATTTAATGTTAATGAGATATGAAAGTATCATACGAATCAATGATATCAGAAGATTTTTGTATTTCAAAAAATGCATTTCTAGATTAACTGATCATATATATACATTTACATATAATTATTCATATCAGTAGAAGCTTCCTGGGCCACCATAATCAGTGTTAGTGAATCCGCCTCCACTACTATAATCATTTCCTCCGCTGCTAGTGAATCCTGCTGCACCAGATGTAGTATCATAATTGTAACCATAATTATCAATATTACTCGAAACTCCATGGGACTGATGTTCATGTCCGAAGTGATGATCGACTGGAGAACAATAGTCAGGATGATGATCGTCATGATGATGATGTTCATTGGATGGATAGCAATGATCTGGATGGTCATCATGGTGATGATGATGATGTTCATTGGATGGATAGCAATGGTCTGGATGGTCATCATGGTGATGATGATGATCTTCATGTTGTGACGGATTCCAACAGTGTTGATCATCTATATAATGAGATGAACATGGACAATTATGGTTATCATGATGGTGATGCCCAGGACAAGTACATTGATTCAAGTATGGATCGTCATCATCTACATGTGTACCGGAAGGACCAGAAGACCATATATGTGGCCCACCACCGGCTCGCCAGTTACTTGATTTAAATCCTGTAGGTTTACTTGCATTACTACGATGAGTTTGTGTTTTGTTCGCTATAAAGGGTGTTTTCTTGGCAATAGATGGAGGTTGAGCTGGAGTACGTTTTACATTGTTATCTTCGTCGCGTGATTTAAAGTAATTTACAATATCACGTTCAAGAGCTTCTATACGGGCAATCAATTCAGGATGCCCAAAATTATGTTTATAGGCGAGACGCAAAAGACCAGTGTCATCATTCTTTTCTAGATGATTGGGTGGTGAATATTGATGTCTTTCGAGAATTAACCTAAAACCGAATAAGATCACATGAGCTTTTGTTACACATCATTAATTAGAATTTTTTCAGAGATACATCTGCTATACGAAATGATGAAATGAATATTTACACTTAGTTGCTTCTATTCTTATCCTTACCATCTATTGACATAGGATCTATTGTTTCTATCTCCATGCCAAAAGTGCCACAAGTTGATGGGTAAGTATCCGACGTTCGCACCGTTCTGAGCCACCTGCGCAACTCGATTTCCCCATATCATTGCTAGTTTCTGATAATCCGGATGTAAACTCGGTCGCATTGTTTCTTCAATACGATTTAAAAGTGCAAAAGCAAAGTGCAAGTCAGCCGATCCAATGATACAGAAATCAAGGAGACCTCCCATTGCGTTAAATGTTGAACGACGCATTGCCCAAGCATAACCTGGATGAGGATACCATTCATTATAACGTTGTGGATCAATAGGTTTATTTTTCCTGATCGAATAACCAAACGAGTAATCACGACGTAGAATGTCTTTCTTTCCACCTGGACCAAGAAAAAAAGATAATTCAAAGAGTTGTACAACTGGATAACGTTGTAATTCAGCAATAGCTAGATGAGGCCAATCAAGACGCTAAAAATAAATAATCAGATATTTAAAATTCTGACGTTTTATTGAACCCCTTTCGAATAATCATTTTTTTTAAATCCGTAACATAAAAAGTGTACTCCTACAAACCAACGATTAAATATATTCAACGAATTAAAAGTTAACAGTATAATATACTTCAAAGAAAAAAGACTAATTCGAACTTTTATTTGATACATACATCAAATTCTATGTCAGCATCGATCCATGCAACATACTCAATATTTTGAGGTAAACGGTGAACAGCTATATTGATTAAATTTTCTTTCATCCATAGAATAGATGGAGCAGTCAACTGTATATGATGACGATCACCAGCACGAGTCACCTCAAAGGTTTGTCGAGGTAAATCAAAACGCTGTGCAGATTCAAATATACATTCAACTGTAATCAAGTATACACCAGAATCAGACATATGCGCTTCAAATCTCTGATAATGATCATAACGAGTTTTGAATTTGACTGGATTAAAAATGACTGTAATCACAGCAAAGTTGGACAAATCATAATGTCGTGTTGAATTTGATGGTTCAGATTTGGTTGCCGGCAATCCTGGCGTTTTTGTTGGCCATGGTTGCGAAGGTGTGCGCCTGTGATCATTAGGATGTTTTGATGAATGATGTCCCATCTTGTTATAAAAGCGATGAAACAGGTGTATATATATATACGCTTCGATAAAAAGAAAGACCAATGTTTTTTTCTTTTTTTTTCTGACATACTAATGCGCTACACGTCTCCATTCATTACTTTCATTTATTGACAAAATGTTTTACTGTTTATTTCGAAGAGTAAGTTATAAAAAAGAAGAAAAAAAAGGAGGCTGCTATTAACTTCTGGTGATTCTCTTTCTTTTTTACGTCGAAATTCGACTGATGAGCAATAAGATTTCTCAAAACAATTCAACTATATTAGTAATATTCATTTGTAAAAATCAGACATAAAAGGGAATCAAGTTATTAAAATTATTTTCGAGAGGAAAAAAACACTTTTTTCAATAAGAACAAATCATTATATAATGACACCATAAACAGTAGCTGATATTTAATATGTAAAACATTTTTTTCTTTTTGCAAATAATTCGAATATCAAATGATATAAGTATTATTTCATCCACTCTACATAAGAAAGAGATTATTGAAGAAATAATATATTTTTGTTGAGAAAGAAAACAAAATAAAAATATGTTCTTCACTAATTAATTGTCCATTTAATTAACATTTTTCTTTGTCTCATTTGCTTAATAGTAAATATCATCAAAGTAATTTACAACTACAGTCTTACACTGAAAGAAATACATGTAGACTAGAATTGACAGTCTTTTCTTGCACAAGTTCAAGAAAATTTTCGAACGAAAGGGCTAATAATCCTATTCGTATGTATTAATTTCATTGAAATTGTCTAACAACATTGTTTATGTAAATAAAATAACTCATAAAATTAGCGAAGAACACTTTTTGGTAAAGCTCTGTTGAATTATTCAATTCATAATTGATCTATTTATCTATCAGTTTAATTTTGAATCAGGAATGTTGAACTACTATCAAAAATAAAAAGGTTTTTTTTATCCCAGCTGTATCAGTGTGAAAAATAATCACAATTTTTGTTGCAACTGTAAAATATACCTGTTACTATTGTGTCAATGATTATATGATTCAAGTTTTTCTTTTTGACATTTTCTTTATATTAATCGAAAAAGAACAGAAACATGTAAATAAAAATGTATAAATAGTCACCGGCAGAAAAAAAGCCCATACTCAACTCATTATAGAAAAAAACTTATTGGAAATATTTTCTTGCAATAAAAAGTTAATAGAACAATTAAAATAACGTATAGGTATGGCATCTACAGCGGAAACTAATTAATTTTAAGTTTTATATAAAGTTTTAATCATGTTCAAAACATACAAAACAAAAAGAATCTAAGTAACTTACAGAATTTTTTCATTCCATGCTACTTTGATCTGCTCTTGAAAATGTCCTTGGTCCTCAAAGACGTAAACAACCATTTGTTTAACGCTGTTCAAGTGTAAAAATAGAATTTGCGGAGACATAAAAGAAATAACAAATTCAAAAAAACTGTTTTTACTATTAGAAGCATTTAATTTAGCATTTTGTATGTGCAAGAAATCGAGGTTTTGTTTGATTCAATGAAAGACTTTTTGGTAATTTAGAAAAATGAAAAACAAATGTTGATTGCTCAAGATCTCTCTTAATGTAAATTAAAGTAAGACTAGATTAAAAGAAGCTGCGCAACAATTAAAATCGCTTTGATTTCATCATGAATTTCCTTAATCAATTTAACACGAGTAATATTAATCGAGAATAGAAAAGTGATTATCAAAATAGTTTGATAAAAAAACTAAAAGAAAATGTATCTATAGAAAAATCACCAGTTTCGATACAACATTGAAGCGAACTATGCATAATATCATCGATTCATTTGAATTTATTACTAACGGTAGTTTGTTGTCATTTAAATCAAATTATCCATCATTACTTTCGTTCTTTCTCATTGTTTCTTTTAATCTACTGTCTTATTTAGAAAATAGAATAATTTCAAGACAAAAAATGTGCAATATTTATTCTTCATTTGATAATGGGTCAATTTTTCCATGATGTTGTTTTCTTAAGAAGTTTCTCATCAAAAGCTAGGCATATACAGTCAATTATATTCCGACGTTGAAATAAAAACGATTTGAACAAACTGTGTGAACTTATTTGAAAAGAAGATCAAATAATTGATGCTCAAATCGAATTCTCATATAAAATTCAAGAGTAATTTATATTTATAAAAAAATATGTATCTTGAAATAGTTTATTACAAGTTAACTATTAGAAAATGAATCACTATTTCAAACTTCACATTAAGAGGAAAACATTGCCTATTGAAAGTTTGTGACGGTCACACTAAGGTTAATCGTAGTCAAAGACTTCGAATATTTGACATCCAGCTATATTCACAAAGTTTTATCATTACATCATGTAAACGAAATATAGAAATGATGGAGAGCCAAAAAAAAACAATTTCAGACAAATATATAAATATATCCTATTTTTTCAAAACTAGAGACAATACAAAGATTTATCCACTACAGATCGTAAAAGAATATCCAACAATGATTTCAAGTCATTTTTTGAACTTCGGGTATGTTACAGTCATATGTTTACATTCTCCTTGACTCGCTTCTTTCTTCACAATGTGTTTATTCAACTCGCATTCCTTGATGCTTTATTCTCTCTTATATAATATCCTCTATTCTCTCGCTTAACGTTATCTCTTTTGATTCTTAATAAAAAGAACATCGAGAAGGGAACAGGGATACTCTAATAGGGTAATAGATAAAAATAAGGATTAGTTTTGTTTCTCACATAATCTAAAAAAAGATTCGCATTTTCTTGTTACATACCTGAATCAATTTATCAATAACAGAAAAATAAACTTTATCGATTGTAAAAAAAGATCAATTGTTTTTACGACAATATAACATTGCGTTTGATCGGCTATTAAGATGTTGCTTTATGACGTACGTATACGTGCCGTATATACATTTTGTCACTATAATGACAAGTTCGATGGCGTCATCTTTATTGATAGAAACTTAATTTTTTGTGATACGTTTTAATAGACATCCAATAATACTACGCAACAGAGAAGGGTTCGTTTTTACATTGAAGGAAAAACACCAAATAGAAAACAAGACTCTAATATTTATTTAGCATATTGTTTCTTTGCTATCGTTTAGATTTTTTTGTCTTTTTTGTTACACATAAAAATAAGTCAAATCTATTGAAGATGGCATCATCTTCGGAAGTAACACCGGAGAATTTCGTTCGTGCTGTTCAAATGCTTTATCATGATCAAGATGCAACACGAAAAAAAATAGCTTCAGAATGGTTACTTAATGTTCAATCATCGGTAATTATCAATTTATAGAATGAATTCAAAAGTTTTTGTTTTTGAAAAATCAGTTATATGCATGGACACTTGCTGACCAATTGATACGAATGAATCAAAATTCTGAAGTAACTTGCCTATCGGCTCAAATCTTACGACATAAAGTAGTATTTTTTAAAATATGTTTCTTTTCGTTAAAATTCTAAACAAAATATGTAAATTAGATTCAACATAATTTTGATGAACTTCCAGTAGAACATTGTAAAGTATGTCAAACAGTTCTTGTTTTTCTGATATAAGTTTAAAGAATAATGAAATATTGCAGGGTTTATGTGATTCTTTACTTGATCATATATCCCGAATAGAACTCACTCGTAATACAACAGTGCGTGTTCAAGTAAGAATATTTCAGAACAAAACATACGCTAAATGTTAATGATTTCTTTTTTTTTATATAGTTAGCTGTTGCAACTGCTGACTTAGCTCTTCAATATGTTGGCTGGGAACAACCAGTAGAAGATGTTGTTGAAAAGTAAAATAATAATTTTTTTAATCATATTACTAATAGAATTCAACTGAATCAATATTTAGATTAAAAACATCAAGTGAACATATGTTAACATTACTTGAATTTCTAACTGCATTACCTGAAGAAGTAGTTTCTTGTTTTTTCTTCTTTCTGTCTAATTCAAAAGAAAAACTTTCATGTTGAACTTCAGGTTAATACATCAACGATAAGAATTGGAGAAAATCGTCGTCAATATTGTCGAGAAAAATATTCAAATTGTGGAAAACAAATTCATGAGATTTTAGTACGTATAAATACTTTTTTCTAGCTTTAAATTAAATTTATTTGATTATTGAAGATTTTTCTTCTACAAGTTAATTCTTCTCATAATGAATTATTATTCATTGGTATCCTCAAATGTTTTGCAGCATGGATAACTATTCGAGCATTTGATGAAAATATTTTACTTTCGTCGCCATTACTAATTAGTGTTCTAGATATGCTTGTGAGTTTTGCGTTTCCTTTTTTTTCAACTGATTTCTGTATTTAAAACTTCATTTATTTTTCTTTACAGAAATCAACTCAATGTTCAAATGAAGTTCATAAAAGTGCATGTGATTGTTTATGTGATATACTTGAACTATGTGAAGTATGCAAACGAAAAAGAAAAAGTTTAATTAAATAGGTTAAATAGAACGTTTTCTGATTTGGATTCACAGAGAAAACTTTTTAAAAAAGTAATGAAAACTGTCAAGACAAATCGTTGATTTTCAATATTGTCAGACAAACCTTAGTAATAGATCGAATTCAGCCTCCATAGTCTATATCGAGATTTTTTCTCTTTTTTATGTTCTTCCTAGAGAGAAAGAAATAGAAATCACTTGTGAAAGTACTTATCGTCATATTATGAAATAATTGAGGTAACTAATATATTATTCCAATCAAATGCAGTTCATTTTTCTGTTTTTCTTTTAAAAATTCTTCAACGATTTGAAGCATATCTTGCATATAAATATTTTAGTAGTCGCTGTGTAAAAAATATGTCAATTATCTTTCCACCATGAATTTAAGTTTACTATTTCAAACTGTATGAAATGATTAGAACCACAGATATTTTTTGACATTTATATTCCTGACAGCAACATGAAATACTCTTTTAATGATAGTGAAAAGTAATGGTTCATTATGGTATTTCTTTTTCTTTAGCAATAAGAAAATTATTTTAAGTATAGAAGTTTATAGTTAAAATACATTCTCTCAGTAAAAGATTATGCAATATACTTTCATTATACTTCTAGAATAGCTCAATTTAAATTTCTGAAAGAATAATAAGACCAACATTTTCTGCTCATCGATTATTGATTAATCCTACTTCGCTTAGACAATATCTGAGTTATTGATTTTTTTCTTATTGAAAAAATAGTCTATAAATGAAATTTCAACAAAAGTAAATTTATTGAAATTTTCTTCAATAGAAAATAGAATTAACGACATTTTCAAATAAGATAATCGATTAATATCTAGTTTTCTATGTATCATTTGATAGCATACGTATTGTAATGAACAGTTACACTGCCAACATGAACAATTTTCTCGATTTCTATACAGTAATAGACTTACAAAAAATTGAGCTCGAATATTTCTCAAATTGTTAATTCTATGAAAACATGATCGACACCTTACATATGTAGTAGAGAAAACTATTTGTGGTTAATAACATCAGTTTTCTTCGTTACTATTTAACTTTCGCACTTCTCAAGGATCAAATCATGAACTAAACATCAACAGAAATATTGAGCGTGGGTAACGAAACAATAATGCATTTTGATATCATCTGAAATCTTTTCAAATTCCTTTTTTCTAAGAAACTTTAAAAAAATCATTGAACATTGGATAAAATTATTTTTCGATAAAACGTTATTCTATTGAATATTTCTATTTAACTATGTCTACAATCAGACTGTAAATATAAGTTTGTTTCATTGACTATACGTATTTAATTACTTGATAATAAAAGCTAATTGAAAAGAAAAAAATTGAACATTTTCTTTTTCTAGGACTATCAAAAATTTTGGTCATTGGCAGTTTATTTAAAACAACAAATCATTCAATATCTATGTCAACCTTATTTTCAAGCAGTAAAAGATGAAAATCTTGATAAGTAAGATAACGAAATCATATTGTTTACTTGTTTATTAAATATAATTGATTAAAGAGCACAAAATTACACAAGAATCTATACAAATTTAATTGAATCGATTCTTGACTGTCTTGTTGATGGTCGTCAATCGGATTTAAGTGATCTTTCATGTCTTCATCTATTACTTTATCCATTAGAACATAGTGACTATGAAGTGATTGAATAAAAAAAGTTTATTATTTCCCTTTTCTATGAAAATTTATTTTGTTTTGAATAGGTTGTTCAATCAACATTTTATACGTGGTATAGTCTTTCTGAATTGATTACAACTAATAATGACTCTCTTATTGATAAAGTAAGACCATATATGGAGAAATTAGTAGATATATTATGTACACAATGTAAACTTGATCCTGATCATGTAATATACAAAAGGAAAAATTAATAATCCTACAGTAAAAATGAATATATTTTATTTAGTTGGGTATTCCACCACAAACCGATGAAAAAAATTCAAAAAATACTGCATCATCCAATAGTGATTTAGCTGAATTTCGTTATCGTGTTCAATGTCTTATTGAAGATACTATTTATATCACAGGTGCTTTGAATTGTTTTCAACGTGTAAGTTTTCATTTTCTTTTTTTTTAATTTAAAAAGAAATCTTTTATATACATCTAAAAATTAGATGTTTGATAAATTACAAGCATCATCATCTTTATCATGGGAAGAAAGTGAAGCTCCATTGTATATAATGAGTTGTGTTGCTTCGTATTTATCACCTAGTGAAGATAAAATAGTTCCAAATGTAATTCAAGCAATTATTTCAACACCGATACAATCAGGTGTTGTTCATTCAGCACTTAAATATACAGGCGTTCGACTAATTTCCCAACTTGAAAAATGGATTTCTAAAAATGATCAACAAATTTTAAGTAAATTTTCTTTTCAAAAGAATCTTAATTTTAATTTTAATAGAATAAACTTTTTTATTTCATGCAGAATCTGTTTTTCAATATCTTCTTTCATTACTCGGTGATATAGAATTACGTCAAGTGTCAGCCGATGCAATATTAGTTATTTCTCAGCAATGTCGAAAACAACTGATTAATGATCTCGATCAAATTGTACGAGCGACACTTTGGTTAGATCAAAATGACAATGGAAGTGAAGCAGCTCAATGTCTTCTTAAAGGTTATTTTCTTGTGCATATTAAATACTTTCAATAGAAATTCGTTCATACATTTTCTTTTGTAAATAATTATATTTGAAAAATTTTCTTCGAACTATCAAATATTTATCGAAATCAATCTATTCTATTTTTAAATAATTTTGATTGATTATTTATTTTTAGCTTCATCGAAGCTAATATCACGTTTGACATCGATGGATGATATTCATCGTTATTTAAAATTACTTTTCGATCAACAAATTCAATCATTGAATCAGGTTTTTTCTTAATATTTTTACTTTTAATTAATTAAATTAACGCTGACTATCCATTTTCTATGATAGATTCTTTCTATTCAAGCTGATACAAATTATAGTTCAATAACAAAACGACTTGATTGTTTGACAGCAATATTTAGGTAATAATAAACAAAGAAAGAAGATAAATGATATGTTCATTTCTACTATTTAATTTACATAAATATTTGTATTCATGTATGACTTTTTTCTTAATATTATAGAAGTCTTGATTTCAAAATTACACAAGAAGAAACACATCCATGCACAACTATTGTTCAACAGGTAAAGATAAATAAATAAAAACTTAAAACAGGAATGAAGTATATTATACTTTCAGTTGATGCCTTTACTCAATGTAATTATCGTACAATATCGTTCATCAGCAAAACTCAGTGAATGTTGGTCACGTACAATCCGTTTTATAATACGATCAATGCGGTTTCATGCGAAATTATTTTTTCAACCAATTGTTGAACTTGTTCGTTTCAAACTAATTTTCGTTTTTGAAAATAATTATTGAATTAAAATTTCTTTTTTTTCCCTTTAGATCGTTACCAGTTATGATGATGTTCCACATTCGTGTTTTCTTTACTTAATATCGATTATTATTGATGAATATGGCAATGATCAAGATTTAAAACCATCCATTATTGTCATGAGTGAACACTTAACAAACAAAACATTTTCGATGCTTAATAAACCAGATGGTTTTAAAGAAAATCCAGATCTTGTTGACGATTTTTATCGTTTATCATCAAGGTAGAAATTCATTTGAAATAGTTTTCTAGATTGAAATTGATATTGAAAATTTTCTCAATCACGTGATATAACTGAGTATTCTTCGTAGTTGTAATTTACATGTTGGAACATCTTACAAGTAAATCTCCTTTTCAACAAAATCCAATTACATTCATATATTAGTGATTAGAAAATGAACATATTCTAAAAATAGTAGTCGAATCAATGTTTCTATTCTAGAAAAATATGTACAGATGATGACCAATCAACCAGGGTTGCCAGCCGTACCCCATTTGGGGGTACAGTACCCCATTTGAGCCTTTTGTACCTCAAAAAAATTTGTATCTCTGAGGTACGCATTTTGTACCCCATCTGCATTTTTCAATGTTACGACTACTATCATCCATATTTTGGTTGAAACTAAGAAAATTTCTGTCTCTTTATCCAACATTTACTATTGATAAAGATGTGAAGCGTCAATTATATTGGTTGGCTGCTAATGGTCATGTTTATGAAGAATTCAACAATGGCATATGCAACGAGTCCCATGATGAAGATAATCTCATTCACAAACTGACGACCGAAAATCATGAAAGAGAAGTGGAATTTCGGTCTAATCAATTTTAGGCTTTTCTTCTTGTAAAGTCGAAACCAATGTGTATTGAAATGTACAAAATTATTTCTTATGTGTACTCAATTCCTTGCTCGAATGCATTTGTTGAAGGCGTTCTTAGTCAAAGAAAAAGCGCATGGACGGGCAGTCGCAATTTGACGGTGAATGAAACGATAGCTGCTGAATTAAAAATCAGATTTAATAGTACTATGACATATGAAGATTTTTTTCTTTTGGCCAAACAGAACCGCAACTGATAAAGTGTGCCAAAAGTCAACAAAAATACAGTTTCGAAAAAAAAAGCGTGCAACAGTTAGTGTAAATATAAATCGAGAAGGTTCGCTTTGAGTAAGCATTGTGCTTTATTATGATTCAGAGGCGGCGGAGCGTCATTAGGCTAGGTGAGGCTCATAGGACTTTTTTTCTACTGTGGAATTTTATGAAAGCATCCAGTAGCAAATAAGTCTTCTTTTCATTGAACTTCAGTAAAAATAATAAATGCGGAAACATCGGATTTGCATCCGATTGTTATGTCCACTTCAAAAAGCGAAAAAGTGCATTCATTTTTTTCCGTTCCTATTTTGTCCTAAACATTTTATATCATGCACAACAAAACTAGAACGAGAATCGAATACACTACTGAAGATACAACTCATAAAGACAGTTGCTAAGTGACGAGTTCTATTTACTCTGAAAAAATTGGTATTGCTCATATGAAAAACAAGTAAATATCGCACCCACACATTATCAAGATATGTGAGTTTTTTGACACTGTGATACAGAGGAAATCTTGTGAGCAACCTATTCACTATTCACATTGAAAATAAGGATATTTTTTGCGTAACTCAACAAATTCTTAACGGATTACTTTCATCTTCGAACTCGACTGAGATATTGATGAGATCATTCTATGTACAAAATTTCATGACAAGTGGATGGGGCTTTCAAAAGTTATCATGTTAACGGACGGACACACTGACAGAATCTAGAGTGTACTCAATTTTTGAGTACACAAAAATGGTCAGTACAATTAAAAACAAAGATTGGAAAATACCAAAATATACTTTTCTTTGCACGGACTTTGATGCAAGAATAAAAAATAGCAATAATCAGTACAAAGCAAGATGAAGCTGAGCCTCATCTTGCGAAATCTAGGCGAGGCTCTAGCCTCATGGGTCTCAGTAACTCCGCCGCCACTGTTATGATTGAATTGAATATATGTATGTCAAAACGAAATCTTATTGTGAACATATTTATTAGAAAATAAAGCTTTCAATTTGAAAGCTAGACTTTACAGTAAAACGGAAAACTGAGAATGCCCTTTCCTGATTGAAAATAGTTTTCGAAATTGATTTCCGCAGCCGATGACCAGTGTGAAAGATGTAAACTGCGTACCTCACGAATGTACCCCATTTACAACTGAGTTGTACCTCACGTGTACCCCATTCCGAAATCAGTGCACCCCATTTGGGACCTGAGCAACTGGCAACCCTGCAATCAACTCATATTTGTAAAGAAACTATCCAATAGTATCTTACATACAGAATATGAACTTTTTCGTTCAAAATGGAGAAAATGACGATAAAAATTTAGTTTATCAAATTATTAGTAAATAGACAGTATTTTATATACTATGCAGATATCTTGAATTTCTGTGTTGTATACACCGGAGTCTAATAGAATATAAAATTCATTTTTCTCCCGAAGAAGTCCGAAAAAGCCAAGCTGTTCAAGATAAATTAGTTATTTCTAACTAACAAACAAATACAAGTTTTGATTCAATAATAACAATGTTCATAGTTTTTAAAACATTTCTGATACACTTTATATTTTTGTTTTTCTCTCATTGAATTTGAGAATAAATAATACAGACTGAATCATATATCGTTTTTCTTTCTACTTCAATAAAGGTTGCTTCAACGATGCCCACTTGATTATCTTAAATCTAGTGTAATTCGACCAATAATTGAACAGATAATTCCCAACTGTCACTTAGAACATCGAGATGCAAGCTCAAGTATGATGGCATTCTTACAAACATTGGTTAAACTTACATCAAATAAAAACAAAGAAATCAAAGTATATTTTAACAAAAATTCAACAAAAAAAGAAAATTAATTTAATTCTAATTATTATTTAGAATAAATATGAATTACCTGAAGTTCTTTCATTGTCTACATCATTATGTGAAACATATTTCCCTAGTCTTTTAACAGCATTAATTCGTGCTATTGCTATTCATCGTGTTCCATCGTCAATTCGTTTATCCATATCAGAATTCGTTTGTGATCTTAAAACGTATATGTCCGAAAAGTTTCCTCAATGGTTACAAACGTCATTAGCAGAAATACCACGGACAAGTAAAAATGGCTTAGTAGAAATTGTTACTTCAAAACAGCATGAACAGTTTTATACTGTGTTGTGCGAGTAAGTCGTTTAAAAGTAAAATCAAATAAAGTTCACTTTTATTCATTTGTTATTAATTTTAGAAGTGATACTCAACCATCAGCAATTGATTATGAATTTGAAACATTTGCAAAATTATATCGATGATGTTAAAATAGATTATTTTTCTTTGTTTTATATCATCTGTTTGTATGTTTGTCTATTCTTGTGTTGTCTTAGACATATGTTCACACCGACGACCTTACTCGTTTTTTTTTCATTGTGCGCGTTCACAAAATATATTTGTCAATCTTTATTTTTTTCTCGGCTATGGAAAAAAGAAAACAAACAAATAAACTTCTATAAAAGATAAAACTAAAATAAACGACTATGAGTTATTTTAAAAGCTATTCCTATTTATTTAGAAATCTCTTGTCAAATTATATTAAGTCTCTAGTGAAGAACTCTATTTTTTGAAAAATTTATTGAATGAATAGATTGCTTTTTTGTTATAAAAAATATATGCTTGATGATACTGGAATTACGTATATGAACCATTCGTAAGATCTCACGAATTTTTCATGTAGAGATGATCATCGTTTAAGAAGATAATATTGTTAGGACATATTTTTTATATCTATATTGTACTCTGTTATAACTCTCACATAGACAAGAGGGAAGAGTGGCAGATATTTTATACGCTTTTCAGTACGGTATCTTCCCTAACTAGAATCGAAACTAACTAAATATGCAATTATATAAAAACAAAAGTATAGATGAATATGTTACTATTGATGATAGAAAGATCTTCCCGAGGTCGATCATTCCAACCAGCAGACACTGCAGGAACCGGCAGGATAGATTCGGGGAAATCGCCGTATCCTGCAGAAAAACACTGGAAATCACCAGAACATAGAAGCATTATTCCGGCCGAAAATTTTTCAGATTCTTTCCCGATGATTTCCGACTGGTTCCTGGCCGACAGAACAAAAATAAATTGGTTGGAATCCACGGGAAAAAATATGAACATTTTCCGGCCGGAATACTGCTTCTGTGTTCCGGGTTTTCCTGTGAGAACCGATCAGTACTACTCGACCTGATCTTGTCTATTGATAAATTTTAATCAGAAATATAATTTCATACAAGACAAATAAGCAAAATGAATCCCAGTTAAGGTCAAAGATAACAAATGCATCAACATAAATATAAGTATTAAATTGTTATTTTTTGTATTTTATTCAAAAATCTCAGATTTTTCATTTTATTTCATATCCTCATTCATTCTACAACGAATAGATAGTTTTCTATCAAATAAAATATCTGTGAATCATAGTGTTTATATTTGAATCGCACAGTGCATAATATATCAAATTAATAAACTCGAAGAATACTATCACTCTATTGACTCATTATATTTAGTACTTTAATCATTCAATAAGCATAGACATCTAGACGCAAATATGACCTTCATAACTGTATCTTAAACAAATTATATTATCAAAATCGAAGTTATTTTATTTGAAGTCAAAAGAAGAAAAACATCTTTTTAAATAAAATATACGATTCTAAAAAGTTATATATATTGTACTTGAAGTACTGAAAGAATCAATTAAACTAAATACATTAAATATTATATTTTTTCTATTTTTGCTGTTATGAAGCTAATAGAAAGTTAATCAAACGAAAATTATTGAAATATCCTGATGTTTATATCCAAAGTCACATAAAATCTAAATGCGAGTTTCTTTTTTTTTAATGGAAAGGATAATATTATTATTATTTATTAATTGTTATAACCTACTGGTTTTCAAAAACACTACATGAAATTAATCTAGACTGAGATACATAGAGAAAGACTGAATTCACCAGTACACAATTTATTGAAGAAAACTCCAATGACACGCTTTATACAGGTACATAAACAACTATATAACAATACAGAGAAATCTTCATTACAATAAACAAAATAAGCAACATTCATTCTCACATATTGTTGTTGAAGTCTATCTTTAGCTGAAGAAACAGTTAAGCATGTCTCGGCTTTTTGACTTGCTCTTCACATTCAAAATCTTCGATGCATCGTTTCTTATAGTCATTATCATTGAAGCAAGTTGAGTTAAGCATATCTTGGATGCTTTATTTAATAATAAAATTAACTTCATGTGTGTGATCATCATTTAATATTTTCACGTGTTCATTTGCTTCTTGTAATATTTCTTGCATTTGCAAAGGTAGCTGTCGCTCTTGTTCCAACCCAGGTTGATCAAAACGGACTCGTTTACAGTCTGTTTATCGACGGTAAACAATGTCAAAACAGTATATTTACGGCAGTAAATAGGTTGTATTTGCCCGTAATACGGCACCGTAAACGGGACTGAATTTTCATGGTTTATGGCTGTTTGTGCTCCGTACTCTCATGACCATACAGTCCGTATTACTGTGCTAGATATTACGGCAAACTTTCGACCGTAAAATAGTCGTAAAGTAACCGTAAACGGCCGTATTGTTCGACTTGGGAACGCTACACCCTTTTTTTTAAATTCTTCTTGCTGCATTTTTAACTCTTCTTCTTCCTGCTTTTTGATTTCTTCTTCATTTTCTTGCAGTTTCTTTTTGGTTTCTTCTTGTTTTTCCTGCAGCTTATTTTTCAAACCATCGCATTTTTCTCGCCATTCTGCATTGGCCATAACTAAATCAATTTGTAAATCTACCACTTGTGAAGGTGGATGAGGATCTATATTCTACAATATTAAAAACAAATCCATGCTTGTATTGTGCTCCAATGACAGATGTAATATGTTTTGTTCGCTTACTTGTCGAGTTGTTGGACCCAAAATGTTGCGCCTGATTGGAGAGGATGAGATTTCATCAGAGGATGCCATAGGAAACCAAACTAGTCCTATAGTATAACATATTTCTTTTTGAAATGAAGCAATTTATAAATTACGCTAAATCCTAACTATCAGCAATGTATCTCACTCATTAAACAATTCTCGTGAAACATACATACTTTCTTTAACTTTTTAAAGCGCATAGGGGTACGTGGATGATCGTGATTCGGGGCGTAACCAGAGGGGAGCCAGGGGGGGCTGAGCCCCCCTAGAAAAAATAAAACCCTGTGAAAAAATAAGTTTAGCCNGAGGATCATCGAAGCGTGCAATCAATATCGGCACAGGCGTAACCAGAAAAAAATTTGCCTGTGAAGGATATTTTTGCACCCTAGTCAAACCTTTTTATTCATGCGCTTGCCAAGACTTGAGCTCAAGATGTGTCCATAGCGCATGACTTTCTTGCTCAAGACAAGCGCTTGAATGTTTGGATGAGTTACAAAAAAATGTAACTATAAATTTTCATTAAAAGTTGAGTTATTTTGTAAGTAAAATTAAAAAAAAAAGATTGTAAATCTTTTGTAATAACAGAAACGCTTAGATAAAATTTAAGCGCGTGAGCAAGAACCTTAAGAGTTTGAGCTCACCAAAAGATCTCATGTTTTGCCTCAAGATGTGTCCATAGTTCTTGACTTTCTTGACCAAGAAAGTCAAGAATTGCATGCGCTTGCAAAAAATTGTTTGACTATGGCATATCCATTCCTTTTTGAACGACCTGGAATAAATAAAATATTATTGATTTATATTTGAAGGACTTTATTGTAACAACCCAATGGAACACTTCGTATATATGATGCTCATTACTCCTATTATATGTTTTTAACTATATTTTCCCCTCTATCCATTGTCGTACTCTTAGTTTTGTTCTTAATATCGCCCTTCAATCGTGACGTTTTTTTTCGCTTCCTTAGGAATGGTACAAAACGACTAAGAAAATTCATTATACTCATGATTTTCTGGTATTAAAATAAACAGTAGTCACTACCAATGAAATACTGCATTTACTATCAGAAATCATCACATTTATGGTAATTATTTTAAAATTTTGCTGAGTGATAAACTTTACTGATGCCAATACTGTATTATTTTGTTCGTTTGCCTAGTTCGTGTCTGTCAACAAATGATACGAAAAATATTTTTATTTCAAAGATGAAGATTCTGTGTGCTTCAAAACGATCAAACTTATGTCAATAGAACTAAAATGAACAGAAACTGATTATTATTTTTTGGATGTTTTTCTAGCAGAGCGACTTTTGTTTTCTCTATGTTGGTATGAAGAAAATGTGTTGCTATTTAAAGATAACGCTGAAAAACGACCAACATCACAATTTTTTTGAAAAAACTTAGGTAATTTCAAAAGAGATACTTATGAGAAGTACAAATTAGTAGGACTAATAAGCAAAGTTTACGATGACCAGGGGAGGGGATAACGGTGGGATTTTCCTCGCTCAATTCTTTTACGTTATAGCTCTCTCCCTGAAAATTTTCTTTGCGACTATATAGACGATTCTAATTTATTTGTGAACTGAATAAAACATGTCAAAGGAAATCATCTATTTTCTCGTTAGGTGCAAACTATTTATCCTTAGGTCAAAACTATTTTTTATATTGATCTATTTTTCTTTTTGGATCATCCAAATCTGATTATGTAAAGAAATCACTAATCAGCTTCAAAACTAAAGCGTTCACGTCTGAAGCAAAAAGAATTAATCTGTAGTTTAAATAATATTGTATTTACAAAGTAAGAAATAGAGCAGCACAACAAGTGATGCCTTGATTGAATAAGAAAGGCTTACGAATTCTAACTGAAAAATATTCTTTTTCCTGTAAAATAAAATAATGCAAAATTGTTTCTCTAGTTTTAGGTGACTTTCTCCTTCAAATCTTCCCCTCGCTAAGAAAAGCCATTCGAAAACTATGAATCATTAGTTGTCTAATTTCTTTGTTGGAATCAAATTTCATATACAATTAAGGATACGTATTTAACATGTATACAGTGACTTTTCTGTTTTCTATGATGGTCCATTTTTCTATTTTCTCGATATAGTCAGAATTTTCTAATAACGTCAAAATATGTCCTCATATGGTAAGTTTGTGAATTCAGGTTGATTCTATTCAATAAAACAGCACTATAAAGACTAAATCAATAGACTGTATATTATCATTCCTAATGACTTTATAATTCAACATCTCGACAGAGTTCTCTAAGGTGAAAATTTAATTGATTATTGTACTTTTACTTTGTTGAGCATATGTATATCAATTAATGCGAACGAATCGATCTCATAATGAGATTCTCATTATGTACTATTGACTGGAGATTTAGCTTGCAAATTTAAAAACATGCCTAATTTTTGTCTTCATCAAATCTATCATTACAATAATTTTACCACAAATTTGAGAAAGTTCTATTCATTTAAAACCTTTGAATCTATCACTGTGATAAAATGGAAAGACAACGTGATTATATTAAATCTTTTTATCTGTTGAACTGTATTTTATATTAACCATTTATCTTCTGTATCGATTGATGAGTAGATATAATGATAGGAATAGAAATAGAAGCCTACCTCGTTTTAAATATGAGAATTTGATAATAAAAAGAACTTTAAATGAGATATCGGCAATCAGGTATTATTTTGAACTGTTTACACATAGCATAAAATGTAAGTGTCCAAGAATTCGACTGTCACTTCATGTACGTTATTATCGGTTTATCTTTCTATTTAATTAGTTTTGTAGCTAGAATATTTACTAGATTAGCATATGATCAATCTAAGTAACTTAAGAGTTAGTATATTCGATCGTTAGCTAAATTTATAGATGTATACAGACCGACACCAATGCGAAACTCTGAGTCACAATCTCATCTACATTTTCATTGAATTTACATCTGTGCTCTCTCTCTCTCTATCTTGATCTCCTTCTTTTCTGATAGGAGTGAAGTTGACTGCACATGAGCGTTCATTACATACGCATACACATTCTCAAAATAAACTATGAAAGTGTAAAATAAAATATCATCATAGTGTGATATTTTTTGTTAAAAACTAAATTACTAGATGTTCTTGATTGTGGACAACAATCAAAAGCAAGTAGAAAGCAAAAACAAAATATTGTTGTTCGGTTTTGCTCGATGACTCATCTTAATAAAGGTTGCCAAGCATATTTATTAGTACGAAATTATTGTAAGTTAGCAATAATCTATTTCATCAGTTAAGTTTGAAACTAATTTAATCAGCATTAAATTTGAACGTGGCTAATATCGACGATTCTTCTTCTACTGAAGATTCATCTGTATCTCATACAAAGAAATTATTTTGGGTGACTCGTTATTCATTAGGTAAAACGTTATCAAAAGAATTATTAATCGAACATGAATTTGCTGACGATGAGACTCGACATCGTTTAATAGAGTTACATACTCCAATTGACAATGAGAGAAAATATCATTTCTTATTAGCAACAGTGGCTTTACTTCTGAATCCACCAATTGGTGAGAAAATGTTTCTTTCGTATTATGAGACTGCATAAAAATCCATATAGGTTTGATTGCATGCATTTTTGTCTACATGGCTAAACGAAGATCGGAATATATGTTAAAGAATTATGAAAATATCATCTATGAAAGAGCGGCTGCTCGATATGCATTTATTTCTTATATTCTTAGTGAGAATACGTTTTTTTTCGTATTCCATTCTGAAAATCATATCTTTCTAATTGATTTTCGTTTTAGGCATAATTTCAATAGGTCTTACAGTTAGCATAATCACTGGTATATTATTGTATTTTCTTGTTATTGACCTCAAGATTGCCAATCGAATTCCGTTAAATAGTATTCGAGACCAAGATATGTCGTCAATGAAGCCCATTGATATCACCAAAAGTCAACAGCAAGAACAAGATCTGGCTGCTTATGAAAACGAGGAAATAGTACAATGACATTGATCTAGTAAATCACGTATGAATGTAGTTCATCGTGATAGAAAAACTTATATACGTATCAATAGAGTTACTAAGATAATAATCTGTTTAATGAATAATAAATAAAGAGAGACTTTTAAACAGCAACAATTACATTTATCGCCCGTTTTGTCTCCTACACTCGGAATAAATATCATAGGACAGACACTGAATGAAAATCATTACAAGTCTCATTTTAGAATTTACTATTACTGTGAAAATGAAATCCAAATTTGTTTTTGTTTTTAAGCAGATTTTGTATTTTTCTGACAAGATGAAAGTTTGTGTTACAATTTATTCAGTAATCTCTCATCAAAGATGCAAATTGAATTGATAGATTTGCAGTAATTCATAGTTTTTTTTTTATATATGCTACTTTTATCAACAAACACGGAATGAATGATCCGCTTTTGATGAACAATGAATTAAAGATAATTCATCAGATAAATTGCCTGACTAAAACTCTTATTATTGTTAATGAGACCTCGGTTGATTACATAAAATGCATTATTAATGCAATTATTTCATTATTTTTTACTTTCTTTTATCTTCATTTTGATGAGCGTCTGTTCAAATTTCTCAAATAGAACTTTTGTATCAATGACAGACGTTGCTCATCAACAATGTTTATCAAAATGATATTTTTATTTAATTGAACTCTGAATTATTAAATCAGTAGTGAATTAAGTCATTTGATTGTTATTGAAAGTCAATATCTTTCCAATTTACAAAAACATGTACTTAATCAAGGAAATTTTCTACAAAATAAATCATTCTCTTATGTATAGAAGCAAAGTTCTTATTAGAATTCATATGGCAAATCATTAGCAATATAAAAATATACAAGAAATTTTGTGACTCGTACTACTGGAAGAACTGGTTATTTCATAGATCGATAATCTATAGTCATTCGTTATTCTCACACAGTTATAATCGAAGCAGAAAAAGCGATCCTGAGATTTTGACTGTCGTATGTATTCCCATTACATCCTTTGTATTATGGATACGTGAATATCATAGAAATAAGAATCATCTGAAAGTTATCAAAGAATACTCGTGTCAACTGTTCTCTTTCATAAAACTCGCTGAGTGACAGCATACTAAAAAAAGACAGAGTTTTATTTATGATTTAAACGAAAGAGATTGAGTAATTGCAATGCAATCGTCTAAAAAAACATCTGAATTGTTTGAGAAATCAATTGGGAATCTTGGTCATGTCAAATAAATTCTGTTTAGTATAACTCAGCACCTGAGTCTCTATCAATTTGTATGAAAAATGGCTACAAAATCACAATGTTTGTTTCAGAAATTTTTGTGTACTTCAACCGACATACCGAAAATTCCTTTTGTGACTTGTGAAACAACTTTTATGTAAGTTAATCGGGAGTCTGTTTGGTAATTTTTTCTAGACGAAATTTATTGTGAATGATGCATTTTTTAAATTATTTGTCAACAGACCGAAGTGTGTTATTTGTGGAAAAAAAAGAATTATTTTGTTATATTAAAATAGAGATCTTCAAATATTTTAAAAGATCTAAACTCGTCTTCTACATAAATTTCTAAAACTCAATTTGAACTTAAAATTAACCAACAATTATTTTATCCTAAATATCTCCATTGTACTTTGTGTATACTCCGTAACCTCAATACTCAAAATTAATAGTCAAACATCTTTCCATCGTATAATTATATAATCAAAATAAACTTTACATCGATATCAACTGCGATATTCATTGTTGTGAAGCATTCACGATGAAAAAATTATCTTTAAATTATGCAACTGTTCACAATTTTTCACAAAATAATTCATATGATCCAGCATTGATGATCTACTAAATTTTGACGATAAATCAATAGATAAATTCAAATGTTTTTCTCATCAGTATCTGCATATATTCATTGATTTTTCGGTTGCATCTCATCAAAATTATTGATTTAAATACATTTATTTTATTCTTCTCTGAATTTTTCTGGAAAGCGAATTTTGCTCCTGGCGAAACTTACACCGTTTTGGTTTATTTTTTGCCAATCAGCAAATGGTAAAAATAATATTTTTATTTGAAATATAACTTTGTGTTTGAAAGCAATCAAAGTTATGTCTATAGAGATAGAAACAAAAACAAAGTAATTGTGTTTTTTCTCGTTGTTATAATAGAACGGCTTCTCGTGCTCCAATGTTTATATAAAGAAACGGTGTTGTTATGCAAAGATAAAACTGAAAGTCAGCAAATAAAATGTGTTTTTATTAAATCCTTTTAATGGTTTCACAAGATTTATTCTTAGCTTGACAATTTTGGCTCTATCAATCGATTGCTCATTGTATGAATAATTATTTCCATCGTCAATTGTGATTATTAAAAATATTTAAATTGAACAACTTCCGCTTTCATACTTCAACTAAGAAACTGATCCTATGCATGTGTGTTAAGCGTTCACTACGAAGATTGTTTGAAAACTTTTGGAATATCATATTACGATCTAATCAGTTCATTTTAGTATTCGAAGAATTGTCAACAACAATAGGCAAATTAGATTCAGTCACTGTCTGATTTCGATCTAAGAACGTGGTTTCATATGGTATCAGTGTTGTCAGCTAGGGTACAGAAATTTTTGATCCGATAGTTGTGAATCTGTTGGTTCGTTATAAAAGATTCATAATTCTCTAACAATGCTAAAGCATGCCATCGCATAATATAATTGAGCATCAAGCTCGATTCTATCGAGTGGCACGATATTATTTGCACTAAATAGATTTTATATTGACGTTGTTTCTTATATTGAAATGCCAGTTCAACATATTGACATAGGTCTCTAAAATGGTACTTTGCTAATCTATTTGACCTTTAGTTTTTTACGTATTCTTTTATTAACACGAATAGATACAACTCAATATATAATATTCAGCAATACAATGAGGTAGAATGCTGAAACAGAAGCAGATTGTTCTTTTAGGCTATGGTTGTCGCATGAGAGTAACATCATATTGTTACTTTCTTGTGCATAATAGTTTACTGAACGATAGAAGCACCATCATGATGATAATTAATATTAATTAATACTTTTGATCGATTTCTATAGAAACCAATAAAATGATCTGATCGAATAAAGATTGATTACTTAGATTCTAGTAACTAGATTAATTCATAATGAACTCCTTAAAAATTCAATCACTTCACTTGGTTTGACAATCAAACTATTACAAAAAGAAACGCCTTTATTTTTGTTTTCTCATTATCGTTTAAGTCTTTCTAAGTCACTACATAGTAGTAGAGAAACGTTTGTTGGCTTCATTCCATTCATAATGTAACTGGTACAGCTCAATACATTATGGTAAATTATTCTCTAATTTATTCGTTTACCTTGAAAGAAAGGTATTCATAAAGGAATATAACGATAAGAAAGGAAATTGACACTCAGGTTGTTTTAAATATGAGAACATGGTAATGAAAAAGAATTTAAATGAAATATCATCGATCATTTATTGCTTCGTAGCGAATATGAGCTGCCAGGATAACCCATACAAATGTGAAGTTTCTTTGCACTTATATTTCAATGATGATTACACTTCTCGTGATCGGAATATTCTGATTTCAACAAATATCCTTCAATAAATACTTATTTACCATACAGCATCATTCACATGATATCAATATTTCCCTTTTCTCTTTCTCAGATTTCTTACGGTTAGCGGTAATAATCTATGAAGAAATCTGCTCACAATTCTCGTTATTACTGATTGAGTTTCGTTTTAGGATTCAATTGATAGAAGTCACTTTTATATATATGGTATCATTCAAATTGAGATTAAATATAGACTGATCGAATTTCGTACTTCTCAGATAAATATGATGTACGAGAGTATTCATGTAAATAACTTCTTTTATGGCATTTAAAATAAACCTTGCAAAATTTACATTGAATAATCAATAACTATTCTCGTATAAAATGAACGAAAAGTCAAATAATATGTAAAATCAGATTACAATTATTGGCATGATTTAAAACTACTTCAGAAAACATTGTATACTAATAATTAGTAGATTTTACAAACGTAGAGTTTTAATCAATATTTCAATAAAATCAGAACCTACAAGAATAAACAAAAGGAAATAAATAAATAAAGATAGTACAAGATTCTCTTTAGATGCAGACACATTGCTGCGAGCACAATGTTTTGGATGGAAATTCATTGCAATGTGTGTTCTACCTATAAACCTATCCTGAAATTATTAAAGTTCAATAAAGTTGATGAATGACAGTTAATATCTCGCACAGAGATATGAGTCTAACTGGTGTGCTATCACAGTATGTTGTATAGTAAAGATTGATTGATAAACAGCAAGAATATTTTCTTTTCTTTCGTGTTGAGCTACAGACAAGTTTTCTGCTGGCTGAGTTTAATCGATCTTTGAGTTTTTTTTTCTCAAAGAATCATGGCTATAGATTCATTTTTATCAATTTGTACAAATTGATAAATAGTTATAGCAATCGATTGAGCGCACTTGACAAATGTTTGCACTTGATTCTTCTTCTTTCTGTAAAAAGCACGTATTGTACCGTTAGTGTCTGTATCTTCAGTTGTTTGTTATTATACAACTTAAGCTATGCACAGAAATGCAGCAAGTAATTGATATTCAATCAAAAAATCATGTCATTCATCTTATGACTTATATACAATATAAATATATTATCAAATGAATTTATTGAAGAATAACGTGAGTGAAACGAGTACGATCAGCTTTTTTTTGTATAGCATTGTAACACAATACTTGTATTGTACGAAATATTTCGATTAATTTTTATACTTTGTAGTTTTCACCAAGGGCAGGTTTTTGTTGAATGAAACACGAAAATAGTTTCACAAGATATTGATGAAAATGCTACTATATATAAGTAAATTTAAAGAAAGCAATTTCACTGTCAAAGATTACGATAGTTTAAAAATAAGCTCATTTGTATTGAATAATTCGGATTGAAATCATCTTTCATTTGTAAATCAATGTCACAACCATTAGTCTTCATTTTTTTAACACTAAGAAATCTTTGTTTTTAATTCTAATTGTAAAGATCTTACTCAAAATGGCACACATGATTGAAGCTCAACATTAGTTTTAAAATGGCCTTAGAATAATTTTAGACTGATTTTGAGTTCTGACAATGTTTTTAGTGTGAAGATCGTTTTGATGTTTCAGTTTGTTCTGAAATCATAATAAATTTAAAAAAAACAAGATACTGTTTTACTGTATTCACTATGGACTGGATCAGTTTATTTCAAGTTGTTATGACAAATGTTGTTTTGACATATATAGTCAAGAATTTTTCGAACACTTCACTACGAGTAGACTGTTTAAATAGGTAAAGGGAAAAAAGAAAACAAAATTTCATTTATGCGCTTGAGAAAATACCTTGTTCAAAATCATACATTTGTTTGTGTTAGTCGAAAAGAGATGAAAAATAGTTTGTTTATTTCTTTTTCAAATCTGTAGTTTATTGAAGAATGTATATCAGAGTGCGAAAACGAACGGAACCTGAACTGAACCGAATATGATCTAATTTTTAAAAAGGCAGTAAATGTAGGCAAACATAGGAGAAAAGTGGTTCATTCAAGTAAAATTTCTTCTTTAAGATTGGTATACTGTCGAAAATAATTACAGAACATTCGATCATTTGTTTTACATCCGATTGATATAAAAAGTTGTTTCCGGTTGTGTTTCTCTTTATAAGAATTAGACCAGCAGTCTTGTGAAGATTGGTCGCGGGTTACTTTCTCTTCCTCTCTATCTATTATTATTCAATTTCTGATTCATCAATTAAAAGTTCACCAACACAGTCAACTTTAAATCCATCGACATATTATACCTCTAATTCTATCAAATCAAATAACTATTGAAAAATAATAATGCGAATTATAAAGTTATTTCGAATTAAAGTGAACGAGTTTCAGCTGCATTTTGGAAAACAACGTGCATGTACCTCCTAGCAAAAAATATTACATGATACAGATGATCTATTGTTATTCGTGGTTTACTGTCATGCGCAAAATGTTTCGAGACCTATTGCTGTGTTGACTCGAACGGGACTCCTACTAAATCTCATAAATGCATTAATTTATTATCATTAGATCAAAATATCAATTGATCATCATAATCTTGTTTTACTTTTGAATTTAGAATCGTTTATATTGTAGTCAGATAAACTCAGGACTAAATCGAGCTAAAATAGATTCCATAACTTGTTCACATTTACTTGTACCCAACGATTTTGAGAAAAAGTCGAACCGAACCGAATCGAACTCGAACTCGAACTCGAATCAGAAAAAGTCGGTTCGATTCGCTCTCTGATGTATACAGCATATTCGACTACCTTCACGATTCGATATATTTTTAAGTCCGAATAGAAACTTGTTTTATGAATGGACCAACAGGAGGTACAAATTTTAATTAACTCTAAACGAGAAAAAACTCACGTAGATTCATATCGAAAATGTCTGTTTCCATAGACTTACTTTACTTCAATAGGTAAATTGTTTTTAGATTTTTCTATCAAGCGTTTTCTTTTAATTATAAAGAAAATCTCAACAAACTTACAAAATGACGTCAAAGTGATACTTGCTCTCTTTTCTTAGAATTACATATTATTTATATTTAGGCACAATTAGTTCAACATCCTTTATTAGTACAATTAAGTACAATATTAAATTTTATTATTTTCTTTTCTTCATATTTCTCGATTTCTAACCTCAGAATAAAAAAATAAGATATATATATGTAAAAAGATACGAATCAGAAAGGAAATCTATGGCCAAGGTAATACATGATAACAAATATGCTATTTGACTCTCTTCAAGTATGTAAGAAGATCTTGTGCAAATATACGAAGAATAATAAATTTTTGCAATTTTTCTTTAATTTAGTTGATTGCCATGTTCTGTATAATAAATTTGCTAAATGTTTTCTCAAAATAAAAAAACTTCTCCTATGAGATTATCTTCATGATCTATCTGGGAAATGACAATAAAAAATAGATGTACAAGTAAAAACTGAATTTGAGACTGAAAATATGTTGTAAAATAATAATTATATTGCAAATGAATTGAAGTATTTTTTTCTATGACTCATTTTAAAAAAACAAGAATGAAATGAATTAATTTCTTGGATGACTGAGAACAACTAGTTAAAAAAGAACAATACTTTTTATAGGTATTTAAATTGATTGAATATTATATTTCTCAAATTTAATTCTCTGTCACAAGAAAAGAAATTGCTCTTTTTTTCTGATTAAAAATTATTCACAAAAGAAAAAAGCAAATATATAAAGCACACAAGGAAACAAGACGAAATTACTACTGTAGAAGCACATTTTGTTGTTGAACTTGATCATGATAAGGTTGTTCTGAAAATAGATGTGAAGATGACGTAATGTTCTTCTTTCCTCTTGCGTATCGTTCATCAACATATAAAAGTTCAGCCGAATCATCACTCCAACCATCATCACTATCATAATTCGATGTAGTTTCTTCTTTTTCAGTTGACATTATTACTTTTTCTGGTGATGAATAAGTTTTTTTATTTGAAGAAATAATTTCCAAAGGAGATGGAGAATTTTGACGTTCAATTCTATTTTGCGTACTATCGCGATCAGATAAAACATAAATATCAGGTTCTTTTGAATTGTGTTTTGTATTTTTCATTAGCTGCGAATAAACATCAATAAGAGTATCGTTGTTATTTTCAATATCATTTGTACATGTAAATGGATATGTATGACAAGATGATGGATGAGAAGAACGATCGATAACTGACGGAGTATGTAAACTATAACAAAAAAAAAATGAATGAAACTATTATTTTGATTTGTAAAAGAAAAGCAGACTAACACATACCTATGAGATGGAATAACATATCGTCCATCAAAAAGTTGTTGATGATCAATTTTCATTGTACGATAAGTACGAGACGATGTATTACCATTATTTTCAGTGAATTCTTCATGTGACGATGGTGATATCGATAATTCTGATGGATAATTATTTGATTTTTCATAAACTTCATATTGTTCTTGATCATTGTGATGTTCTGATACTATTGACCATGAAACAGGTGATTTTGTTTGAAAACTACCAGTTGAACTTTTTTCAATACGTTTTTGATTAAATTTCATATCATCATATTGTGTTGAATCTACTTTTGATATATTACTCAATTGACTTATTTCTCGTTCTCGTTTTAATTCGGTAATATTTGTATTTTTTGGAATTATTGGTTTTGTTCGTGTAGTCTTTGGCATTGATGTAGTTTGAGGCTTTTGCCATGCGTGCTCATCATTTTCATAGTTAGAATTTCGCCGTCGATTTTGATTTGTTTGTGTTTCAATTAAAGGATGAAGATATGTTGAACTTTCGTATAATTGAAAATGAACTTTTGATGGGCGAGACTGTGAAGTAACAAGAGATTTGTTTTGTGCACCATATAAATAATCGGATCCGTACTGACTATTTAATTCATTTGTTCGACTAAATAGAAAAAAAAATTATTGATTTTTTTTCAGAAAAAAGCATTTTTTTTATACTTTAGATTTTTGTCGTTAGTATTATTCTGTGTTTTATTTCGAAGATAAATTACTGTTGGTTTTAATCCATGAACTTGTTGTTTTCCACCAATATCTCTATTACTATGGTTGGCTTGATTTATGTATATAGAATCGTCAATATTATTAACATTTTGTTGTTGTTGTCGCCGAGTAATGAAATTAGTATTTTGCAATTTATTTGTTGTGTTATTGAATTGAACAAATTCATGTTTATCAGCAATCAAATGTTGATTGGGGTCATTAGTAGATGATAATCGATGTTGACTATCGATTTTTTGTTCATATTGACGACGAGGTGTATTTGAAAACATATTTTCCATAGATTGTCTTTCATCAATATTTACGTTTTCATCTGTTGAACGGTTTTTAACAATTTTATTTCGTCGATGATTTTTTTCAAATGATAATTCTTTTTCCTGTTGCCTTTGAGTTGAACCAATAAAATGTTGTTGATTAATCGTTTGTTCAAATGTATCTTGTGAATTTTCATGTTTATGAGTCTTTTTCGGTGGAATGGATCCTTGGATGTCTGTCAATTGAAAATAAAAGAAAAACAGAAGTAGAATTAAGTCAATTGTATGTCAATGATCTGTTTGTTTTGATAAGATTAAAATAATATGAAACAATCAACAGGAAAAAAATTCTATTTTAATATTTACTTTTAATTCTTCGTTGTTCTCTTAGGTGAATTTCATTTGATGGATTATTTTCAAAATCATCTTTTTGTTTTAAATGCTTTTTCTCCTGGTATTCTCTGAGTTTTTTAATTTTAATTTGCTCTTTTTGTTTTCTCCTTTCTTCTTGATTATTGTCACTGGTTTCGTCATTGTATAATGTTTTTAAAGTTTGTTTTACTTGTCGAGATGGTGATGATTGTATATTTGAACCTTTGAAAATATAAGAGCCCACTTTAAGAATTAATCAACAAATACCATTTAAGTCATATAAAATAAAATTGTTTTGTTTCTATGTTTCTTAGAGATTCTTAAAATAGGATTAAATATATTTTGATATTAATCAATTAATATTTGCTGAAACATGGTGACATTTATTAAAAATTCCACATTATGAAAACCTTGAAGTAAAGAATGGACTCTTTTATTTTATGAGTATTCATCATTTATTGAAATGCATATGATGCATGCAACTTTTCGAATAAGAAAGTAAAGTATTCCCTATTTCTATTTCTTTTGATTATTATTACTCGTTTAATATTCTTCGCTTCTATTGATTATTAATATATAAAATGTCGAATATCTTCAACTTAAATAGGCAAATAGATGCTTTTCAAAAAAGATGAATCTGAATACAAAAGTATTCTGAAAGATTTTTCCCAAGAAAAACTTCATTGAAAAAAATTATTAATATCAAATTTGAATGAATAGTCTTACTTTGATGATATGTATTGGTTGGCTGAGTTTGATGAACATAATGTCTTAGTAGAAGATTATTAACTTTTGATGGGGAAGCATCAAATGGTATTATTTGTTGGATAACACCTCGACGTGTAGGTGCTACCAAATTCGTCGCATGTTGCCTCTCAATAACCGATCGATTAACATGTGCTCTTATTTGTTCTTGATTTGGATAATGACTGAGTTGTATCGTTGCTTTCGACTTAGTATGTTGCTGCTGTTGCCCCAATGGACGAATCGAACGTGGTGTTGTTTGATTACTTGAACTACTTGTTGTTGCTGTCATTGTATTTATTTGTTCATCATAAACAGTAAGACGTGACGATGTCAACGGTACTGATGGTTCCATGAGAATATTGAATTTTGTTTTTTTTCTTGATGGCTTTAACGTTGATGTATTCGGTTTTCGAACAGTTGTTTGTGCTGTTGGCAAATTATTAATAATAGCTGGCATATTCGAGTCATTTCGGATAGCTACAACAAAAAAAACATTTGTTTTGTGTTCTTATCTTCAGCTTTGTTGCTAAGTCACTTAGGATTCAAACACATAATATCTTTTTTGTTTTCTTTTTACTGATAAGATCTATGTATCACATAATAGAATTCATTTAGAACGTTATTTTTAGAGCGATGTAATGCTGAATTTTTGTTTTAAACACTACCCAAGCAGACAAACTTTTGAGAAAACGCGTTTAAACGCACAAAAATTGACCTAGAATCAGCAAAAAGTGGACGTTTTGGGCTCACACTTGAGGTTCCCTACTGTGAGCCAAAAACGCTTATTTTTCGCCCTTTTTGTGCGTTTAAACGCGTTTTCAGACAAAACACGCGTTTACAGGCATACAAAAAAGAGGAAAAGTGGTCGTTTTTTAAGACTTTGGATGTACGATCATGATTACAGTCACGTTTCTTGAGCTGGAAAAACACAACAACTTTTTTCTCTTTTTTGAATGCGTATAAACGCATTTTTTGTCTGGAAACGCGTTTAAACCCACAAAATGAGCGTTTTTGGCTCACAGTCGGGAACCTCAAGTGTGAGCCCAAAACGTCCACTTTTTGCTGATTTTAGGCCTATTTCTGTGTGTTTAAACGCGTTTTCTCAAAAGTTTGTCTGCCTGGGTAATCTACACAAATTATTTAACAATCTCAAGATGTCAAGTGTATTCATTGAACGTATTGAATTGTAATTTTTAAATTATATAACATATTAGCATTAGAGAATGTGAACACATATATTTTAAGGAACTTCTAAATCTAATTATTTTACCTCTAGATGAAGTTTTATTAGTTAAATCATTTAATGATCGATGTTGCTGCATATTAAGAGGATAAAGAAGTTCATGTTTAATTGAATGCATTCGACGATACGAGTCTGTTGATTCAGGTGATGTATCGACTAAATCTAAAAGAGCACCATCACTTGATCGTTTCATTTTTTTTTCATCCTTTAAAGGTAATTTTTGTTGTCGTTCATCAGAAAACGAACTTGAACGATATTGTTGTTGTTGTTCTTCACGTGTAGTATTACTGATCATATCTTCCATTGAACGGTTTCTTCCAAAACTAGCAGGTGGACATCGAAGACGAACAATATCAATTGATACTTGCTCATGATCATCATGATATCCATCATCGGGACTTGAATCTTCATTTAATGCGCTTAATGGACGATGAGTTGGAAAATGTTGTTGAGAATATTGTTGAAATTGAACAGATGAATTTGTTGATAAGGATAAATCAAGACCTGAATCAGATGATTCATGATAACTATTAACATTAATTTTCTTTTGATATTGGGAAGTGTCAATCTAAATATTTAATGAATTCGTTGTTTTTACTTATCGAAGTTTTGAGTTTACCCGATTAATAGGCAACATTAATGGTGGTGAATCATTATATGAACTTCGACGACTACTTGTCATCGAATCAAGTTTTTCTTTAGTCGATGTTGATGTTTCAACAATAATATTTGTCTTTTTTCTTGATCTTGATCGAGCACCTAATACTGGTTGTGTAATCAACGCTAAATGATGACTAGGAACAAAATTATCAACACCATTGCTTCGTGGTGATGTTAACATTTATTCGTCTGAATGTTTGTCGATAAATCTTGGATCAATAATACAACTAGATTCAGTAAAATTATTCAACAATATGTTGGTTACTTTTGGATCTAAATGACATTGACAAAAAAAAAGAACGGATGCATATGTGAAGCAGGAAATTGAAAAAAAGGAAAACGACAGAGAGAAGGAATACAAAAAGAAAGAGAATAAAAGAAAAGAAAGACGTCGATAAAAATTAGATATTGTGGTCGTACAAGAAATGAAGAAGAAAAAAATGAAGAATTAGTCGTTTTCTTTCTTGGTACCATAGGATATATAAAAAAAGCATAGTTGAAAAGTGTTTTATTGTCAAATAAATTTTTTATATCTGCGTTTCAAAGGGCTCTCCCTCTCTCTCCTTCTTCTCTCTTTCGTTTTTCGTTACTAGAGTTGTTAAAATGTGTGTTTGCAATAGAGCACATTTGTTGTCGTCGTCAAATCTACCTCTCATTTCTCTATCCTTCTATACGTACATATAAAGACGCACATCAAGTGCAATATGTTGTACCACTCGCTGTTTTTAATAAACAAAATTTTTTAATTTTTTCAAACGATCTGCAATCGTTTAACTAAATCGTAGTTGTAAAAAGAAAACGAAAAGAAAAACACAGAAATTGTAAACTGCATGAAGCTAATGAAATGACAAATTAAATATTCTAGAGATCGAAGTGTTTTAGAAGAATAGGTATCTCATTTCCTGTGATTTTTCGTTCGCCATGAGTTTTTGTTATAAGTGGTTTCATATGCAAGAGCATCTCAATTGATATACGTAGTACAACTTCTAAATTTTGGATTGCTCTCATCGTAATTTTTCAGCTGACTGAACAATTGAACATGTTAGATTTTAGAAATAAATAAATAAAAAGAAAGTTTTCTCTTCGAGAAATTTTCTGCTACAACTCTCTTTTTGTTATAAGACTTATTTTTACGACCCATTTAACGAAGAATAAATTCGCTTGGTTTCATTGACTCTATTTATCTTCCGTTTCGTATCATATTTCTATGACTGAAGTCGACAATGAATAAGATGTGAACTAAATAGATGCGTCGGTATAGTCTTAGCAACAACTTATCCTGCATTTTAGTAACTGTGAGTACTCCTTTTATGATAATATTTGACCGTTGACAAAAGAAAAGCGAATTTCATAGCCGCTGTTGACACATTACCATCACATACCTTTATGTTGTTGGATAGGTTTCATCAGCCACAACTGTGGCGTTAATGTTATGCTATGCTCTCATTTGAGACCTCAAAAGTGGATGCTGTTGTTTTTGTTGCTTCTCTTCTTGTGTGTTTTTATTATTTCCTGGCTTGAATGTTCAACAGAACACCATCAAAGAATGAAAAAAGAGAGAGAAAGTAATATGTCAGTACGTCACGCAGATAGAAATAAGAGAACCAACGAGAAAAGAATTGAAATCCGATAGGTAAGTAGTAATGATGACGCCAGTAATTGTTCAAAATTAGGATTTTTCTTCTTCTTGTTCTTTTTGAATTCTTCACTTATTCTATTCGTCTTCTCAATTAGCACCCCTGGTGATAGTGCAAGTACGTTGTTCATTTACTCAACACTCATTTTGTTTTCTTTATTCTCTTCTTTTTCTTTTTTTTGATTATTCGGAAGCGAGTTCTATTTTTTTTATATTTCTCTTTCTTTGTATTTGATGTGACTATTGATAAACGATATTTCATTGTTCTTTCTTCTCTTTTTATCGATAAGAGTGAAAGAAAAAAAGCAGTGAGAACATGACAAGACGTGCATGCGTAGTAAGATTTTATGAAGTAGATGATAAGAGGATTGTGACATACACCGAACGACGACAACGACGGTTGTTCGGTTAGAGGTGTTGGTAGCAACCAAGAGCTCAAATTTCACTTCTTTACTTGATGAACAACATGCATTATACTATTTGATGCAGATGATTGCATGTAAAAGTTGAACAAATGTTGTGACTGATAAAAATAAAATAGTGTTATTAATCTACTAAAAGGTTAAACATTTATTTTCACATTATAGAAGGCTTCGAAATGAAAACAATAAAGATTATATTTTAAAATGTATCACAAAATCAATAAATATCTTTAATATAACTTCTAGAATAAGAATAAATGAACAAAAGAACTTAGTACAACAGTCATTTATATCATTTAAATCATGATGATATAATATTAAATTATAGTATTTATTTCGATTTTTTTGAAATCCATATCATTTGATCAATTTCTGTAATAGTGTGGATGTAAAATGCAAATCTTTCATAGAATTTGCATTACCTAAATATATATATCAATGGAATTGTGGTGATAGTTAGCTTGAAATTGCCATGAATTTTTGTTATCAATTACTTTGGTGAAAATGAGCAAATTAATGGCTAAATAATATGTTTACCATGAACTTGCTGGATGCCAATAAATATAACTATATCAAATATGAGTTTTTTTCTCAGGCAAAATAATTCATGAATGTTTTCTTTTGATTTATTCCACAGTAAACTTACCTGAAAAGAAAAATATTAGTTTGAATAAAATAATGATAAATAAATGTTTCCATGGCTCATTTGAATCGGACATACTCGATAGAATTTATCGTAATGAACAAATTTTCTCTTTTATGATTTGAAAAAAATAAACACAAATATGAACAGTTTATCATCACAATGTAAGAATAAACAACCTCATTTTTGTTCAAGCACCACATAAGCGTAGCACCGTTTCAATAGTAAAGTAACATGCGATGGAGATCATTCACTTTGAATAATATTCTTTGCAACAATACTCAATATGATAGCGTCTCGTAGAAATTATATGTGCAGATATCTGATTCGTGAAGCAAGCTTTGTTTTAAAAAAGACATTGCTAGCAACCGTCTTGGTATTCAACAATAAGGGTCATTCTGCCAAATCAAGAATTTTAGCTATTCAATTGACTTCTGAAAAAGTAAGAAATTATGTAAAAGAAATAGAAAACATGTTTATTATTACATAACGACTGACTTTATTGTAAGTAGCTATTAAAATTCAGTTGTCTCATGTTCCGATCTGAGGTTTTTGATACTTCTTGACTCAGAAAAAACAAAAATTTATAGAAATGTGTATGTCAGGTTGCGTGCAATGGCTAAATTATCAAAAATAAATAGTTGTATGATTCACGTTTGCTTTTTCATTCAATACAAAGACTTGATATCATGGTTGTATCTGAATATCACTTCGCGATGATTAATCGAAACATACGAAGATAGAATTTGATGAGTTTTATCTAGGTGATATTAAAGATCTAAACTTGTAAACGCTTGTGTTTTACAATGTAAATAAATAATAACTAATTGATCATCGTTATTGTTGATAATGAACCAATGAGCTTGATTCATCTTTGTATGACTTCAATACGATTCTGATTAGCATTGTACAAATGCACATTTATATGCTATGTGATATGACTTGACCTCACTTAAGACATAATCATGTCCACTTTCTTTTTCTAGACAACGATAACAGGAAATTTTAATAAATATTTTACTCACTATGCAATTATGAAGTCTCTCCAAAACATTCAATGAAAAACAAGCACGATCTTAAAAGAATAAAAAGCTAAATAATACTCATTACAGAGTGTGTTGACCAATTATAAATGTGTAAACAGTCATTTTTTCAAATTCGTTTCTAAAGTTGTAAACATCTTCTATACAGCAGCAGTGATTGCGCAATTAATTGTAAAACTCGAACAAATTGTACAAATGAATTTATTCATTTTTTATAGCTAAATCAGGATTCATTTTGAACTGAATAGTATAACAAAAAAAACAGCTGACTTTTGCGACAAAGGTCCAGGAGAGAAGCGAGAAACTTATTTCGTGTATTTTGTAAAGACAAAAAGATAGTATATCTCCTCGCCAGTATTCTTTTCTGATTAAAAAAACAATATTATTCTATATTAAGGCCCGTATTACAAAAGCTTTACACTAATTAGTACACTGTTACGTTTTTGTTTTGACGCAAAAGTTAAAAAGATGAATGTTTTTTCGATTAATATCATTACACGCTTTTCTCTTTCAAGTAAAGTGCAAAAGAAAATGATCTAATATTGTTTTTTTAACCGAAGAAATTAGCTGCAAAGGTTTTTATACAATCATCTTGCACGAAAACTTAATTCTCAAGAAATGCTGATGTAGAATATAGATTTTTAGTGCTATCCGTATTCTACTGCATCTTTCACAAGAGATGAAAGCGTACATGTTATTTGGAAGTACAGAGGCACACTCTCACTTTGATGTCTTCTATGATGGCTTTAGGTTTTTCAAAACTAATAAAAAAAGCATCTAAACTCTCTTATGCTATAGTAAACTACTAAACCAATATCATGTGAAGCATTTATAACTCTAAAAGCATGATTTTGTTTTTCTTCCAGTAGATTGCCAAATAGTTTCAAAAAGCGATGATTATCTACTAAATTTACTCAGACAACATCAGAACTGACTTGTTTCTCTAAGCAATGCATTCACATATTTAGCTGCTTGCACGCATGACAAGCAAAATTAACAAGAACAGATCGTATATTTATCATAGCTTTTCTTATTCATAATCATGTTTAAAGATAAACAAAACCCACCATTCACTATAAATCGTAATTCAATCAATATCAATTTTGCTCCTCCATAATTGTTTCAATTATAATTTAAAAATTCTGACTTTTTTTGAAAAATATATGTCTCTCAGTATAAATATAAATATATATTTAAATTAGACATCCTACTTTACAAGGTTTTAAGAAGAAAATATTCTATAAGGATATCAGAATTTATCTTACATTCTTTATTTGATTGGTTTTGAATGTTTTGACGTAAGATTAAATCCTAGTCAACGGTCTTTCTTTGCCTAAAAAATTAAATCATCTAATAGAAAATAAACGTTTCCATCACCACACCAATAGCTGTTGGTTTTGAAAATTTCAACTGCTGATATGATGATGTAGAAATATTTTCTTTCAATGCTTTAGATCGACTCTCTGAACATCATTGATTTATGAGTATTTAATAGAGAATGAAACGAGCTTTTTTAAGCCGACGGTTTCAATAAAATGAACCCAAATTTTAACGAACAGATCAAACTCTAAGAAATGTCTTACAGAAGATTGCTGTAATATGCATCTACATACTAATGAGTCAATCGATCATGTCACTAAAAGTTTCCAGAGCTCAAACTTTGCAGCAAAGATCGACATCATTCATTATAACTTTTCTTCTATTCAAAGAATTACATGTGACTAGTGCCATCGTGATATGCAATCCTTGTGGCCCATGTATGTGCGTAGAAGTTTTCAGATGTCTAGCCCTTAAATTATCTGGGATTCTAGAGTGAAATCTTCTGTAAAGGGATGTATTTGTGATCTTTTTTGATATAGTAAATAGTTAAATACGAGATGGAGATATCTTGTTTTATTCGACACAAAAAACAAATTCAGCTTAGATCAAAATTAAATTGAAAGCAAAACGAACAGCAAATCAATAAATCAGAAAGAATTTTAGCAAAATGTACATCATCAAAACACAATACAATCTTGTTTCGATAGAAATACCATAATTTTTGACAGTAGTTGTCATATCAACAATAATAGGCTTTGATGTTGTTGCTGGTGATATTGTTGGTTGTGATGCTGTTGTTGATGATGATGTTTGCGTTAAGCGTGTACTCGTTGTAGTATCAATTTGATTAATAGTTGTTGCAATCCAATCACGGTACCTTGATAAGCGAGTGTACACACCAGGGCTATTTTCTCCGGCGCAACCATTACCGAAACTAACGATACCCACTTGTTCCCAATGATCGTCTAACCATTGATGAATCGGACCACCACTATCACCTTTCGAAAATAAAATACAGGATTCAAAGAGTGGATTTTACTGGAAAGGATTTTCATTCACTTACCTTGACATGAGTCTTTTCCACCGCCGTCAATCATAGCACAAAATTGTCGCTCTCTATCGTAAGCTGTTTTTACACATCTTGGATCGTCATTAGCCAAACTCCTTACACGCACTTGCTGTAATTCATCAGGTAACCCACCATTCTCCGCTAATACACCCCATCCTATAACTGCTAAACGAGTGCCAGTCGTTGGGTAATTCAGATCAGTCGACTGTGAAGGCAAACAGGCGATACCGGCAAGATTACCAGATGACGTGAGATCGACAGGTGATGAAAGTTGAATGAGAGCAATATCATTAATATGTTGTGGTGGAGAAACATAATCTGGATGTTGAATTACTTTACTGACATTGCGAATCTGATATGATGGTAAGTGACGATTATGAATACCAATGTGAACGGTAGAGATAATAAGCAGTGAACAATGAGCAGCAGTTAATACCCATTCATCATTAATCAGAGTTCCACCGCAGCGATGCATATTGAATAGTTGAATAGAGACAGCCCATGGCCAACTATGTGGTTGGGCTGTCTCACCACCGACGATTCGTCCTTGCTTATGAAGACGAACAAAAGAGGGTCCATCATGAAAGACAACTGGGGTAGGTGAGCAACCACATGAATAACTTGTGTTGCAAACAAATGAAATTGGTTGACCTTAAATAGAACAAATAAAAATATCATCATAGATACAGAAGAAAAATATTTATCAAATTGCATTTATACCAGTAGTTGTAGTAGACTGAATAGTCGTCGTTCTTGTCGGTGGTGTTGCGGGTGGAGCCTTTAGTATATTCAATATCCAGTCGGCAAATGGTATTACTCGTGTAAATAAACCTTCTGTAGTGCATGCATTGCGAAAACTTGTGATCGCAACTAATTCATATTGTGCACTATCATTTGAATAGACCATCAAAGGGCCACCACTGTCACCTAAATTGAAATGCTTTAGCTAATAGAAAACTTGAATAAATACATAATATTAAAAACAAACTGGAACGACTCACGTACGTGAACATGTCCCTAAAAGAAAAAGATTCGATACGAATTCATTAAAAAAAACAAGCACAATTAAGAAGATGTCTTACCATTTGCACAAAGTTGTGTGGTTGAATTACTCATTTTATTTTTAGTACAATCAGCATTCTCTTGCACAATTGCTTGTTGTAAAAATGTTGCCGCTACTGTTGGATTTGATTGATTCAAAATTCCCCAACCTATTGTCACAAGATCTATATCTTCGACTGATGTTAGATTTGACAATGAAATACTGTCCAGATTCAATGCCTTCATATTCAATGGAGGCGAGACACGTACAAGTGCCAAGTCGTTTAAAAATAGCTTAGAATTATAATTTGGATGTACAATTATATGAGAAACTGTACGAGTTTGCTCTAAATTCTCAGTATCATTAATAATATTGTGTACACCAGCTTTGATTGAAAATTGATTGAAATATTCGGTGTGAGCATCAAAAAAACAACTGGCGGCAGTAAGTACAAATATATCAGAGATGATAGAACCGCCACATATATCGATTATGCGATTGGATGGCTGTACATCATGAAAACGTATTGTAACCATCCAAGGGAATGCACCGACAGGTGCTTCTGAACCACCAAATATTCTTTCGACAGCTTGTTGCCCAATAAACTCATGAACAGTTAGCAGAAAAATGAAAACAGTAAGAAATTTCATGTCATTAACGATTTGCAGTATAAAAAAATGCTAGTGATAATGCCAAAGTAAAAAACTATGTTAACCGTTTAATAAATACCTATTTCAAATCTATCTGATCTACTGATAAAATTTAATCTTGTACAAGCGTTTGATTGTTTGAGTCTTTATTTTTTCGTTGCATAAATACGGAGACATCACTCATATAAATTTATCTTTTTAAATTTGCGCCAATCTCTTTGGTACATACAAGAAACTGATATGGAAAGAATTTTGCAAGACTCTTATACATTTTAAAATAAATATTTGTAAAAGAATTTATATTTTTTATCATTAGTCGTTAGTTGGAAAAAGTGATTAATAGAAACCTTTATCGTATATGAATTGTATTTATTTAAGACAACATTTTGATATTTATCTCAAATATACATTCTTAAAAATAGTGCTATTCATTATTAAAATAATTATAATTATTTTATCGGCATCTAGGTATGTCGAGTACTGTAGTTTTTATCGTACAATTTTTTCTTTTTATCTTAAATAGTCCAGAGTGTGCATTTTTTATTTTGAAATATGAATTCATCAATAGCTTCGACAGTTAACAAAAACTAAGGACTACAATTTGAATACACTATTAATTAATATGCATATTTTCTTCATACTTGAAACTATTACATTTAAATCTTGCTCTAAACAATAGGTTTCAGTGACATTGTAAACAGTTTTTACTGGCAATTATATTCTGAAAACTTTCTGAACGATAAATAATAGTCAGTAAAACAAAATTCGAAGAATAGCTGCTCAAATTTTTCTTGGATTAAAATGAATCTCATTTGAGTGCATTAACTCTTCTTTGACTTCTTCTACTCCGATCATCAATATAATAAGACATTCAATACGGATACGAACACCGAAATTAACTTTGCTAAAGACAAAAAAAATAAAAGCAATGGACATTTTTGATTTTCCACAATGTTAATCGGAGTGGTTCATATAATGATAATTTTAATGAAATTAGATTTTATCAACAAAATCTAAATTTTTCTTGGGTCAACCTAAACATCATCCATGTCTACACGTTTATATATGCCAGTGTTCAATCTTGGAGCATCAGTTTGGACTAGGCCAATGTCGGATTAGGAAGTTCTTTTTCATTAAAACCTTCATAAATCTTTAGCCTGATGTACGATATGAATTCTTTTTGGAGTATGGTCTAGGAACAATGGCAGTTGCGACGACTCAATAGCTTATGAGTGAATGAGGGTGAATTTTATGAATTACTAAATAATATTTCGAAGAACAGCAGCATCTACAAAGAAATTTATGTGAATATTCCAATGCACCTTCACTTCTGATAGCTATGATTCGGAAGGTTCCGATACGATCATACCAACATGTCAGTCAACAAAGAATTCATATCGTACATCTGGATAACGATTAATGAAGGTTTTAATGAAAAAACCTTCCCAATTCGACATTGGCCTAGTCAAAACTGATGCTCCGAGATTGGCCTGAATCCGATATTGGCCTACAACATATATATATATATATCAATTATTTTGATGAGCACTAATTATCAAATTGATTATTTTCAACATTGTAAAACAACCAGTAAGATAAATACATAAATGTTTTTACAGTTCATCAATTGTATTGTTGATGGAAAACAACATCAAACGTAATAAGAGGAAGAAATGAAGCGAAGAACAATTTAATTAAAAATATGGATGCTTTTAGGATTTACTCAGAAATTAGATTTGAAGAAAAGGAATAAGAAACTATTTTAAAAATGATGATATTTTGAAGGAGTAGGCGATGTAGTACGTATTGAGTATTTCGTTGAAATTTTATTCGGAGCAAGCCATTTATTATTTCTTCATTGTGTTACTAAAGAGCCATTTACGATTTGAAAAAAAGCATTTAGTGCGTTTTTCGTTTGAAATAAAAATACTTTACATGAATTTTAAGAACGAGAAGAATAATGAAATATCTATAAATCAGTAGATATTTTGTTAAAAGTTCACAATAACAGCAACAAATAATCGTTGAATAAAAATAATTGAATTTTTTTGAAACCTTCATGAAAAATATGGAAGATAAATATGACTTGTTGTTCATAAATGTTTCTCTCTTATGTATCTACAAAAAATGGTTCTTGGCATTTCACAATCGACTTACAGTCTCTTTAGAATTTGCTCTGATGAAGTTTCTTGCCTAATTAGACTTAGTATATGCAATCTGAAATAAATGTGGAAACTTCGGATTTCATCCGAGAGTTATGTGTACTGCAAAAAGTGCATGGGATATGTGAGTCATTCTAGAATGTCTGAACACCAAAATTATCATGAGAAACTAGGCAACTTGGTTTCTGAATTCAGTTTTTGTGCATTTTCAGATCTTTTTCAGGTGATGTTTCGTTAGAAAGCTACGATTTAGTTCAAAACTAGTATCAGATTCGGAATCAGCGTTAAAAACTGAGTCGATTTACATATGTTGTGGATAATTCTGAGAAAAAGTTTTGTTTTGAAAAATCCCTGTACTCCCCCTCAGGGATGGTATAGTCAAAAATGACAATTTTTTCGATAACTCATCCATTTCTTGACGGATCCTTCTCATCTTCGAACTCGGCTGAGATATTAATGAGATCATTATGTGTACAAAATTTCATGACAATTGGATGAGGCTTTTAAAGGTTATCGTGTTAACGGCCGGACACACTGACCGAATCTAGAGTGTACTCATTTTTTTTGAGTACACAATAAGAGAATGCAAAAAAAAAGAAGGACAATTCGAGAGATTGCATTTTCGCCATGTCCTCCTTCTTTTAGTTTTTACTTTGCAGATGGTGCAGTCGACGACGAAAATAGTTGGATGAGAAAAATAAAATGGTCTAATTTCTTGTTCATCTCATTCAAATATGTATCGACGAGTGAAGAAATGAAAATGAAAATGAAAATGGAATGGATAAGGAAGATTGTAATCATTTGTATCATTTTTCTCTTTTTATTTTCTGTTGTCAGATAAATGAACCCTGTAACAAATAAAATGACATTTATAATAAATTTATGAAAATTCTGTTGTTCGACAAGAAATCATCGAGAATATGTTTATGAAGATAAAAAAAATAAAATAATTGATCGAAATCTTTAGTTAACTGCTACATAGTCATGGTATCTATATGGTACACATGTTATACTACTCACCCAGGTCATTTTTCTTTGCTTTAAAGTTAGATTTTTTTATAATATTCAAATTCATACTGTTCAGTTAGATTTATTAAATTTATTTTGAGAATAGTCCATTCTATGAGATAAATCGTTGTGTGTGTGTGTGTCAGTAATGTGGTGAGTACTTTACTATTGACCAGTAGATTAATATTTTGTAATTAATTTCTTTTTGTGTGGATCATTCAGTTGTTTTCGACGAAAAAAGAGTAGATTCAAGGTAGTAATACAAAAAAAAAGTTGTATCTTTTTCATGGAAGCGTTAAATAAACAGGTTATAATTACAGACATTATTATTCGTTAAAATTCATAAAATAGCAACTGATTCCGAAAAATAGTACTCAAACGCTGATTTATACTGACTATTTCATCATGTCTAGTTCGATTTCTAGCCTTGAAAACTTTTAAAATATAAATTTATGCAGATACAGATATGTGTAATTCACTTATAGATAATGGTAAGAAAATATCATCATAATAAGGGTTGAAAGTGCAAGATTACTAATAAATACTGAAGTCATTCAAACTGACTATACTCCTATTTCTTGCTAGAACAATATACATATAACTACGTAGATTGATTGGAAACATATTTAATGCAGATATTGTTTGTATTCGATTTGATGATTGAAATGAAAATATGAGTAACGAGCCTCTTTTTTATGTAAAAGATGTAAGATAGAAATAGTTTAAGATTTGGCAAAAAGAGTAAACATATTACTATGATAATAATTAAAAGACGTTTATTTTGGTTGTCTACATAAAATATAAACGACAGTTTGAATTGAAAATAGTGAAAATACTAAATTAATGTTATATTTGTAATTCAAGCTATCGCAAAACTAGCTTGACACTCATAAAATGTCACCTGGAACAAATTATATCCATCATTCAATTCTTTTTAAAATTCTAATAAAAAAGCAATGTTGTGGTTTTTGTCTATTTCGATATTGGATTGATCATCAATTAATAAAATTAAGAAAGCAGCTAATGAAATCATTTTATTCTTTAAATCAATCTTCGATTAACCTTGCTTTTACTTGATCATTATAACTGAATAGAATGATGATTGGCTATATTATTGGTCTTGTATTTTATCATAAACTATTGTTTTTTTTTCGAATTAAAATCATTTATTAGTCTCTATTAAATAAAAACTTGCTAAAAAAGGAAAATATTACGTAACATGAAAATGATTGATTAGATTATCTATTTCCTTGTCTATCGAACACATTGAAGTTCAAACTCATGTTTTCATTTTGTACCATTGTAACGAGGATTGATTTGGCTATATCTCTCGTATTCGAATTTATGAATTATTTTTATAGCATGATTTTAAGTTTCTTCAACCGTATAGTTTGATTGTAATTAGAACGTTTTCAATGAAAAGAATAATAATCAAAGTGTAAAATATACAATATAAAGAAAATAAGATAATGATAGCATGTGATAGACATTTCATCAGTATCAAATAATCAGATTCTTGCCCGAGGTTTAAAATCGTTGTTTTCTACATGATCAAGTAGTTGCAACACATAACCAATGCATATATTTCCCAGGCATGTGAATTCGAGTATCTTCTTTTTTTTCTAGCAAAATGAAAGACTGAGAAAAACTACATAGAAGACTATAAGAAATTATTAGAAAGAATATTTAAATAACAATTGTAAGATATTTAAAAAGCAAGAGAAAATTATTTCTTGATATTAATACTGACTAAATGTAAAATATAAAAATAAATGTAAGCTTGTCATGAAATCGATCGACTACAAGTTTGTCTTTGATAGAATAATTAGATGACATTTAAATTCTATTCATAATAGTTGAGCCTGAAAATAAATCTTAAACTATTTCTTTTTTTTCCATATCTTCGGCTTGATTAAAGACAAAGAAAAGTTACTAGTTGTATTGTGTTGATTCTTTTAAGCCTATTGTTAACATATATCATCATAGCACATATATATATATACATATTTACTTAAGATTTGTATAAGATGAATATTTTAGATAACATGATATATAAATGTTAAAATATACTTTGAAAACTTTTTTTTACTTCTGATCTATTTTACTTATTTTCTAGTTCGAGCTTAGTATAACATTTTCTGTAGTGCTTACATATGGAGATTATATTATTGAATTTTGAATTAACAAATATTGGCAACGCCAATATGCCTTTTTCTTGTAACGTAAAACAAATTGTGATCAACAGATTAATTTAATGCGATGAAATAAATCTGTTCTAGTTGTTAACAAACAAGAAAACCTATTAGATATATTAGTCTACGAAATTTTAAAGCTTCGATAAGACTTGTGAGTTGTTAGACATTGAAAATAAATTCAATGAAAACATTTCTTAGATTAGTCAGAATAAGTATAAATAATTTGTTTGCTGATAGACTATCGATAGATCAAGAGTAAGATGGATAGTTTTTTAGTTCGTTTAAGTACACTTTATGAAATATTTATTTATCAATTAATGATCTTCAGATCAGCGATTAATTCGATATATAAAATGAAATTTTATCATTAAGAAATATATTGCTATCATACATTTCATAGTAATATAGATATATATGAATTTTTATTTAGATTAATATTTAAAACAAATGACATTATTATTGATAATAAATATTTTCTTCTCAATATTATTTTCAAATACAATTCTATTACCATTACCATTCAATCAGTATGCTTATATGCTTGCACGAGAAAGAATTAAACAACATGATAGAAGTGTACAAGCTCAAAATCGTCTAAATTCAAACGAGAAAATTGTTAATTTATATTTAGAATTGTTACAAGCTAACGAATATGTTAATACTAAAGATTATTTTTATCCATCACGTCCAATTGAGACAGAAATTAAAAATATAACAAATAGTGTACTGTATCATTTCTTAAAATTGTTACCTAAAGGTGGAAATCTTCATCTACATGAATTTCAAGTTCTTGATCGTGAATTATTACTTGAGTCTATAAAAAATTCTGCTGAATATGATTTATTATATATTTGTGATCAAAATGATTGTATCACAAATAAATATTATCTAAGATATTTTAAAGGAAACATTTCTTCTGGTTGGACCAAAGTCAAAGACTCAAATTGGACTATATCAGAAATTGTCAAGAAAACAACTTTGATTGGAATTTTAAATGATCTTAAACCACCAATATATTCTACTGATACCAAAGCTCGATGGAATTTAGCTAATCAATATGGAGTTTTTCAATTTTATGGAGATTTAGTACGATATAATGTTACAAGATTTAATTATATGAAATTAGTTTTAGATCATGCACTTCAAGAAAATATTCAATTACTAGAATTTCGACGTGGATTTTTCGAAAATTTATTTTATTTTAATGAAGCCGGTTTGAGAATACCGATAAATGCTACTGAAGAACTAGATTTACTATTGAGATTCAAAGAAGATTATAAATTGAAAAATCCTAAATTAATTGATTTCACATTTATAATTAATAGTCAAAGGAGTTCGTCAAAAGAACAAATCAAAACTCATCTTAGTAATCTAATTGACCTTCAACGTTTATATCCAGATTTTATTCGTGGATATGATATGGTTGGCGAGGAAGATCAAGGTCATACAATTTTATTTCACAGTGAAAGTCTTATGAATGCATTTAATTATTCAAAGACAACGAATGGATCATTTAATTTTATTTTTCATGCTGGTGAAACTAATTGGCCTGAAAGTCATATTGTATCAAACTATGGTGATAGTGTATCAACATTTGAAAATATTTATGATGCACTTGTACTTCGAACTCGTCGCATTGGCCACGGACTTAGTTTAGCTAAACGTCCAGATATGTATGAATATATTCGTGACAAACATATAGCAATTGAAATTTGCCCAGCAAGTAATCAGCTATTAGGTGATTTGAATCTGCTGTTGCTTATTTATTTATTTAAATATTTATTTATGTTCTTTTTTTTCTTGATAAAAGGTTATGTTGCTGATCTTCGAAATCATCCCGGTATAGTTTATCATCGAAGTGGAATTCCAATTGTATTATCTGGTGATGATCCAGGAAGTTTTGGTTATAACGAATTAACAATAGATTATTATTTAGCAACAATGGCATGGGGTTTAAATCTTGCTGATTTGAAACAATTTGCCTGGAATTCTATTCAATATAGTTCACTTTCCGATAATAGAAAACTAGAAGGATTTCAAAAGTGGGAAAATCAATGGAGTTCATTTATTGATTCTTCATATAGATTAGCATGCAGTCAAACATTTCCAAATACAATTATAAATATATCTCATATATTACCTTCATATGGTCCACATGATCAATCTGTTAATGTAACACTCTTTGGATCAGGCTTTGAAATAGCAATATGTAAAAAGATTATTTGTAAATTTGGTGAAAAAGAAGCACAAGGAATATTTATTGATTTAAACGAAATTATTTGTTCAATACCTTCAAACAGTAATGATCTTTTAACGGTACCGATTTCAATTGTTATTGATAATGAGACTTTAGAATCAGGATTTAATTATACATTTGTCTCGTCATTACTAGTTATCGATGATGGAACTTTAACTATAACCAATTCATCAAAAAGTGGTAAATCTTCGATAATCAATCAAAATTTGATTTTATTTTCCCTCGTATTACTTTTAACATTCATCATATAGATTGTAAGCAATAGAATGAAAAATAATAAAATACCGAAAAATATGTTTGATCTTTAGTTTTGATTTTTACTAAAAATGGCATTCGAAATATCAATTGACTTAGAAAATGATTATCTTTCTTCGATGAATTCATTTTAATAAATTCTCTGAGGAATCTATTTATTGATGAGAGCTTATTTTTGTTCTATTAAAAATTACATTGAACAGAAGATTTATGAACACAGGAAATATCAATTTGGTTTAAGTTTAATCAGCTACTGATGAAATCGATCTTGTTTCTTGAAATCATTCAATCGATTACATATTTCTCACTGAAATTAAGGTAAATGATCAAAAGCATCCTTCAACTAAATATCAAATATCTCAAATAGAAGTTAGAAGTTTAGCTAAATATATATACAGCTATTTATATACGTATATAAGAGCTGCCATTGAAAAAGAACACATTTGGACTTATTAATCATCAATACCGCCTGATCTTTAGTTCTAACTTTCGTTCTCAACACAATATCTTTCTTTTCACAATAACATGTAGTGCGAGTGTAGAAAACTTCTGAAAAATTAATTCTAGAAGCGGATAGCTTTTCTAAGTTTTCAATAATTTTTTTCTTTTAGAATATTTATGTGAAATGAATCTTTATGGTCGAAAATCATGGCAGATCTGATGTTCGATATGTGAATACTGCATAGATTTTGAAATTAATTTAATTCGAATATAATTTTCATAGATATTTCCTCTCATTAATAAAAAAACATATCAAATACTACTACTAAGAACTTGCCTAAAACTTGAACACATCGGTAAATAACAGACAAGAATTAATTTTAATAATTCAAAAAAAAAAATCAAAACGTCCCAGTTTTGCCTAGAAAAAAATAAAATAATGCTATACGAATAGCACTCCAATTATACGTAGAACAATCCACAGATGGGCACCAGCAACTGAGAGAAAAAGAATAAATACAAATTATGTTTATTTTTCTTTCTTCTTGATTATTTTTTGTATCCTACAAAAAAATCACATTCCTAAATATGAAATTTCATTGGCATAATTCTATTCATTCTTTGCGAAACACAAAGAGATATCTCGTTGCATGATTATATTATTCGATACAAATGTTCGATGAGAAACAAAATCATAATACTGAACTTATCCATGAAATTTTCCTTTTATTGACGTATCAATATGACCGATAAATGTACGTACGTATATAGCTGCTTTTCAAATCAAGTGAATGTGTTCACTCGACATTTATCAGTTGTATTGTTGAGAATAAATCAAATTTAAAAGAGTTGTTTTAATCAGTATACGTCTATACCATCGTTAGAACATGAATGTCAATAATGTTCAACTGAACTCAAGCTATCACTTCATGAATACTTCAATTACTCGTTTGAACTTAACACACTACATAATTTATGCTACGCAGTTAAAGAAGACTGGGATACTTGAAAGTTAGTAGCTTCGTTATGAATAGCATTCATTCTACTAATAAGACGATTCAACACATCATTACGATTATTCTCCATATCACGTTGAAGAAAAATACTTAGAAATCTCACTAGCTATAATAAGATTTTCAAAGTATTTTTCCCGCTACTCGTGATTTTAATACGATCAACACTGAACAAAGTTTGACCACTTCTTTCAAAACACATAACCTAGCAAGATTAAAAAAATCGTAAGTTGATGCAAAGAAAATATCAACATAAATTCAAAGTTCAGAAACGATGTTCACAGTAGTGTCAAATTTGAAACTTGAATTCAGGTTTCAAGTTGGACATATATGGATGTTCATTACCATGTAATTAATGATTATTTGCTTACAAATTCTCAAGTAATGCATTGCATTCGGCTTACCGTACAAATGAAGTTGAATTGACATATTTTCGTTATAGCGCTAATAAAAAGATGATAAATTCGTCGAGTCTCTTGCAACTTACGCAAAATCATTTATTTTCAATCTCCGTGATTTAAAACTGGTCAACATTGAAAATCGACATGTTACTTTACTTATGTTGTTTTTCAAAGACTAAAAATAAAACCCCAACTTCTCAATATGCTTAAACATTTTAGTAGTCATTTTCTTTTGTTTTTGTAATACGGCGTTATTGCTAAATCAGTTAGTACCATATACTTGAGCAAAAGTTTTTTTTACGGATTTCGATAGATGTGTGATATAATATCGGTGAGAGAAATAACAAAGAATTGAGTTTCAATGAAATTTTGAAACGAATTTTTATAATATTTCTTTTATTTTTAGGCAGAACTGTAGATGAAGAGAAACTCTCATATCTGCACTCACACCCATCATTCTCTGAATGGCAAAATGAAGAAGAAGAGACAAACGTTAACATTTCGCATTGCATTTTGTTCATATCAATAATCATAATATTTACTTATTGTTGTCCTTGATGATAATTAATACCAATTTTAAAAATTGTTTTTCATAGGAAAATATTCATATCACATTTCTTAAATAAAGAATGAATCGTATTTAACTTTTTCTTTTGAAGATATGTGAGACGAACGGAAATTCGATCATAATAGATCCATGAATAGAAAATATTTGTTGTGAATATTTTTCCTTTTCAAGATCGTCATTAAAAGTCGAAAATCAATTTAGCATATCTTTTCTCAAATTCATTTTCAATTAAGAATAATCATAATAATCACATAAATATTTCAATTAGAACATGACTTAACATTTGCTTAGTATGATTATTGAAGAAAACAAGAACATTTATGAATTCTTTTTTTAGCATCGATATGATTATTCGTGTAATTGTATCTACTATGTTGTTAAGTGAGATTATTGCTATTAATGGATTCATGGAAATTTTTCGTACAAAATTTTATCTTCAAAGTTATTTACTTAGTAATAAACGAAATATCTTTCTATTTATTCTCTGCGCAAAACCTTGTACTGAATAATTTTTATCGATCATTAGATAATATCAGAAATTTTCCATTTATATCTGAAACTACGAATAATATTCCATATTTATTATTATTTTAGTCTTTCAATTCATGAGAACGATACTCATTCGTATACTCTATTAGCGTATGACCTAATTAAAATGACTATTTTCGGTCGAATGTTTGGTTTTCTATTCCAAAATGAATAGCATAATCGAAAAATATAATGAGATAATAAAGAAATTGTTGATAGCATTAGTCACAAGCATAAATACATTTTTTTGAATGATATACAGAAAGCTGAAAGAAAGAAACTGTTTCTGATTAATAGATTAGCTCTCTATTGCATTGTTTTTGTATATCTATTTATGAACAATAAAACCGTTTTTAATAATATTTCTATTGTATGTTGGCGGATCATAAACTTTTTCTTCGTCGATTTCACGTCTTGGTTTCGGGATACGTGAACCTCGTTTCGCTCGATTTTGTGCGATAATATCCATCAAACGTAAAGGTGGTTCAGTAGATTTTGAAACATTCGGTCTACTTAATGAGTCAGGTATGAGTGGCGATCGAGCAGTTTGTTGTTTTCTAGGCGATGATAATGGAGATATTTCATTGTGAGGATTGAATTTAGCAGGAGGTAGTAATGTAGGCGATTTTTGAGTCGCCATTGGACGAGGAGATGATTGATAGGAAGATCGACCAGGTGAATAAGAAACAGGTGAACGAAATGGGGCTATTGCTGATGCTTTTGCAGATGAAAGAGGTATAGAAGGGTCTTGGGTATAGACTATACGTTGAATAGGTTGGGATTCTTCCATATACTGAAATAAAAGACAACAAGAATAATCTTACGAATAAAAATTCTTGAAAACAGTTGAAATCATAAATGATTGAATATAGTCATTTCATCTTACTCCTTCCTTCGGAACACGTTGTCTGACAACGTATTCAACTTCTTCTTGACTTTCTGGTCTATTATCATAATTATCTGAATAATCATTATCAATAATGTATTCAATTTTTTCAGTCGGTTGTTGTGCTTCATAAATTCGATCAACAATGCGTATATTTCTTTGTCGTCTAGGTGAAGCATAAGTACGTCTACGAGGTCTTACAATTACTTGTTCTTCCACATATTCATCATCGTCATCATCATTATCATTATCATCTAAATCACCATATTGGTGATAGATTCGACGGTGAATTAATTTTGGTGCATTAGATTGAAGTTGTTGTGGTCGTTGTTCTTCATCTTCTTCTGCAACAGTTGGCATATCTTCGAGTTGTGATATATCATAATCATCACCATATTCAACTGGAACATGATAAATAACTTTATGATCACCATAATCTTTTTCAACAAGATTATAACTTCCTTTTCTTGTTTTATTTGTAACTACACCATGTCTATTATTTGCAGGTGTGAATTCATCAGATGCATAATAATCCGATGGTATTCTACTTGTTGTCATCACAGTAGGAGATCGAATAGAAATAATAACGGTAAAAAAAAGTAATCAAGCAGTTATAGTATTGAAGAAAAGAAAGCAAAAAAAATAACTAAATCACCAAATCACCAAATCATTGTTGAAGTTCTTTCTTTCTTCAATCGAAGAAAATAAAATAAAATCAAGTAAAAGTGAGTCAAAATTTAAACAGAAAAAAAAGAAAAGATCAAATTACACGGTACGTAGTCAACCAGAGAACTATATACATAAGAAACCTATTGAATCATACTTTCGCAATTATGCAGATATTAATAGAAATCTTTGTTTGTCATAAGAATATTATTGATCATGAAATTATGCTTTAATTAATTGTTAGGCGAGCAGAATGATGTTTTACACAAAAAAATAAAAAAAATACAATAACAACTAAAAAAAAGAAACTTCTTTTTCTTCTGTTCTAAACATTTTCTTCGTTATTATTTTCATCCTCTAATAATTTTTCTCTATTCCATTCGGCCCATTCAATGGATGATAAATCATCTGGTTCTGTTTCAGGATGTTTAACCCAATGCTGTCGTTGAGCGAATTCAAAACAAACAAATAAAGCTGCCATCATAATGTAACCAACAGTAAATCTCCATCCATCATCGTTTTTTTTTGTTAAAACTCCAACACCAGGCGCATTAATTAAACCAAAAAAAGCGAAAACTGCTGCTAATAACGACCATATAGCAGCTCGAATAAATTTTCTATCAATCATATACATGAAAATAGCGGTGATAAATATACATTGAAGAAGACTTCCACCAGAAAAATTCAATAGACCACTATATGAAAATCCAGATATGTGTGCAGTTACATTTCGATTAAATTCAGTTTGATTTATAACAAAACTTGTATAAGCATCTGAAACACCACTTATTATTGTACCCTTAGCCCAATCAGCTACAATTGGCATAAGACCAAGAAGAAATGCTGGATAATGACGTTTAGGTGTTATGGCAAGAGTATCGGCACAAATCACAAGACCAATAAATATCTATATGCAGATTTATTTACTTTCTATAAATAAACAAAACTCGTCGTGATATGTTTTACTTACAATAATTGGATTAACTGAGACGATAGCAATTATTGAAAGCAAAAGAGCATTTATACCAAAAAAACATAAAGGTAAAAATGCAATGCCATTGGCTATTGAATAAGCTTGTTTAGCACCCATTTTTTTAAATGCTGGATGACCAATAAACGCTAAATGGCAACTATATTCATATTCTAATAGTTTTTTTTACGATTTTATACGACTCATTTTCTCAATCGTTTCAAGTAATAGAAATAAATTTGAAAATTTTTAGAATATTCTTAAAGAAACAACATTAATACATGTCTAAATATAGCACACAACAATAAATGTCCTTGTTAATGATATGTTTACGTCATGTTTCATGACGAAAATGATAAAACACTGATAAGACATCTAGGGAAGAACTGTTGGGCCCAAAATTTATTTGATTACAAAAATTTGAGAAAAAAATATTTAATTTTCTTATTGCAAAATATGTCTTACTTGTCATTCCAAGTATCGATCCAAAAAGACTTGCAATCAATGTTCCAATACCGTCAGCAAACATAGCTTCACGTGTCGGATAGAAATCTCCGGCTCTTTTAGCTGATTCAACACATTGTATTGTTCCAATTGCAATTGATATGGCTGTTGGTATTGTTGTCGACAGATATGGAGTTATTTCATTTATATGTGAAAACATTGCTTGAATAGGAAATACTAATGGATACGGTTTAACAATTAATGCTGCATTTCGTACATCTACAGCTTTATTCAATGATGTTGACCATCCAAGAATGGTACCAACGACTAGAGCAACAAATGCAACTGGTACAGGGCCAAATCTTACTACAAATTTCAATAAATCAAATCATATAGAATTTGTTTTTGTTCTTTTTACAAAATTTTCAAAAATGTTTTACCTCCAGAAAAATAACCAAGCATAACAATTGCAAATGGTAAAAAAGATACAATAGGTGCTGCAGCTACTGGCAAATATTCGTTTAATGCTAAATAAGTAAAACCAATGCCTGAAATTGATGAAAGAAGTGCAACACCAGGTGTATTTTTTCTAATAAATTCGCCAACAACACATAAGAGAAGAAGAATAATGCCTGTTGTAAAATTGCTTGCTAATGCCACATACCAAGCTAATTCTTCACATTCTCGTTTATTACGACCACTCTGACCATTAATACATCCAAAATAAGTTGGCAATATTATACTAAAAATAAAAGCAACTAGAAATAAAAATTAAAAAAAATAAATTATTTCTCTTTCAATTGAATATTTATAATTTTACATGCTCCCGGTGTGTTGATACCATATGGCATCGTGCATACATCACCACGATTTTCTTTATAAGCTAGTTTTCTTGCCATATACACATAATATAGATTTCCCCATAACATAGATAATGATACACTAAAAACAAAATAGGAATTCATCTATTTTAGAAAACCAAGATTCATTTTTGCTTTTATTTTACCCAGGAATAATTTTTCCATAAATAATATCATTCTCGAATACAATTCTAAGACCTAATATAACAGCTAATAATGTTGCTAAATTATTCATAAATAGAGCAACAAATCCATCGATGTCACCAAAAACAAATAATGGAAACTTTGGATTGCGTCTAAATGCACTGATCCATTCTGCTGGATGAAATGTGAATAATGCTTTTACTTCTCGTCTTAATGCATTGACATTGGAATAAAATACTTCCTGAGCACTGAAGTTTTTATTTGATTCTGAAAGACGTTTCACAGAAACAGCAGGTCCACTATTAATTCCCGTTAAACTTTCAGCTGGTACAAGAATAATAGGAGGTGATAATGATGATGGGCTTGAAGAAGCCATTTCGATTAAATCCGCTTGATTCACTACAAAAAAAAGACGAAAAAGAGAATAAAATGTCAATGTCTTATCGCTATTTATATTAGTAGATTTCTTTTTGTTTTATTTGCACATTTATTTGCAAACATTATTAGACATGATGAGAAAACTTTTACAAGAAAAAATATCAATCTTAAAAGAAATGTGAAGCCAATAAAATATTATTTTCTATTATGAATAATCGATATTGAGTCAGTTTATTTTAGATAGATAATTTTCTTTTAATCGATAAGAATATTTCTAATTTGCTGCTCTGTGATATATAGCTATATGAAGACCTACTTCTCTGATTTTTAGTTAATACTTGTTTTCAACCACATATATTGTATATCGGTACTAAAGAGAATCAGAGATTATAAATATCAGAGATGATTAAAGTAAATGATTTAATCAATAAGAATTTAATTGTTTTATTTAGCATATGTTAGCATACTTTTCTTAGTTATAAGAATTTATTCTACCGAATATAGTCATTATCACACTTACGAAAGATAAGAGATGAAAATAGGATGAAAACAAAAAACAAAGATTCTTACATTTTCATACGATAATAGTACCTTCGAGATGTTAGACTATCTCGTTTTGATTGAAATCATTTATGAATAAGTCATTTTTAGACATCAAATTTTGACTTAGTTTCTTGAAGTTGCAAACAGAAACATGATTTTCAGTGAGAAGAGAAATTTTTAAACAACATATTTGAAATTTTAATATGTACATTAGGAAACAAGCGTCATCTATTGAGATTTTACTATTATATATTGAATAAATATACATGGTTAATGTTCAAGTTAATAATTATAATCTAAATGATTAAAAATTTTATTATAGTTTTATAAGAGAAAATTTTAGATACAATATTTTATTCTTTTACTATTCGTCTAAAATATCCATCGATCGATAAATAAATCAATCAATTATACTTCTCAAAAAATCTCATGAACAATGAATGTAATTGAAAATCCCTCGCCTGATTTTGAACGTCAATTTGTTCTTGCAATAAATGCTAGACGAAAACTTAAAGGCGTAGGTATATGTGCATTTGTATTCTATTGATTATTAAGCTTTAGAATTTTTTAGAATAAACCAAAATTTGTTATAACTTCAAATCAAGTATTGTCCTCAAATGAAGAGAAAGAAACTAATCAAGTCATTTTAACTATTAAAAGTATTCAAACATTATTACTTAGTTGTACTGATAAATGTCCGCGAGCTTATAGTGCAAGGTTAACTTGTTTTTCAATAAAAATTTATCTCAACATTCTTTATGGTCTTGTTTTTATGTAGTTGGTGTAAAATTCTACGTGTTCAAAAACTTCAACAAATTGTTGTTATTGTTTTGAATGGTGTAACAGATGAAAATTATAATAGACTCAACGACACTGAACTTGTTCAAGAATGGCAACAATTGTTTACTTCGGTAAAAAATGAATCGAAAATGATTTTATCATCTTGTTATACAGCGAACAAGAATATTCAATCTTTCTTAGATATAACTATTTTTGAATACGAATATTATTAAAATCAATTAGAGTTATAACAGACTATTTTCGTAGTTTCTCTATCGAAATTATCATCAGAGACAAGCGACTGGTAAAGATTTCATTTAATAGTGCACAGAAATATAGAATCTTAGTGTAGTGAAATCTATTTTCTCTACTGTAATACTTTAAATGCTTACATTTCAGACAATATAATAGTTATGTTTTAGAAAAAGAGTTTTTTTTAAACTAAAAACAATGTTAACAAAAACAGATTATTTAAAAGAATATCAATTAAAAAATTAAATGAAGGGTTAATATAGGAGCATTATTTCATTGATAAGAAAAAGCATCTCAGTAATGAAACAATGATTATTTGTGAAAATATATTTTACTAATTTCGTAGATACGTGATTAAATAAACATTGAGAAAAACCCTTAATATTGTAGATCAATATATTCAAACCGAGATAATAATATTTGTGTGAAATCAAAATGCACTTATTACATATAGATACACGTGATTTAATCCAAATTTCAGTCTGTTAATTTAATCGAGTATCTAATAGAGAAGCAAGATGTATTAGTTGATAGGATTTCAAAAAAAATCAATCAGCTACTCATCAAGGAAATTATTGAGATTTCATTAGAAATTATGTTTATCAAAATTGTATTAAAATACAGGTATATTTCTGTTAAGGATAATGTTTGTCATACATTCCGCTTTCATACGCAGAAGAATATTCCATTTATCGAACAATTTAGTAAAATAGCAGCAAAAACAAAATCTACAAATCAGTCACAAGGTTTGCTTTTTTTTCGAAAACAACTTTATACTTTTTTGAATTCTAAATAAATCGGTTTTTAGATCGTTCAACATTAAAAAGTAAAGCTGAACAATTAAGTAATAAAAAACGTACATTAGAAGAGACTGATGAAAATTCATCGCAAATATTGAAAAAATCTAACACTGATCAATATTCTCGTGTCAATTTAGTTTTAAATTTAAAACAATTAATAACTGGAAATTATCCATGTCCAATTTATAATCAATTTAAAAATTTTAAACAAATTAAATCTTCGTATAAACCAATAACATCGTCAAGTAGAATATTTGCATTGGATGTTGAAACGGTTTGTTTATTTTTTTTTGTTTTTCGTTGATAGAAATTTTAAAATCAGTCCTCAACGTTTTTTTCTCTTTTAGTTTTCTGATATGATGAACAATCGACAAGTTCCCTATTGGATTTCAATTGTTGATGAAGAATTAAATTGTATTTATCAAACATTAATCAAACCAAATGAAAGTCAATACATGGACACTTATCAACCACGGTTTTCTTACTTTCATTTTATTTTATTCTCAAATAGAATTTATTTTTTCTTTCTCTTTTAGTCGTGAACAAGTGATTGAAACTGTTCCAAATATAAGTGAAAAAAGTTTGGAAGAAGTTCATGAAGATTTTAAAATCTTATTTGATGATGATTTAATACTTGCTGGACATAGTATTGAAAATGATCTTAAATATTTACAAATTTACCATCCATATATTATTGATACTTCAATTATTTTCAATGTTACCGGGACAAGATTAGAAAAGACAAGTTTACAGAAACTATATGCGATTTTTTTTGGGTAAAATATTATTATAATATCAATTGAAACGATGTGCAACTATCTCGTTTTACTATTGTTGTTGTTGTTGTTGTTGTCTAGACGTTTAATACAAAAGACTCGCCTAGAACATGATCCAACAGAAGATGCACGGGCGACAATGGAATTAGTACAATTAAAACTGAGTAAAAGTACGTACCATTTATTGTGTTCAATAGAATTTTAATTAAAAATATTTAAATAAGATATTGAATTTGGTGATTGGTTTCTTGGTGGCGTTGATCAATTGAAAGTTTTAGGAAATTATGATTCATTACAACTGGATGAGAATATTCAAGAATGTCAAACATTTTTAGCACAAACTAAATTTGGTTTACAAGAAGATTTTTTTAAAAGAATTAAACATCAAAATAAAGGTTAGTACAATATTAAGAACGAATAACAAGTTCAATATATCTCACGGACTATTGACAATTTTCTTACAATAGTTAAAGAATTAATTAGGCGAAAAAATATTTTAAAATGAATAATTGATTTTATCATTTATTTCATTGAATAGCTGTAAACTTGGTTGATTTATTTAAAAAAATAGTCACACATGATTTCGTTCATGAAGACATCAAATAGTATCATTGAATATTAATTCTCTAAGCAAAATAAAAATTAATCCGTATTGAAAAATTATTATGAAATATAGTTAATATGGTTCTTTTTCTTGACAAATCTTCCTTATTTTTTATTTTATTTCTATTTGACTCTCAATGATAGATTTATTTTGCCAGTCAAATAGTTGCAAGAAGTAAATAAGCTATTGTTGTATTTACAGAATTATTCTATTCAACATGAAAACACTTTTCAACATATAGAAAACGAATTTTCTGAGTCATCCTCAATGATATTGATAAAGTATTCTAGTTATGTACCATCAAAATGTTCCTTAAAATTAAGAATTCCTTTTTTATCATTATGCAAATAGCGAATAGATAATTTTCGTCGAAGTTTAAAAACGAAGGATCACTCAAAGTTGTTTCTTCTAAAATTTTTATAGGAATCCAAACCATATGTTAAGGTTTAACGAAAACATTGTATATTGTTTATTATGTTTAATTTTCTAATTCAAACATGGATATTGATGATATTAATTATCGGAAAGAAATTCGAAATCAAGTAAAATATCATGTTTGTTTAAGCTGATTCTTTGAGAATTTGATCAAATCGATTTTACTAATAAACAGAGCTGGGCAAGTCAAGTCAAGTCAAGTCTGACTTGACTTGACTTGACTTGAGAGAATTTTTAATACAGTTGACTTGACTTGAAAATTATTTTTGTGGCTTGACTTGTGACTTGGAAAATCTCTGACTTGCCCAGCTCTGCTAATAAAGTGTGCATTTTGGGTTAGTTTCTCTAAGAGAAGAACATTTGATCTTAAACGATTACGGATAGTCTCGAATGTTCTAAGTCACCATGTTATACAACCCTTTTCATTTACACCCACACTATACTATTTAATTAGCATTACTATTAAAGAACATGTTGTTACTTGTCTAAAACAAACGTATATAATGGTTCATAAAATTTTGATGTAAATGATATATACTTAAAATACCACTGAAGATTCCTACTGCGTATTAATTTTGATATTGTAATTTAATGAAAATTTATTTTAGCTTTGGTTATTGAACAAGCATTAAATAACACAAAAACTTCTTTACCAACAATAGAAGTTAATTCAAATCGTCAAGTTTTTAAAACGTCTATTGAAAAATTATCTACACATGAATTCCTTTGGCTTCAATTCTATGTTTCATTAAATGATGATCAATCGTTTGCTAAAATAACAAAATATATCAAAAAGATTTATAAATCTTTACGAGAAGACTCAATACTAATTGGAATTTTCTCTGATCAAGATGATTTTGGTCGATGTTTTGTTAGAATTAAAGATGATGAAAAATTGTCTCCATTAATTATTGATGGAAAAGAATATCCGTATGATTTAAAACTAGTCAAAACTACATAAAATAAAAATTGTTTTTTGTTTTTTGTTTCTATATCGTGTTTAAGATAATAATGAACAAAGAACTAAGATTATTATCGTTTGCTAACGATGAAAGATTCAATTGAACAATTCATTTTTTTTGAATAGTTAAATATTAGAGCAAACGATTTTTTTTGTATCAGCGTTGTTTTCTTTGCATATCAGTTAAAAAGGTTTGCAAAAATTCAATCATTTGTCTTTTGAAAGATAGCTAACGAAACTGTCTCAAAATTTCATTTACAAAATATTTCAAAGGCACATAGAGATGCATTTTTTTATGCGTAAAAAAACTTCAATTAACAGACAAATGCCTCTATTTAAAAAAGATCTATAGATTTTTGTATTTGAACAATGTCTATTTGAATATGTATCAATATTTATTGAATATTTTGTTTGATAGAGCTTTCTAGATAACATTCGTTGATAGAATCAGATTTCCATAACAGCAATAACAAATTCATATACTTTTTTTTGTATTGCGAACATGTGTTTTTAGAGGAACTAAGAAATAAATACGTAAACTAGTGTTAATGACTATAACAAAATTTGCTGAAGAAAATAATCAGATACTTTTCAAACATTTTATTTGGTCTCTTCAATATGACTTCATATAAGATATAGATAAACGAAATTTATAAAAAAAAAAAAGTTGAGTAACTGTTGAGCTTTTGATAACATTACATGAGAAAATCAACTAATATGAAACAATTCAAAATGATTGTTTGCTCGAATATAATTTGTTTCGCATAATGAATATTTTACTAGCTGTCTCAAAATGTCTATATAGAAATGTTAAATAAACTAAACATGTACAGCTTATTCTTTCTCTTATCTATATAAAAATTTGAATAATTCAATAGAATTATTCTAAAATGAAATCTTCAAAAACGATTGTAATCAGTGCATTTTTATTTAGTTACAGGCATAAAATCGAATTGTGTTAAATATATATCTTTGTAAACTCTGTATGATGTATGACTCATAATTTTACTCTTATCTCGTCGGACAGCACGTGAGTATCATCACGCTATTAGTTTCTGAAAATCTATTCGCTACGTGTAACTTTATCTTAATAGCAAGATAGAACAAATAAAAGAATTTCTCTGTGATGTTACGACAAAGATAAAATATAAAACATAATGTGTTTATTTTATTTATTTGATAAGGTAATAGAATGTTGTGCGAAATAAGTTCGTGGTCCGGTAATAATTTCTTTCTCACATGGATGATACTTAGTTTGATTGCACTCGTTGTGCTTATTGTATTTTCAACAGTAATTTTCTATCACTATTATGTAAAAATAACATTCGAAAAATGGCTGCAAAAGTCAAATCCGAAATATCCACCAGCCGTTGGTGTTCGTACTGAAATTATACTGATGTTAAAAGGTCTTCTGTCTGCAACGTTTTGTCCAGCATTGACATTATACTTGATGGGTAGACAAAAATTGCATGGTTACTGTGGCGTAGGAGAATATGGTTGGGGATATTTAGTCATCAGTTTCTTTATTATCTGGTTATCAACAGATTTTTTTGAATTTTTTTATCATCGAATGGGACACACCATTGATACATGCTGGAATATACATAAGTCTCATCACCAATTTTTTAATCCAACGCCATTTGCTGTCATCGCCGATGAATACTTAGATCAATTTGTACGTGCATTACCATTATTAATTTTACCTGCTCTAATACCAGTTAATATGGATTTATTATTTTTTCAAGTAAGATAATTTTCACAACGTACTAAAAATAATAATAAACGACATATTTATTTTAGTTTGCTACTTTTTTCTATGGCTATGGTATTTATCTTCACTGGGGCCATGAATTTTCTTATCCAGATGCTCATCATCCTATAATAAATACATCGTTTCAACATTATTTACATCACGCTATTTCTATTAAAAATCAGCCTTATCATACGGGATTTTATTTTAAAATATGGGATCAATTATTTGGTAGTGTTTATCCAAGAGAAAAATGTTTTTGCATTAAATGCCAAAAAGAAAAAGGACAACGTACACACGACGAGTTTGAAAAACTAGAAAAGCCAGACTACAGTATCTTATTAAATTGGAATTTTTGGTTCAATCATACGCTTACCTGAAATGTCTGTGATTTGTATTTATTTTTTAATAAAAAATCTTAGCAGAAGATATAATTGAATCGTCAACTTTGAATAATCAATGATCTTGATATCTATCTAAGAGCAAATAATCATAAGTTGAATAATTTACTGTCAATTCGACTTAGCTAAAGATGAATTTTTTTTCTAACAGTATTGAATAAAGGAATAAATTTTGTCGATTAAAAAGTATTAATTAATTAATAGTTTGAAACATCAAACTGATTCGTTAGTACCTGAGTAACGCATTGTTGTTTTCAAGCGTTTTGGGGATACAGCTTGATTGCGGACTTTTTATTCCTCCAATTAAGAGAAAACGTCCGCAAAGTAGAAAAAGGGGGAGAGACAAAATAGTCGCAGATTGGAAAATGTTCGCAAAGCAGAATCGGGGGGAGTGGAGAGAAAAAAATGTCAGCATTATGGAATCAAGACAAGATTTATTAGGTGAGAAAAAATACAGAAAAATCATTTATGAAGAATAGTTGAGCATCTAACTGTATTAGGTTGATAATCAAGATTCATTCCGAAATGATAATTTTTAAAAGCTATACGATCTTTATTAGATTGTGTGAAAATTTGAGAAAAGCTATCATTTTTCACGATGGACATTTTTATGTGATTCGTTTAGGTTTAACTTCGTCACTTTACATGTTTTTCTTTCACAATACATGCTTATAAAATGGCCTGGATGACATGTGATGAACAACACTAGACTAGCTCGAAACAGTTGATATTATTCAGTGCACCTATTTGCATGAATCATCTTAAAATATCAATTTTCGTTTGATTCCACAATGCGGACATTTTTTGCTCTCTTCCCCCCGATTCTGCTTTGCTGACGTTTTCCACTCTGCGACTATTTTTGTCTCTCTCCCCCTGTTTCTACTTTTCGGACGTTTTTTCCCAACAATTAAGAAAAAACGTCCGCAATCAAGAAGACGCGCGTTTTGGAAACGAAAAAATTTTTTTTTTCATTGTTCTATTTCTATATCATAATTATATCGATGATATAAGATCATTTGGCAACACTTAAAATTAGATAAGCTAATATAAATTTTAAAAAAAAACCCAACCAATCTCCGAAAGTAGCTGTTGTAGTGAAAAGAGTTAATTTTATTTTTCTTCTACTTTTCATTCTTTTTTCCGTTCTGTTACTTTCTACTAGAAAATCATGATGAAATAAAATATAGTTAGATACATAGTTTAATCGTGGAGGCATTTATTCGATATGCTATAATAAACAAGTAAAGAAATCAAATCTTTTTCTTTATCTCTTGCCAAAATATGGAAAATAAATTGGTAATTGTGTATATTTTTTGTTTGAATCGAATAAAAATAAACACATTTTTCTTAAAAACACCTAGACCAAAATTCGTCGAACATTTGCTGCTCAATTAACAGGAAAACATAAACTTAAATTAATAATACCACACAATGATTCATCGGATTCGATATTTGAAGTATTCATTAATGAAATGTTTAATCAATTACATAGGAAAAGAACTAAACAAGATGAAGAATTATTAAGAGAATCAAATAGAAATTCTCCATTGTTTATACAAAGAAAGCAACTTCAAAAAGATATTGAAGATTTTCTAATATTAAATAAACGTCAAGATGCACGTGCAGTGCAAGAAATCATCGAGCGTGTTGAACGTATGACGATGTTGAATAGAAAATATGATATTAGAGAAGTTAAATCTATTTCTCAATTGAATACGCAATATCAATCTACAATAATACCAACTGTAAAAATGTTTACAGTATCATGTTCTTATCGGGTTCGTTAAATATTTCAAATTAAATTAAATATTGAACCTTTTTTGATTTATTTTTTATTAGGCTTTATGTAGTGAATTACTTGAGCGCTTCGACTGGCCATCAGAATTATTCGCATCTGAATATGATCGATGTTTTTGTAAAACGTGTTATCCTTTAACAATGCCTAATGTTTATCAAAGTAATATTGAAAATAAATATCCAATAATTATACCAAGAAATTGGATGAAATTTGGACTAAAAATTGATGAAGTTCAAGCTAAAATTCATCAAATTTGGGTAAAACTAGTCTTGAAAAAATAAAAATAAAATGATAGAGATAATCTCGTCGAAAACTTTTATTCTAGGATAAATGGGCTATGTCTTATCATGGTACATTACCTAATGCTGCATTATCAATGATTAAACATAGACAAATTTGTTTACCTGGCGATAAACTCCTAGATGGAACTCACTTAACTATTCGACCTGGACATATTCCAGAGTATTGTATTGAAAATAAATGAAAGATTTAATTTGTTTTACTTCTATATTTAGCCAAAAAGCTTTTTTCACTTCACCAACAATTCGATATGCAGCTCAAAATCATTACGCTACTCCACTTGAATTTACATCACAAATAGATAAATGTGTTTATACAGCTAAAATTGTTCTACGTTGTCGTCAAATGCCCGGCTCATTTACAATACAAGGTGAAACATTAAATAACTCTCGAATAAATGGAGCAGATTTTTGTGATATTATACCTGATGAACAAATTGAATGGAAAACAGATAAACGTGGTACAGTTATTTTTGATGGACTATGCGTTCGATTAACGCCAGTCTCCAATCAAACTTTTCATAATACTATTTATCAATCTCATGCTAATCAAACTAACGTTCATAACTAAACGAAAATGAACTACATTTTACGTATCGTTTATTTGTTTTTTAGTTCATTTGTTCGGTCGAAAACATGATTCCGTTTTTTTATTTAATTACTTTTATTATACTTTTGTTCAATAAAAATTTATTGAAGCATAGTAATTGCATATATTTTTCAATATTTTCAAACAAATCCAGCAATGTCCAAGGACTGAGAAATAGGAATTCCTAATGTGCCAAGGAATTGTCAGTGTCGCTGTGATAATTCCTAGAGGAAATGGAAATCACCTGTAGGTTCCCTCACAGTTCCGCCATTCACGAAAGTCGTGATATTGCTGTTTTAAAAATCATTTTTACATGAAATCTTTGATTCTCACAATTTTGCAAGTGAAAATGAGTGTAAGAACAAAAATTATCGTGAATATTCCATATTTTTACCTTTAGTATGCAAAGAACTGTAGGGGGACTGATGAAGAATTCCTAATCCTCAGTCCTTGGACACCCCTCATCGATATGGATAAGAAACTTTAGAAAATTATTTGTATACAAATGTAAATTTTACAAAAGATTTTTTGTTTAAAACAGATCAAATTCGAAATAAAAAAAGAGCATTCATTCCTATGTGTTCTGTACCTAAATTAATTCGAATGTTGATGAAGAAAAATTCTTTTAAGCGGCACTATACAACAGTATTTCTAATAGCAAAGATCCACAATAGTGATAGATTATACATAATTCTTGTGATATCAATGTGATACTCTATTTTACACTCTGTTCATAAAAACAAAGTTTTGAGCGTACACCTGCTAAAGAAAAATCGATATTTTACTTTTTATTCTAACCAAATTTCAAAGTCCACTTCTTTTGTTTGATTAGTATTTTATTATTCTTTTTCTAACTGTTCTATGAAATAGTAGCAAACAGATTTCCTTTTTTTTTCATATAATGTAATCGGATACGATTTTTTTGTACACTTTGTATTTGAACTTCATAATAACAAATACAAATGGAGAAATATCTTTTCTTGAATCTTAATAATATCACCGATATCTTGGAAAATTTATAATACCTTGGTTGAAAAATTAAATGTTATTTGGCACGTTACTTATGAAAATACAATGTAATTTGATACTCCATTGTTTTAGATTTCTTTTACAAACGCTGCTATACAGCAGAAAGACAAGTATCTCTTTAAAATTTACGTTCTGTTCAACTATTTGAACTTTCAAAGACAATTGATTACGGTTAAAATAAACGAAAATAATTACCTATAAAGTATAATGAAGAAAAAAAAAGGTGAATCGTTGTGCATGAAAGCGTATAGTCTCAACATGAGATCATTCGCTACTTGAAGAGTCATAAGACGAGACAAGAGTGAGATCGAATTAACTGTTTCATCCTTTTTTTATAAGACTACGAAAAAAAGAAGAGAAAATCAAGTCAACAAGATGATGACAGTGACACCGCACTCTTTTCTCGATGATCAAACGATCCTCTCACCATGCAAACCAACAGGAGTCATACTAACGAACTCATGCCGATTGATGTTCGACTAAAGAGATTGAGAGAGACTGGATAAAAGATGAAATGATACATCATTTTCAATTAATTCAAACTTTACATATTCCTTTTTTATCTTTCTCTTTATTTGCGATGAGGCGCCATCTATGGATTTTTTCTGTTTTGATTACTCTCGCGGGGCATCTCATCATTTTTACATTGTTAAGTGTGTAAATGTATCAATGATTCACGCATTGCTTTCAATTCACGACTCTTGTCCATGTCGACAAGCATATAGAACACTTGAACATCATCGTCTTACTAAGCGGGATTTCATTATTTATTCCTTTTGTTCACATACTAATTGATGTTTCGTTGAGAAGAGAGAGAGAGAGAGAGAGAGAGAAGGAAAGATCAACAGCAACAACAATAATATTTCCTTTAGAATGTCTGAAAGAAAAAGTCAACTGTTTGCATTTAGCCTTCGGGTACCGCACTCGCACCATATAACATCGTCTCCCTGTTCTTCTTCTTCTTCTTTTAGTGATGAGTAGATCAACACAAGTCGTTTTCTTCTTCTTCTTCTTTTCTTGTCTTGCTACTATCACAATGTGTGTGTGTGTGTGTGAAATAATTTACGGCTCATGCATGCGTACACACACCAGATATTCTGTTTCAAGTAGTAGAACCAACAAAGAAGGAGAAAGAATTCTTTTTTTGTATGCTTGTCGATGAGAAATAATTGGCTTCGTCAAACGAACAACACAAACAGTAACGAGAGAGAGAGAGGAGGAGGGAGAAGCTAGCAGAAGACGATGACTTTCTGAAAATAAGAAAAATTACTCAAATTCGGTGTCTAAATTTGAGAGCAAAAAGCATACCAGATTTGTCACTGATAAGAAAATATCAAGGTCTTTATTATCATGAAACAAACAAAAGTAATTTATTATTATCAATCGAATCTAATTATAATGAAAATTAAATAAGACTAATAATTTGACAAGAGAAGAAAAAACCTTGTTGTTCTTCACAAAACCGTGGTGGCATCAAATATCGGATGAAATTTTTCTGTCTAAATAGATAATATCAATATATTGATAAGAGAAGAAAAATATCAAGATGTTTCTGGAGATTGAAAACAAACCGAAACCAAATGACTCAATAGTTTGTTGATACAAACGTGAACAAATAAAAAGAATTTTAAAAATTTTAAATAAAACATAATACGCTTTATTGTTATATTAATGATAATTAAACAAATCGTTTTTCCGAAGCATTCAAAGAAAAAAGATTATATATTCAATCAAATCATTAATCGAGCATTTTAAAATCTTAGGAAAATCAACTAAATACTTTTTTTAATTGTTTAACTATTGAACATTTGATAGATATGTGATTCACTCAATTCTTTTTTTGACCAGACGCCTTGCGTATACAATGGTCGGTCGATTTGGGCTTATCGTTGGTGAATACACACACACACACACACTCAAGCGCACATAGTAGCCGAGTAAACGTATGCGTGTGTGTGTACACGTTTCAATATTGATGTAATCAAATCTCAGCTTGACCTTATTCAACAAGCGTCACTATACTAAAATCGGCTGGTTTTTTTCTCTTTTTCTCTCTAGCCTCGTTCTTTTCTCCGGTTCGTCAACGAATATTTTCTTTTCTCTAACAACATTCTCTCGTTTCTCGTTGGTCGTCATCGAACTACATACATATTATAACAAACAAGAACAGCGAGCGGCCGTCTCATTTTTGTTCTTTATCATCACTCGCTTTTCTTCCTATTCACACGACTAACCATCATTCATTCGTTATTAAAAAATAAAATAAAAAGTAGTGTCTCTGTCTCTCTCTGTCTCTCTCTCTCTCTTAATGTGCATCTGCTTTAACACGTCGCATTAAACAGAACGCCATGATTGAACGTTTATTAGCACCAACACCTCCAACACAATTAACAGAACATATTACTGAATCTCAAGAGGTATAGAAGATTTTCAAAAATTTTTTAATATATATATATATATATATTATTTTTTAATTTATTTATCAGTTAACTCCAACATCATTAGTTGATTATGACATTGTTGGTAATAATACATTAATACTTGGTGAAAAAGATTGTATATCATGTGGATTGATTATAAAAGATGAGAGTTATTTACGTGTACATAAACATGGAATTTTTCATGAAAATTGCTTAACATGCTACATATGTCATCGATCATTAATAACAATTGGTGGAGGTTATTTTATACGAAATGGATACGATCAACAATCACATTTTATTTGTCGACATGATTATCAAATCGCTAATAACAATAAGTAAGTAGAAAGAAATAACCTTGGTCGTTTAAAATATTCTATACTTATTTTTCTTTTTCAAATAACGAATAAATGTTTCGATGTGAAAAATGCATTCATGCGTAGACAGTTACAATTAATTATGAAGAAAAACGACATATCTATAGCATAGATTGATATGTGAGAGAACGCGATAGTTGTCATTTAATGTCGTGTGTCGTAAATTGGGAAGTGTCGAGTAGTATCATACAAATGACTTATCTATTGCTTGTTATAGATTCTTTTTCTTTCTTTTCTTTTTTCTCATCACACCTGTTTTGTCTTATCATCGATTGATCGGAAAGGCTTCATTTATTCTATTGATCTGTCAGAGCTTCTTTCTTTTGCTCATTCATTTTTCCAGCATCATTATCTGTGAACAGTCGCGTTTTTTTGTCAATCATCCGCGTCTAGTACACTATTGAACACATATCAAATCACTGATATAATCTGCTGCTGTTTCAAATGAATTGAACTTTTTTGTTTTTTTTGTTTTCAAGAAATAACGATAATTCTCGACACAGTTGGTGGTGTTCAAAAGTAAAACTATCGAGCTGCCTGAAGCAGCAAAATAAGTAAATCACTTGTGAATAGAAATAAAAGATTATAATCGAAAAAACCTATACGATGGACAATATTAGTCATGGGGGGTAAACTAACATTGGTTTGCTTGAAGCAAAACACATATCGAAACAGATCAACTGAAAATGATTTTCGTTTTTTTTTGTTTTGCTATCAAAGGTCTTATCGAAGTTCTTCGTGTTCAATGTATCTTCCACAATGTTCAAAATGTCAAACAATCATTTCAGCAAATGAATTAGTTATGCGCACTGATGATAAATATATTTATCATATTGATTGTTTTACCTGTTGTTTATGTAATGTAGTTTTAAAACCAGGAGATGATTATGGTTTGCATGGTTCATTATTATTTTGTCGTTTACATTTGGAACAAACAACAAATACAACATTTTCTTTATGTTCACCGATAAAAGCTCCAACAACAGCAAATATAAATATTAAAAAATCTCGACAAAATGGTACAACAACACAACGTAAACAACGAACTAAATTAAATAATCTTGAAAATAATACAAATAATTTAGAAATAACAGGTAAATATTTTAAAAAATAAAAATTTTCTTTGTAACTACAAAAGAAATTTTTTTTAAAGCTTTTTTACACGGAAACGATCTTTCAAATTCAGACGGAAATTTTTCATCAACAATATTTAATAATTCAACAGTAACCAATCCACAACAACGAACGAAACGTAATCGAACATCATTTAAACATCATCAATTACGTATAATGAAAACTTTTTTCGCTCAAAATCATAATCCTGATTCAAAAGGTCTAAAAATTTTATCACAAAAAACTCAATTAAGTAAACGTGTTCTACAGGTAATTATTTTATCTTGAATATTTTTATTCTTTACATAGTTGAAAATCTTGTTTCTTTCTATGCTTATTTAGGTTTGGTTTCAAAATGCTCGAGCTAAACTACGCCGTGGTCTACTTCAAGAACAAGAAAATAAACAACAAAAAGCATCAACATCAATTGATAATAATAATTCATCTTCGGCAAGTGAATTTTTACAATTGATAAATGATGATGATATAACAAGTGGAACATCGAATGATCGCAGTAGAACCGAAGACGAAGAAATTATTGATGAATTAGATGATTATGACAACAATCAAAATAATGATTCATCGACAACTATCAACACACATGAATTTAATCATCTGATGCCGCCTTATTCTATGTACCCACTTTTGTGATATTTTTTTTTCTTTTTTCTTTATTATTAAACTTCAGCAATCCAACAGAGTTCAATCGATCAAATCTCTCTCTCTCTCTCTTTCTTGCGCCTTTTCTTTTTATTGTTTTTCCATATGTGTGATGCTTGTTGTTAGTATCCAAACGATTCAAATTTATGGATGTGTAGATGTCTGTGTGAGTGACACAATGTGCGATGATGTGTACAAGATAAGCGTTAAATCAATAGAGCAAGAGAGATTCAAACACGCATACTTATCGTTTACTAAAGTATGAAAAAGAGGAGATCGAACTTCCTTTGTTATATATCAATAGAGAATGGGCCAATTAATGGGAGGGTCATTGTTATCGACGGATGTATGTTTCGAGATTTATTCAAAAGAAATTATTCTAGGGCGGATTTATGTTTTTCGCGTGTATTGAATCAAATTTTTTCAATATAATAAAAAAATGCAAACCATTTTTTGACGATATTTCATGTTCATTCATCTTAATATAATCTTCCTGTCGACTTATCTTCTCTACTTGGCATTGCATGCTAGTTTCATACCGTCTCCTGCTGTGCTATACGATCATGCTCACTGTCAACGGCACTACTGCTGCTGTTGTTTTCTTTTCCTAGACTATTGTATACGTAGAAAGTGGAGAGTAACCCTATTAGATTAAAGGCACGTGTGCATATTCGTTTTTTTTTTTGTCTCTTTTCTTAATTGAACTAATTGTAGGAAGAAGTGAACACGCAAACGAGTCAGGTATGAAAAAAGAACAACTCAACAAAAAAAATGGAATTTTCTTAGTTACTGTCAATAGGTGGAGAATTGAGAACTATTCAAATCGAAAAACACCATTGGGTATTCTTTGATGATGAGTCAATTGATTCTTCGTTTTTTGCTCGCTCTCTCAAGAGAGAGAATGTATTAGGTGCTATACCATCACCTTGATCATACTCTTCGTTCAAGGTGTCAATGTCGGAACTTTGTGTGTGTGTGTGTGTGCGCATAGGTGATCATCACAATAGTAATTAGTAATACAAGAAGAGTCGATCTTTCTATCCGTTGTCCGTTTTTTTTTGTCCTGGAACGTGAACAATAATTGAATCTGATCTAAATGGAGTAGCTGAGGAGGAATATGTATTGACTAGCATTGAAGTGATAAACGAGTCTAGTCTAATATATTGTTAAAGACTATGACGCCATGAATAAACATTGACATTGGAATAAATATGTGAAAAAAAAACGAGAGAAGAAACCTTTTCTGTTATTCTTGATCTTGCTGGGCGGATAACACAGAGATTGACATTCCACCTGCACTAAACTAAAGGTCAATACTTGGATAGTAAAGAAAATATATGCTGCTAATTTGCCAAGAATAATAATATGAACTACTGCACAACTGTTGATTGTCTATAGACAAAAAAACCTACATTCTTTTTTTCATCGATGAGAAAAAAAACATTCGTAACATTTCTTTTTCTTTGTTTTTTTAAGCTCAAATAGACGCAAATATACGTTGCACATTAATGACTTGAAGAAAAACTTCTTTTTTTTAACGGAGTTTTCTTTTTGTTTGATTTCTATACAACATACAAACTAAACATTGATATGAAAGAAAAAAAAACAAACGAACAAAAAGCAATACTACTACAAGGAACCATATGTTTCCGATTCGCTGAAATTCACCGATGATGTTTTTGAATGGATCGATTCAGTTGGTGAAGATAAATTTGATGAATTTGTTGTGTCTTCTCTTGTTGGATGTACATCAATCATATTTGGCATTGTTAAAGATGGTTGATTTACTTGAGATTGCTGTTGTTGTTGCTGCTGCTGTTGTTGCTGTTGTTGTGCTATTGATGAATGCTGAGATGTTGACGATAACGTGTCACTTCGAGATACACTTCGCCGATATTTAGCACGTGCATTTTGAAACCATACTTGTAAAACGCGTTTTGGTAAATTTGTTTTTTCAGCAAGATTTTTCAAATCTTTTGCATCTTAAATTAAAAATTTAATTTAATATTAAAAAAAAGAAAACGAATCAAGTAAAAAGAAATTCCAACCTGGATTATGATTTAAGTTAAAATATGATCTCATACAACGTAACTGATGATGTTTAAAACTTGTTCTTACACGTTTTTGTCGTGTATGATGATGATGATGATGATGAGATCCACTTGATAAATTATTATTATTTGTTTGATGAGAATGTATATTATTATTGTTGCTATTATTTGAACCATTTCCATCCATATCAACGATATCAACATAGTATGAAGAATCCAATGACGGTGTAAACAATGCTCCTTCATTTCCAACTAGAAAATTTTTGAAAGTGGTCATTCACTCAACAAATTCTATTCTATATTGCTCATGAGTTTTCAAGTATCACACCCGTATATAATCGATTGAACAGCAGTCTATAATCCTCATTTAAGCTCTTGAAGAGATATTCTCACTTCGATGAATATGTCTGTCAATCATTTAGGAAAGAAAAGAAAAACAGTTTGATCGAAAAAACACATACCCATATTAGATGAAGATGGTGAAAGAGTTAGAAAATGATCTGATGATGACATCATTTCATGATGTTGATTTTGTTGGCGTTCTTTACGTTTTCTTGTACGTTTTGTTATATTAACTGTTGTTCCTGTTGGTGTACTTGTATTTGTTGGCGGTGTTGATGGTATAAGTGTTGGGATTGGAGATGTATAGTATCCCGAATCATCAAGAAAACCGGTTGGAACAGAAATTGTAGAATTTTCAATACCAATATCGAGCACACGTCCTGGCAATTGTGACTCATATGATTGTTGTTGTTCAAAATAATGATGACGACAAAATATCATATCGTCTTTTAAACCAAATTCATCGCCTGAGAAATAAAAACCGAATGACTTCGTTATTCCTTTTTTGTTCAATTTTTAATACAAAAAAACAATTCTTTACCTGGATGAAGAAGAATATTACAAGTAACGCATGTAAAACAATCCAAATGAAAAATGAATTGTTTAGCACGTAGAATAACTTCATCTTGTCGAATAATTGTATGACATCGTGTACAAACACGAGAACAATATCTTCTAAAAAAATATTTTTAGAACAAGAAAAAAATATGTATAAAATTAAATTTTCTTTTTAAAATAACATACTTAATATAATCATCTTTACAAAAAATTTGTCCATATCTTGCGAAACATGTTCGTTCTTGTTCGAGTGACATACCGCAATCAAAACATTTTAAACAAGATAAATGCCAACTACGATCAACGGCCATTAAATAATAACGATCATCGATCAATGTACGACATCCATAACATACTGTCAACATATTATCTAATGTTGGCATTACTTTCTAGAACATAACAAGACTATTGTTAATTTCACTGCAAAATGAGGATGCCTAGCTCTTTTTTCTTTCTTTTTTTTTTTTTTGTTATCTTTTCAGACGGATGTAATATGAGAGATGCATTCTTCTACTTGTATGAGCAATTAGTTGAGAATAAAGAAATTGTAGGAGGGGAACAAGACAAACTTTCTTTTGGCTCATATAGATCTATAAACGGATGTATGAGATCAATTTTAAAAAAAAAAAAAAAAAAAAAATAGAAGAGTAAGATGGAGATGGATATCCGGAAAATTTTTTTATCTCAAATTCTTATACGTACTCTTCATAAGATGAGAGAAAATATTTCTTTTTATCAATAAATTTGATCGTTTAAGTCACACGAATGTCTTGTCAAATGTCAAATAAGAAAAAGAAAATTGATAATGATCGTATGGCACCGGTTTCTATTTGAAGTCAATTGAACTTCTGTCAAATATTGAATTTTCTTCTATGTTAAACATTAAACATACAATCATTAAGGAGGGGGGGGGGCAAGAAAGAAGTAAATAAGCGAAACTTTGTTTTCTTTTTTTAGGAAAAAACGAAATCAGTAGGAATATTCGCTTATCTAAACAAACAGCNTTAGGGAGGGGGGGGGGCAAGAAAGAAGTAAATAAGCGAAACTTTGTTTTCTTTTTTTAGGAAAAAACGAAATCAGTAGGAATATTCGCTTATCTAAACAAACAGCATGCTCGTGTGACCTAACATCAAATAAACAGCATCAGTTCGAAGTCATGGATCATATTTTGATTCGTTCTCGTCACCACCCTGTGAGGTCTTCGACATAAGTTTATATATGTCAAAAAGATTGATTTTCGTATTTTTCTTCATATTTCCTATTTTACCTTTTTCTTATATACGATGTCAATCGATAATTTGATGATGATTAGGATCAATGAGTTTGGTCTACGCTGCCGACGACGAGTCAAGTATAGACATACATCTGGTTATGCTTGTTCACACTCAACAAGACCAATAACATACATAACGGAGAGAAGAAAAAAATAGCAATAAAGAAATTTTTGCATTAGCGTTTTTTTTATTAACCAATCAAAAAAACTCTCTCTCTGCTTTTTCTCTCTATATACGAGAAAAAAGAAAAAGAAAAAGAAAAAGAAGAACAGTTGTGTTGCTTGCTCACACACCTGTTATAACATGTCATTCTCTTCACCACTAGCAAAGTTCACATAGCATACCAATTGTAGTATAAAATGTTTTGACAGATACGGTAGTGATGTGGTATATGGATATTGATATGTGATGGTGATCAATTGTCTTTTTCTTTTCTCTACTCTATGTAGAAATATGTGCGAACGAAAAAATAATGACGGAGCGAGAAGTCGTTCATATAAATATAAATCAATACATATATATATATATATATATATATATATATTGATTTATGAGAAATGAAGCAATGTTGCTATTGATCATATAACAATATAGATAAATAGAAAGCGAATTAGGTCATGCAGATATTAACATTCTCTTGTACAATTAATACTATGATATAGAAAGTAGAAACTAAAAAAAAATTCAGGTGTGTCTATGTTTATTTTGTTTGGTGTTTATAAAAAGTTCTATTCTTTCAATTTATTGTATTTTTTTGTATTGATCATATACATCGAAGTATTAATCAAATTAGACTGAGCTGTTATTATCATTTGAATAGTCTCTTTGTAGTTGACTTTTATTTTGTAGATGGCGCTTTTCAAAGTTCCAATAAGTCTTGTAATGCTTATATTAGATCTGACAGATTTATGATTAAACACAAACCATCAATAAAAAAAACCAAGTTTCATACTCGTGATTTACGCCATGCAAATAGCTTCTCGAAGAAAGATTCGATAAATTCTGTTCAAAATTATTATTCTGAGTTTCTATTAACAAGTAGAAGTTTTCACTTGAATCACTTTAAAATTAATCTTCTCATTTTTCCAAGCCGAATGAGAAAGTTACATAACAATACTGCATATCCAGAAGAAAAAAACTTACGAATAAAAGATGATATTAATATTCTATTTAATATACTTTTCTACATTAGTTAATTCAATTGATCATATTAATAATTGTTTTTTCACCATGAATTTTTTCTAATGTTAACAATAGACAAAAATTCTTTCAAGATATAATATAATCTTCATTGGGAGATGAATATTAAAATAAATTAAATAGAAATAGATGTGAATAAAATAAAATGCTAACAAAGATTTGACGACAAGATATATGTTTCGAATCTTCTCTGTTCAAACATATTCAAAAAAAAAAACAAGCAAATAGAAATGCATAAATGATAGTCGGCAAATCTGTACTACGTCAACCACTCAATTTTTACACATAATCTAATACTGTTTTCAACCAAGTGAGTTATCCTTTTATTTCCTAAAGATGAAGGTTAGATATAAGTTTTTATCAATGAAGGAACATTCCATTTATGATCAGGAAACCAACAAAATTTTCTAAAGTATGCAATCAAACTACACACAAACGCTTGTTGTTTATAGCTAAAGTTCAATGTAACAAGACATTCTTTTAACGATTTATTTAACAATCTAGCTGATATATAATACGTATAGACATTTGCATTAGTGTATTTTCGATGTGTTTCAGCAGAAAAAGATAAGTAACATGATGATGGAATGTAGCAAGTGATCGAATTTTTAGTATAAAATCATCATAACACAGCAATTTTCGGGTGGTAGATAAATCTTCATCATAATTAATTAGTGATATAGTGAAGTAAAGAGTCCTGGTATCACGATCATAAATGAAATATTCCTTTGTGAATAAAAACTTCTATTTATCTTTTATCCTCAGAAACAAATCAGCTAAATTTGGCTGAAGACAGATGGAAATATTCAAAATTTTCTCGTTTTGATATGGAAAAAGCTTTTTGTTAAATTGAAATTAGATAAACTTAGCAATAATTATGTTTTTCATATTCGTTTTTATTAAAGCTACTCATGATATCTCTAGAGCAATAATGAGAAAAAGAATTTGTTTGAGTGTAAATAAATCCTTATCAGGCTAAACTATCGCAAAATAAAACCTGTTTTCATACAGTTGAATCATTTGCATTGATAGTTACCATGAAATATCTTGTTGTCAAATCGAAGATATCGATATTATTGAGACCTAAAACTTACACGAGATGAAATATTCAATATTTAAATCAAAGATCTAAATCTATTTTCAATAACAATTTTGTGATTTTATTTTTGCGCATGATTAAATTATGAAACACAATCAGATATTGTCATGTAACATAAGTAACGATTCGTTGTATATTCCATGATAGAATCAAGTACTGAACCTTAGTTAATTGAAATAAATTGATCTTATATTATAACGATTGAATAATATCTATTGGCATTTTTACATATTAGAGCGAGAGTCACTGGAAAGAAAAGAAAGTTTTTATATTTACAAATTTCTATTTCTTACAATATAATCTGGCACTGCTAACTTTTCAGTTTTTAATAATAACATAAACGAACATAAAATATATCAATAGAATGATTTTCGTGGAAAAGTAAAGTAAGCATAGGATTCTATTCCGAAGGAAGTCTTACGTTAGCCGGTAAGCCAGTGCAAAAAATATTTTTCAACTAATAGTAATCGCAAATATTATTTATATTTTGATTCTTTTTGTTATCAATTAGCCATGATGTTCACTATTCAAAGTATATAATTTTGGATGGACAATCCGTAAATTTTTGATTGCTAATAAAATTTGATAATACTTATTCTTTATTCAATATTATATATATGCAAACAAAACTATGTTAAACGTAAAATACGCCATTGTCTTCGAAAAACGTATAGGGATTTCTTCAAATAGATTAAAGTTCATCTCATGAAAATGTAAGCAGTAGTTAAGTCATGTGAAGAATAAATAATAATGAACACTTAACTATTGGGAAGCAGAACAATGAACATGGAAATTGAAGCATATGTACTTGAGCACAGAAAAGGATGATTAAGAGATAATTTCAGTAATAAAAAATAAAGAATGCGGAAAATGAATGTTAATAAGAAGTCTACTAAAGATTCCATTCATGTACAGATCATTGTTAATGTGTACATGAGTGTGTAGGGGCGGATTTTAATTTTATATTCATCTCTATCCACATCTATACTCACCTACATCGATACTTTTCATTTTGTGTGTGTGTGTGTGTGCTGATGATTTTCGTGCTCAACGCTCCCACATATTCCCTTTTTATATTTCTATTTGACTGAGAGCTGATCGAAAATCTTGCTCAAAGAAAAAGATCAAGCAATTTTGAAATATATATATATATATATGTGTATATCAACTTATATTTACTTCGGAACAAATTTAAAGAAAGTTTACATTTTCATGGTCTATTTCTATTAAGTATTCTTTATCAACCGGAAATGAACAACTAGATATTTTCCTGCTATTTATTCGTTCAACCGATTCTCTTTGTTTTTCTACTAGAGACTATGATGGAAACAAGGAAAATAGCACAGGTATTTATCGAAAACTGTTAGTTATTTCAATATGATGATAGCAATAGCAGAACGAATATTGATACAATATCAGTTTAATATCGTTCTCAATGTAAAGAAAGAAAAAAGTTGATTAATTCAGCAAATCCTTACTAATATATTCCTATATAAATCTATTTTACATTTATAAAGCTACCAATAGATTGTTCTTAGAGCTAGATTTTAAGTTATGTCATATTGTCATATTCCAATTTTTCTTGAGATCGACATAATCATTTTAATTCTGAGATAAAATAGTTTAATTTGAGTAATTTAGATAAACTATTTAAATGAATTATGGAAATAAATTAGCCTATGGGAGCTAAATGCTTTCGAAAATTCTCTCGTTTGCAATGAAGATAAAACTATTTGATCTCTATTAAAAGTCAACAATAAGGAATAAACTTGAAAAATTGTTCAAATAAAAATTTTCGGAATTAATACGAAAATAAGTTGATGTTAACGAATGCTGACGAAAAATTGAAAAACTTTTTCGAACGATCATAGTCTATTTATTGCTTGTTTTGTTTTTGTTCGGTATGTACTAAACTTAATTGATGTGTTTATCGAATACTTTCATAGGTTACGAATTGTCTTTATAGTTAAATTTGAACCTTGTGAGCTTTTTCGTTTACTTTTTTTTTCTAAATAATCATAGAATGACAACCATAATCTATTGACTGTTTACCTAGTATTTAAACCTACAAAAAGAAAACAGCCATGAGTTTCTTTTTTTAAGATTCTAATAGAATTTTGCTAATGACCAGTTAAGAAAATTTTTTTTATCATGTGAGAAGAAAGTTATAGACAAACAGAATTTGTTACCAGCACTCAAATATATAGTATTGATATTCTGAAATAAAATTCGCTTTTATTTATAACAATTATCTATTGATGAATGATGAGCACGAACAACTAACCACTCATCGTCAAGCGCAGCAAGGATAAGTATCATAATTATGAACATAATTGAAGTTCAACGCAAGAAAGTTAAGCATCGATAACTTAACCATGCACATTGAAATAAATAACTGGAATGACAATATGAATAAAATAAACTAGAATAGAAGTATCGCAATACTTAAGTCATTCGATATTTGATTTAATTTTTATTAGTTAGGATTGAATATCATTGGATCAGCAGTGTTCAAGAACGGAGAAATAGGAATTCCTAATCTGTCGAGGAATTGCCAGTGCCGCTGTGATAATTTCTAGAGGAAATGGAAATCACCTGTAGGTTCCCTCACAGTTCCGCCATTCACGAAAGTCGTGATATTGCTGTTTTAAAAATCATTTTTACATGAAATCATTGATTCTCACAATTTTGCAAGTGAAAATGAGTGTAAGAACAAAAATTATCGTGAATATTCCATATTTTTATCTTTAGTATTTAATGAACTGTAGGGGAACTGAGGAAGCATTCCTAGTTCTCAGTCCTTGGACACTCCTCCATCATTTTTATTCGGGTAAAAAAAATTCACTCGTAAAAAAAATTCGTTATGATAAATGTAGGAGTGATTTCATTAATGGGTTTACGTAATTAACATCAACTTTACTCTTTATATATTGATGAAAGTCTCGTGTCAATCTTTGGATTTTGATTAATAATTCAATAATACGCATGAGTTTGGTTACGGCAGTATCAAATGATGTTCGTTCGATTAAGTAACGGAAAAGTAAATTCGTATATTTGGTATGAGCATGGAATACACGTTGACCATCATTCAACGAAGATTCTTGATCATCAATAGCCGATAAACCTTTTAAAAATATCATGTTAAGCATTAATAATTGAGCAATTACTGGATCATTATCAACTAAACTAACAATTGTATGAAGAATAGATGTAAACAAACGATTAAATTCATAACCATAACAAAGAATGTATAGACTCTTGCAATGATGAGCAAATGCTTCCTCAGCTGGTGAAACTGAACTATTTATATTATCATCATAAATGACTTCACGTGTTGTATCAAATGTTAATGCATGACGTATAGCAAAAAGTAAAATTAAATTATATTTAACCAATAGTAAACGGTCACTTTCGTCAAGTTCTTCGAATTCTGGAATTTGTCTTATAAAATTAATTAATTTAACAGCAGCAAAATTTTGTATATCCAATGTATTCATATATGCGGACATTTTATCAGGTGCTAATTCAAGTGAAATAACAGATGAAGCCGATGGACTTGATTGTAACGAAGATAGATAAGCATGTTGAATATAATGTAAACAAGACCAATCAGCTTCGGTAAGATAACATGATGAAGATGATGAGAAATCAATTGCCTAGAGAGGAAAAGCAAGTGTCTTTGACAATGTTATAAACAACTTTTCTCTTACTGGGTCACACTTATTATATGTACTAGGAGATTTTTCAGGCTTCGTATCTTGTATATTATTAGCATCGCTACTAGTTAGCATTGAACGAATACGACGATTTTCTGTCAGACATTGCTGTTTTGACCGTTTCTGTTCTGGCGTTAATATAAAGTCTTTACGCATACCTAAATATTTTAAAATGTCTATATTTAATAAAAAAAAACAGCATAATTAACTTTGTTTTCTTTACTAAATAATTTTTTTCATGGAAAGATGAAACAGAGTTAATTTTGATATGAATATATTCATATCTATCAAATAGAAAATCTGTTTACCTGATTCAAAACATTTAAGTAAACGACAGCGTTGACATTTTTGCTTAGCGTCATATCGAATAATGCACCGAATTCCATTTAAAATATTGTTTGGATTAAAACATTTAGTTTTTTCCTACGATTATTTCGATAATCTCAAAAAATAAAATAAAATAAAAATATATTTACTATTTCATGAAATGCATTACGACGAAAAAATGCTAAACAAAAAAGTGAAATAGCTAAAACTATTCTAGAAAATGAAATAAAAACTAACCTTTACAAGATTCACATGAAATTTGATCGAAATTATAACCGAAAGCATGGCCTTGACAAATGGCACAGGTCAAATCGGCTTTACGTTTTTTGACAGTTCCGTTTTGTGAAGAATCATTCAGTTTTGTATTTCCCTACATCAAGCCATGAAAACCAAAGCGTCAGTTTTTATTTTATTAGTAAAAATTATACCGATGACGCTAGAGATCGTTTATTGCTTTTGTTTTGAGTTGAATATGTATCAGTCATATTTTTATTATTTAAATTAACAACAATCGTTTCAACAGTTGTCGAATTCAAACATGAAAGAAAATTGTCATTATTAGCGTCATCATCAACTGAAGTGATAATCAAAATTTTTTTATTTGCACTTTGTTTACCTCTTTGCTCTCTGTTGTTATACATAGTTCGAAGATTATCGATATTCGCCATTTTTTTCGATGAACAAGCATATGCCGAAAGCTGACTAATACGTCTATATATAATAAATATTTTTCGATGAGCAGGTAAAAAGTAAATACTTTGTAATGATAACGAAGGAAACCTTTCATCCGTAAATATCATTCTTTTTCTTTCTCTGTCATATCCATATATCAACATGGTTCGACGACAATATCAGTAGACGCAGTTGCAAATTCAATACCGTATATAGAAAAGGAACGAAAGAAAAAAACATAGTGCGAGACATACACGACATATTCAAGTAGCAGGCGTGATTATTTCAAATGATACGTAGTTGTCTAGAATAATAAACTACATTAAATAAGCATGGCTGTTTCTATCTGTTTATTTTATCTATAGCAATCGTTCGTCTTGAAACCATAAAGGTGAACAGTTACCAAGAGTATTTTTTCGCATGAAATTTCTGTTAGGATTAGGAAAATATACCGATAAGAAAACAAAAGTACTGCCATGTCAAAAAATAAATATTATTCATCTTATTTTTTTAGATATACGTTTTTTTTACATCAGTATCATAATAGAAAACGTTAACTGACAGTGAACTCAAAAAATAGATAATCATGTCTGATCATGAATGACTTTACGGAGTCATTTATTTGTGATTTAAAAGTAGTATAGAACATTGAATAGCGATGAATGTCAGCATATATTACTCTTACACCTGCATCAGACGGGATAGATAGTGAACATAATACTGAAAGCGAATGGCTTTAGGTAACAGTGGATTTTACTAATATGAGCAAAATGATACCAGTCTTATAGTCATTCATGAGCATATTTATTATTTCAAAGTAACTCTTTTCAAAAGCATTATATTGATTAATACAAGGTTGTTTAGGTTTTACATATTGAAGTTTTATACAATAACATGAGACAAACCAGTCAGGTAAGTTGATTGGTTACTAATCGTGACAAATGTTTATAAGTCTTGAGTAATACTAATTGTTCATGATCTTTGAATCTCATTGATTTTTTTTATAAGATAGAAATTCTAATCAAAATTGATCATATGAAGATCTGTTGCACTCTGTAAGTATTATCTATTACATTTCTCTCAAAAGATATTATTTTTGTTTTTAACTCAAATATCAATTGAGTGAATAAATATGATTAAGTGGTCTTTGTATACGTATAGTTCGCAAATCTTAAAATGACTTACTTATCTATCATTTTCGGGAATGACAGATAAATTTCTTAAGAAATACACATTTAAAAAGCATATGAACATTTTCAAATAGTGATTCCGTAACGGGCCTATATTGTAATCATAAGATTTTCTGGGAAGTTTCGAATCCTATGAAACTTTCAGGGGATGTTGAGCACTGAAACTTGTATATATTCTGAAAATGTTCAGCTTCATTCAATTTCATTAAGTGAAGATATAAAAAATGAAAAAAACCGTGATTCCGTCATGCTTGAACAGGTCGTAAAAGTAATAGTCTATGAGCCATTTGTTAATAATGATTAGAAACATTACTTGGCAAAATTTTCTTCTTTTTCATTCGATAAAATTTGATCGAAACGTTATGTGACGATTTAAATATCCTGCTTGTCAACCTTTTGTTTTTGAATAAAGTGTCATTTGATTAGAAAAAATAGTTTTATATAAATGTTAAAATTGATTCCGTGTATTTGTTTTATAATGAAATGGTTTCTATATAAGATTTTCTCAATAAAGTACAAGATTTCCAACGAATACAGGATTAATCCACAACAATTTCCTCAACTATGATTTCTAGAAGAATTATAAGATTTAATTTTTACATAATTGAAAAATATTTTTAATGTAAAAGTAATACTTGAAAATATTTATCAATCAAATTTAACGCAAAGAAAAACAAGAAGACGATTACTGTGTCATTTCTATGCAAAAACAATATCTCATAAGAATATTTTTCTACGACTTGCAACTATTTATTTCTGGATCTGTTAATAAATTCTTCGTAAATTTTCTATCTATTAACATAATTATATTTTCTCAGATTCTGAAATAAAAAAGAATCAGCAGTAACAAAAATATTATTTTATATTCAAATCATTTACTGAATTTTTTCTACACTTGGAAAGTATCTTGAGATCATATTTCATTGTCAACGAAACTATTCATTGCTCATCTAGAAGAGTAACGATGATTTATTCATATTTTTTCAAGATCAAATTGAGACAAAAGCATTTTTTCTTGTATCATCCATTGAAAAACATCAAAGTTCACTGTAATCAATAGAATCGTTTGAAACTTTAAAATTTTTTTCATTCAAAAAATTGTCGTTATTATTCATGAAATCAATAAGTATTTTATTCATTTTATTTTGACATTTATTTCTCAAAATTTCCTATTTCTGTTACAAATGACATTTTGATGAACGCAAAATTTTCTTTACTAACAAAATCCCATCGTCGAGTTCTATTTGTGTCGAACATCATTTTTTTTTTGTTTCAAGGCATTTCTTTTTATTAAGAAAACTGACCGGTAAAATGTAGAAGAAAGAATGGAAAGAAAAAAAAACGGCTATAATTTTTTCCATGAAATATTTAAAACTTCCGTTAAGACTTAAAATTACTAAATTTATTTGAATTTTTATGTTTTAGATGTTGTGCTATGTATTTTAGTACGTGTAGTTGTATTAATCAAGTTATTGATAAAGTTTAAGTCATTTTTTGAAATTCTTATTGGTAATTTGTTTTGCTTTTATTAACTTTAGAATTTATTTGAAATCTATTTGTGTTCTACGAAGAATGTAATTGTGTGCGAATTCTGCATTTTACTTTTGCTTTTCTTATAAAGACATTATTTATGCATTATGAAGCTGTTGACTTTTTAAATTTCATTTCTTCGCATAGCTATCATGGGTTTTTTTATGTCTTCTAGGTGCTATGTTTTATCCCGATGTCGATACAGAAGCTGATAATTGTGAAGATAAAAATGCTCAACCTTCTCAGTTTTTCACCATCGATTAAAATGCACTTGATAGACTCTTGGGCGATGCAGCATTTTAGAAAACTAGATGCACACTTTACAAACTAAAACCAACAAACTACTGAAGATTGCTCTTGTTTCTGTCAAGAATTGACAGGTATAATGTTTATCTTAATATATCGATCAATTCTAGAGAATCATTGAAACATATTTACTTAAAATAATTTTATATTTTTTAATCATTTTAGGACATTAAAACCACACAACCTAAACGAAACTTAATTCAATTCTAAGTATGAGTTTATTATTTTGACTTTATTTTTCTTTAATTTTTTAATTTGTATGAAAGTTTTAGGACGTTCAAAATTTATTCTCAATGCTTCCAGTGCTTTTGGCTACAACTTATTTATGCAATTTGGTATGCAAGATTTAAAGGTCAGATAAAATTTAAAAAAAAAACAAGACACTACAACTACCACCATAAGATGATGTACAATTAGAGAAGATAATAAGCACTTTTTGTTCACCATAAGGCAGTATTAGAGATACATTCTTTTAGTAAACTGTTTTTAAATTTTTTAAGCTCAATAAGCTAAATATCTGACTTTCACAAATTATAGAAAACAGATTTTATATAATTTTTAGAGCAAATAATTGAATAACTCTCTGAAACAGCAAGTAACATTTTCAATTTAGTAATGGTCAAGAATGTACTAAGAGAAGTAAAAATAAGTAAACAATATCTTTTTTACTACTCTCTAAGGCAAATTGTTATTTTAAAATTTCATTTGCTTCATTTTAGGCTCAAAGTGACATTAGCAACAGCTGAAAGCAACATCAATACCAGTGTATGCAACATCGGTAGCAATCACAATAACTCCAATATTCATTCCGACATTGCAACATGTGATGATGATTAACCTGATACAAGAAATCAATAGAAAACGAGTAGAAATATTTTCTTGTCTGATTTTTTTCGACTGCCTGTATGAAATAATTCTTGTCTTTTTTCTCGTCGATTTCTCGTCATATGCATTGTATCTTGTTTTTATTTGCAAAAAAACCTTTTTTGTATAATATAGACGAGAACATGATAGAAACATTTTTTATAAAATTGTACGTGTTTAGTTTTTTTCATGTATATACAATCATTATCGTAAATAAATTAAAAGTAAATGGGGTCATCGATGGCGCCAGAATACAATGTAAATATAATTCTTTGATGATTATTTTCATTGGTCTGCTTTTCAGTGACTAAAAATTAAACCAATCGTATAACAGTAAAAAATGTGTCACACATGAGAAAAAAACATTTACCCCCATCTATACGTGAAAATTCATCCATCAACTCTTACTCCTAGGTCTTTCATTTTCAACAATTTACTTCTGTCAGTGTGAGCTTTCCGATAAAATAAAATATTACTTTATTTTTGAAAAAAAGGATTTTTTTAGTTCTTATTGAGGCCAACGATATTTCGCCATGGCATTATTAGTCAGCCGAAAAAATTAGACAGATCCACAGACAACAGTAATCATCCGGGACAAAGAACATTTCCAAGAAATCTGCATTTTTGAATATATTTTAGATTATCTTATGAAATTTTATTTATTTATCAACTTCTATCAATGTTATCACAACAGATTAGTCTCATCTCAGAAGAGCTAACAGCTCAAGAATCCACTTGTAGCATTGACAATATTTCAAAGAGAATGAAATTGATTATTTGAAAAAGAGTTCGTTTCTTACCTATCGATTTATTTATCATCTAAGAAAATATTTAAAAAAATAAAATAAAATACATCAACAGAAAAAATAATTATTGTTAAATAACATTAGCCATGGCAGATCTTGAGGCCGTATTAGCAGATGTTTCCTACTTGATGGCGATGGAAAAGTCAAAATCTACACCAGCCGCTTCAGCAAGTAAAAAAATTGTGTTACCCGATCGAACGTAAGCTATTTCTTCATTTATCAAACGGATATTTAATCTTAGTTCAATTAAATAGAGTGCGAAGCGTGACACATAAGCATTTACAAAAAATGTATGAAAAT